ATCAAATTATAAGTAAAACTAAAAATAATAATTTTTTTTATATTTTCACGTCTAGTTTCATGATTAAAAAATGTATAAAAATAAATTATTAGATTAAAAAAAAAAAGTAAATAGGACTGCCTGTGCAGGCCTGGCTGAGCCTGCTTACTAGCCAGCCTTTTATATATATATTAAAAAAAAAAATACAATAGTAAATAAACAGTGATATATTTTTAGATTTTTTTAGTAATTATAGAGTAGCAGGGACCCACATTTTTTTTAACACAGAATGTAGTGGGTGGGACCTCAGTGTCTTTTTTGTGTGATAACGTGGGAGCTTTCCACACGTGTGCACTTTGCCTTTGGTTAATGGCGCATAAACGGAGCACGTGCCTTTTCTAGCAATGATGGGTTTGATTGGGAATTAAGATTAATAAAAAACGTAAATGGAGCACGTGTCTGGCTTCTGCAAGCCCAAGACAAGCTTGTGCACATGGGCTTGTAGAAGCAGGTCCAATGCAAGCTGCTCGCCTAGGCATCCAGAAAAAGAAAATGATGAATAATGGTAAAATTGAAAATATACACAAAACGTAGAATCAGTAATTGCGAAGCTAATGAAAAGAAATAAGAGAGCAAAACAGACGGACGACGCAAATAATAATAATAAAAATAAAAATAAAAATACATGAGTAATAAATAACCAATTTGCAAAACAAATGAAAAAAAAAAGGGAAATCGAGTGGCCATAAATGAAGAAAAGAAAGTATCAACGGCAGAAGCACACAGACAGGTACTTGGGATATTGGTCCACAATAAATAAAGGAAGAGTAAACAACACCAAATAGTGATAACTAGGTTTTCACCTGCGCAACTCTACGGATCAAATAGAATATATAAAGTTAATTTAATTTAATTTAAAGATTTACACTACACTATGAATCAATCAAAATATATTACAACATAGATTAAAAAAAAATTATTCAATTTTATTATTTTTATTAAAATTTTACATTTAACTAATTATTCATTATATTTTTTATAAATTTTATGTTAAAAAAACTTGATTTATTCTTATTTATTTGATTCTTAACTAAAAGTGTAATGATTTTTTTTAAAAAAAATCTAAAACTCCATGAATTTTTAACTAAAAATTTACCTTGTAAATTATTTTTTCAAAAAATTTAACACAAATTCTCTGATTTTTTTAATATATATACATGCTACTATCATTTAAAAATTCTAAGAGTTCATCATATAAAGCATGTAAATGTGTTTTTAGAATAAAATAATCACATTCTAAAATTGTATTTAAAAATCCATACATGGAAAATAATAGATAATTTTTAAACAAAATAAAATTTTAAAATACAAATTAATTGGATCACAATCTCTATAAAAAATGACAAATTGAAGAAATAAATTTTCAATAAAAAATAATATAATTTAAAATATATGTTTATTTTAAAATATAAAAACGTATAATATATATTTTTTTCTCATTGGATTGCTTGAGGAAAAAAAAAAAAACAACGTTCGACATTCCAAAAATTCACCTAAAAATATTTAGAAAAGAATTGAAAAAAAAAAAGAAGAAAAAAAAGATGCCCAACTAAGAACCAAGCCCGTGCGCCCGGGCATGGAGGAGCAAACCCTATTGGGAAAGTTTTTTTTTTTAAAAAAAAAACACTACAATTTCTAATGAGCTAGTGTCATCGAAACGTTGTCAAAAAATCGTGTTTTTGGTTTCCTTCTTCCCCAAAGCCAAGTTCAGTCCTTTTTTTTTTTTTTTTTCAAAAATAGCTTACAATCACAAAAACAATGTCAAAAACTATTTTAGAGTCTCAAAATTCATTTTAATGCATAAAAATTCAAATCAAGCTAAAAAAATTTAAAATATTTTCATATCACAATCTACCTCTTTAAATATTTTATGACTTGTAACCATTACTAATAGATTGTATTCTTCAAGATGAGCAAATTAGTGGTAACATCGACGATAGATGTGGCAAGAATGGCCTCGCTCCCCCCCCCCCAAATGAGCATTCAGGGACCATATGGTAATACAAATAAAATTTGAGACTAATTTTTTTTTACTTAAAAACATGAGAGACTAAAGTGAAAAAATATCAATAAATAGTGAAAATAAATAGTAGAATTTAGTGATAATGAGTAGTGCAATTGAGTGTCGTGAACTAGCATTCTCTTTTTAGTGTTTTAATTAATAAAACTCTACAACTCACAATAATTTATTAGGCGAGTCAATAATTGATTTTAATAATTAATAGCTAATAATTAAAAGAGTATAAGGAAAAAAATTATTAAGACATATTGAATTTGCAACCACTATAAAAAATGAAAGATTAATTCTAAAATAAACATTGTCAATAATTAATTATAATGCAAGCTAGATGTTCATTCATACAATTTGATCGAGGGCACACTTGCTCAAGAATTCCTCACCATACAACAACAATACAAATTAAATGGGTCTTGACTCCTTGTTATTATATATGTATATTTTGTTTGCAATCCAACAAAAATATAAAATTATTAACTATCATAAATATATTTATTAACTACAAAAATCTTGTTGTTATTGCAAAACATGTGTTACTTATACTATTTTCATGTAGTCGATGCGAATACCGCAATAGATGAATTATAAATTAGTCTTTCTTGCTTTGAGAAATGAACTAATTAGTCATTTTGATTTAAAAAATAATTATTTAATTTTTTTTAACCAGTATTAACCATGACTAATTTATTTTTTTTATTTTTAAAATGTCTTATTTTCTCATCAGTATTTTTCATATTTTTATCTATTTTTTTCTTTTCTATTTCTTAAAACATAAAGTAAAAAAATAATTGAAAATAGCAAAAAGGATAAAAATATTAGTTTTTGAAAGTAGATGAATTGATTAATTTTTTTCTAAGGGACTAATTTATAATTTACTTTTGAATAGCAATTTACTAGTCTTGTGTGAAATAAGAAAAAAAAAAAGACAACGATAATAACATTAAATGATATGTCAAAAAAGAAAGTGAAATAACGAAAAAAGATTAAAAAAGTAAAAAAAAATCCAATTATGGATAGATGTGGATTTTCATAAATTTATTGAATAGCCATGAACGTAATTAAGAATAAAAAAAAGATCATTTATAATGAGTAGGCTAGAGGGGGAAAAAAAAAAAAGGAAAATGACGAAAAGGGGTCAAAGAAGAAAATTAAAAAGGGGATCTGTGAAGAACAATCGTAAATTTTCACAAATCATTAATGAAAAAGTAAAGTTTCAAGCAAGCTAGTGTAACTGTCCCATCTTAACTTATGCAAGACTGTGTGCAATGCTAATTGTGCGAAACAAGACTTATTGTTCAGTAAGGGTGCTCTGTTTTCCCCTGAGTACCTCTATTTTCCACCAGAGGCTCATCCCGTTGAGCGGTCCCAGAAATTCAGTAATGCTAACCATGATTTGAAATAGCTGTTATGTTATGTAATGGCTATTATATAATGGTATTGGACACATCTGTTGCTGTAATTCATCCTTATAAACACTTCATAGTTGTTTTACACAAATAGTGACAATAGTGGTATTATATAACGGTGGTGGCTATAATTGTTACTATTCAACAGATATCGAACAGTTGTATTTAAAAAGAAAAATCAATGTTTGAAAAAACAATCTAATTATATATAGTTATAATTTTGATGGATAAACATCACAACATCAACAACAAGAGATAACTTCATAATCAGAGTCATTTTGACCACCATATCTGTTATTTAAAACTTTGAACTTTATATGCACTGAATTGCATTTGTAATCTATTAGAGGAGTATAACATCGGCAGACCGGCACCTAATACGCAATCCAGAAGTAATGCTAAACCCTGAGTGTAAACATTTGGAGCTAGTACAATCAAATAATTTTATTCCCAGTAAAAGAAAAAAAACAGAAAAATTATCAGACACTCTGTCTCATGAATGGATATCTCAACCATCCATAATATTTTTTCTAATAAATTAACTGGTAAAGCAAGCGCATCAGCTATTGTCTATGTTTATGTAGCCAGGCTGTTCAGCATTTGCTTTCTTCGTTTTGGTTCCCTACTTTGTTCAACTTAGACCAAGTATATTATATTACAAGAACAAGAAAAACGACAACAACGAAAATCTTCCCCTACAAGTGCTGGTGTGACGGCGTCTGTGGTCTTTTGTTCATTCCAAGTATTGATGGTGAGGCAAAAGACTACCAAAGCAAATGTTGGTTCAACTAGTGTACCAAAGACAGCAGTTCATTGGATAGCTTTTGTAGCAAAGCAGAGAAACTCTACTTGTTCCACAGCTTCTAATGAAACAAGGTCCACACGCCTTCATCTACGAATGTCCTAGTTTCTGCTTGTGAAGTTTCCTTCAGTACTTTGTTTCTTTTTCTTGTTTTTCCCTTGATTGAATTTTTGTTGTTGATTTGATCCTTCTGCAACTTCAATTTCTAAAATGTGTTTTTAACAGTATAAACAATTAGAATTACACATCTAAGCGTATCAAGTCAAGACACCGACCAGAGAACGGGCTCCATCAAGTAGACCAAAGTATCGTAAAAGAGTTTAATAAGGAAAGAAGCATCTCATTGCCATCAATTACAAGAACAGTTTCGAATCTCAACTACGAGAAGGGTTCACACATACAGTGTATTATTCTCATGAAAGCAATTCTGAAGCATCTCATTGAGAATTAACACAGCTGGTTTCCACCAAAAGGAAATGAATCATTTAAATATAACAACAACTAATGAATAAAACCATTGATTTAATAAAAGAAAGATGCATTAACTTGAAACTACTCTATTCATTCTGTCTCAGAAAAAATTTCATTTCAAAGTAAATTTTATAACTGTCAACTTTTAAATAAGTTCACACACATATCCATATTCGGCATATCTATGTTCTGATAGCAGAAATGGATATTGATTTTGACATTCAATTTCAGGAAATTACAAGGTCAACAAAAATCCCATATGTATCTAAGCAGATGGATGGACTGTGTTGCACATGCCTGGATTCTTGACACACCAGAGAGGCTGAAGTGGTTCAGCTCTGATTCCTTTGGTGACCATTCTCTGTCTCCACTCGTTTAAACGATCCATTGCCTCTGCATACCTCTTCTTGCCTGACTCATCTTTGTTCCCTGACCATAAAGTCTCTGCCATTGCTGAAGCTCTTGGCCAAATCCGTATGTCCAAAACTGTTGGGTCTGCTTGCTCTGACCACAATGCCACTTCACCCCCTAGCACCAATTTGGTCTCCTCCGGAGTCAATCCATATGCTATGTCATAGTTATATATGGTTTGCCATGTTTTGAAAGGTCCACACCATGATCCACCATCGCCACTGTTACCGCTTGTTGGTGGCGGATCATATTGGCTGTCATTCCCAAGAAAATCGCCATGCCCACAATCCAAATAATAGAACTCTGAGGATGACAAAATAGCTCTGTAACCAGAAGAAACGATCAGTTTTGTGTTGTTTAGACCATTATTCCATGTTTGTAGGATGGTATGCTCAGGTGGAAGAAATGAAGGGTCCACCTTGACGTTGTCGTCCAATAAAATATCTTCCCAATAAACCACTGTGCGATTGAGGGACACAAGGTAAGGGAAGGTTGAGTTCACAAATGTCTCAAGGAGTTGACTGAGAGTTCCATTTTTGGACAGAAAGGACTGAATGGCCGGGTCGGCTTTCCAACAGCCAGGGATGATCTCGTCACCTCCAGCATGGAAAAATGGTTCAGGAAATAAGGCAACTGTATCACCAATCACATTTTTGAGAACTTGGTAGGTCTTCGGGTTCAAGGGATTTAGTTGGCCAGTTCCTGGTTCCGATGCGAGCCGATCAGCCCATTCACTTTCAGCTGGCCACCAGAACATATTTGCACAAGTCACGATATCCGGATAGGCTTCAGCCCACGATCCTGTGTGTGCTGCAATTACCATTAATTCCTATTAGTCATGCCTTTCAAATAACCAGAATCATATGCACTTGCAGTTCCTTTAACTATGCAATCATTTTTTGTAGTTTTCAAATTTTTTAAATACATTTATTATAAAAAAATTTATTTCATTACGCTTTAATTTATTTTTCAAATACTATTTCTTCGATCCATAAATTTGTAAGTTTTATCCTTCTTTTTTGTTTTACGATGATCACTTTGATTTTTGTTTTTTTCTTTGATTTTTTAACTAAAAATTTTAAACTAAAGAAATATTTAAAAAACAATTTACAAAATAAAATTTTAACTGAAAATATAGATAGAAATAAAACAAAAATTTATGAAAATATAAAAAATAATTAATTAAATATAAAATTTTGTTTAATTATAAAATTAAATGAATTTTTATTTAATATACGTATAATATAATAAAAAATATTAAAATAAAATAATTTTTTAAAAATTATTTTATGTATTTTATCTTAGTCATTTGTAATGCCTATAAAAAAAACTAATAATTAATAAAAATAAAATACTTGGAGAATCAATTTCCGGTAGAACCCTGACGCCATGCTCCAAACCAAACTCAACAATCCTCGCAACATCATGTGGAGAGTAGAGCATGTCATTCCCATAAGACCCTTTGGCTGCAAGATCTGGCTCAGATGGAAGCACTAAAGGAAAAGAGTGAGAATCAGTAATGTGCCAATGGAAAACATTAAGCTTATTAGCACTCATGGCTTTGATGGTCCTCAAAATATCATCCACTGGGTAGTAATTCCTAGAGGTATCCAACATGATCCCTCTGTGCTCAAACAGTGGTGAGTCCCAGATGTAGAGCCCAACAGAGACCAGCAATGGTTTCGATCCCCACACCAGCTGAGAAAACGTCTCGAGACCCCTCATTGCGCCCCACACAGTCTCCGCCGTCAGGCTGGCGGTGGGGCTGGCGGTGGGGATTATAAGGGTGTAGGACTCGTCAGCGGAGTGGCGGAGTGGGGAGGTGAGGTCTTTGACAGTGATGGTGAGGGTGCGCAAAGGAGGGGATGGGTTAGAGAGGTTGACGGGAGGAGGGACGAGAGGGCGGTGGTGTTCCGTGAGGATTTGGAGGCGGTAGCGGTTGACGGCAGGGGAGAGATGTTGGTGGTAAGGGGAGGAGATAGTGAAAGTTGGGGAGAGAATAGTGGCAAGTGGGTTCGGCCATGACAAGGTTCTTGGCTTCGGCCATACCCATTGGGCTGAAATTGCTGTCGGAGAAGTAACTAAGGAAATGAGTGACAAGAACAATAATAATGAGGAACAGCTGGTTAGGATCAAGTTAATCATGATTCATGAAAAGGCACTGTTCCTGTTTGAATAATATTCTGGAATTTGTGGAACAGCTACTTTGTATATATAGCATCAAAAGAAGTAGAAAGAAAATGGAAAATCGAAAGTCCATTCTTGTTGTCTAGTCTTTGTTTGCTTGTAGATGGAGCTTAGCATTGACTAATCTAGCTGCTGAATTCTTCAATGTTGATCATCCTCCCCACTCGATTCTCCGTCTCTCCAATTGAATTAAAAGAATCACATAATTGTCAAATGGTAAGCTAATCCTAGGATTTGTTTCCTTCTGCTTAGATTTCTGTTTTGTCTATCGTTAGATTCCTACTCATTCTATCTAGTATATACCCTTTAACATAAAAAAATCTAAATAGTTCCCTATTGGTGCTTTCGTAGTAAGAAGCTTTTTATTATTATTGCGAAATGATGATATTACTTACCTTCTCAACCGGTACTTCACAAGTGTAATTAAGTCCATTTAATTCAAAATATTCTTTATTTATAATCAGTATTATTAAACTAAAACGGGCCTCCCGATCAAACTTGAAACCCAATGGATTGATTGCTTAATTAATCCATCTTTTATTTTTAGACTGGATTAGTCCTTTTTTTTTTTTTTGCACTCCGTGTATAACGAACCGAGTTAAATATGGTTATTTTATTTATAGCATGCATTATGCTCTGAATCTATTAAAATAAATTAAATTAAAAGATAAAATTTTATATTTAATTTATTCTTTTTTATGTTTTTCATCAAGTTTGTAGTTGAAAAATCACGTTTCATTTTTTCTTATGTACTTATTCTTAAATAAAAATTTATAATAATCTAAATATAAATTTAAAAAAACATCTTAGCATTTTTTCATAAGATTGTATAAAAAAAATAAAGCAATAATTAATATAAAAATTTATATAAAATTAATTTTTTTTATTCTTCTTTAATGCTAATGAGAAGATTAATTTTTTGAAAATATGTACACTTAATATATATATATAAAGAATAATAAAAAATTAATTTGATGAGAATTGTTATAAAAAGATAAATTAAAGAAATTGATTTTAAACAATAAAAATAATATAATTTAAGATATATATATATATATATATATTTTAAAATATAAAAATATATTGTGTAAATTTTATAATTACTAGTATGTGAAAAAAAAATAACAATTGTTTTTTTTTCATAATTTTTATACTCAATTCAAGCTATAAAAAAAAAAGAAAAAAGCTTGCTCGCTTGCTTCTGCAAGCCCAAGATAAGCTTGTGCACTTGGGCCTGCGTGCACCTGGGCCTGTAGAAGCAGGTACAATGCAAGCGGCACGCAGAAAAAGAAAATGACAAAATGAATAATGGTAAAACTGAAAATATACACAAAATATAGAATCAGTAATTAAACAACGTGCAAAGCAAATGAAAAGAAATCAAAAGAGCAAAAACAGAAGCTGCAAAAAAAGAAAAATACATGAGTAATAAATAACCAATTTGCTAAACAAATGAAATAAAAAAGAAAATCGAATGGCCATAAATGAAGAAGAGAAAGTATCAACGACAGAAGCACACAGTCAGTCACTTGGGATATTGGTCTATAGTAAATAAAGAAAGAGTAAACAATACCGAATAGTAATAACTACATAGTTGTTAACACTATGTCACGGATCGGAAACAATAAATAAAAAAATTTTTTTTGTTACGCATGGATTCTTTAAAAAAATTATAACAATCTAAAATGTAAATTTCAATTTATCAAAAATCTTAAAAATATATATGTATAAATTTAATTATTTATTTTATAAGATTGTATTGAGAAAATAAGGCAACAATTAATTAAAAAAAATTGCTAAAAAAATTATAGGTTTAAAATATATATTTTTTATAATATTGATGAGAAGATGAATATTTAAAAGTATGTATATTTGGTTTGTATAGATTTTTTTTAAATAATAATAATTATTAATTTTTAAAAAAAATTGCATAAAAGGCTTTGTTTAAAAAGTTTGGTACCATCAGATGTTGTTTTTAAAGTATATTTTTATTATTTTATTTGAGAATAATTGATTTCAAAATATTTATTTAAAAAAAATAAATATTAAGTCTTTTCTATGTATATGCACAATTAGTTTGTAACTAAAAATACTTATAAAATTGATAATTTTATTATACCTTTAGCATTCAAACATTTGGTCAAGTGAATTGCACATAGTACAAAAAAAAAAAAAAAAAAAAACATAAATCAATGTAGATGTATATAGATTTGAGCTACTATTCAATGTAGAAAAAAAAAACTCTTCAAAAACAAAACCAACCATCAAATAGAATTTTTTTTCAAGGAAAGCATAAACACAAGTTTGCATTTATCGAAATTCTTAAAAAATATATGTATAAATTTAATTATTTATTTTATAAAATTTTATTGAGAAAATAAACAACAATTAATTTTTCTGAAAATTGCATAAAAATGTTAAGGTTTAAAATACATTTTTATAATATTGATGAGAATATTAATTTTTAAAATTATGTATACTAGGTTTATGTATATTAGATTTTAAAAAATAAGCATTGATGAGAATATTATTTTTTATGATATTGATGGTACCATATTTTATAAAAATCTTTGTGTGTGTGTGTACACACATGCAAAATAATAAATAATATTATAATGAAAAACTCTTTCAAAAAACCATGGTACCATAGGGTATTATTTTTAAATTTTTTTGAGAGGAATTGATTTCAAAATATTTATTAAAAAAAGGTAGCTATTAATTGTTTTTTGTGTATATGAAGAAACCAACTTGCAATTAAAAAAAATAAGCAATTTTTTTAAAGAAAGCATAAAAGTGTCTCCAGCTACAACTTTGGATACAAAAATAAAATCACCATATCATACTTATAAAATCGTTTAATTTCTTATACATAATATAATTCTTTTTAGTGCACTCTTTTTACATAGGTTAGGACGTTTATATGAAAGAAATTAGTTGAAAACCATGATTAAGGAGTTCCTTGAATTGCAAAGTAAATTATAGATTAGTCTCTCTTATTTCAAGAAATTAACTAATTAGTCTTTTTAATTTCAAAAACTAATTATTTAATTATTTTAACTAGTGTAAACGGCGACAATTTTTCTTAATTATAAAATATCTTCTTTTCTCATTAATCTTTTCATAGTTCACTTTTTTTTTTTAATTCCTTTTCCATATGTTAAAGAAAAAAATTAAAATAAATTGAAAAATAACAAATAAAACTAACTAATTAATTTTTAAAATCATAAAAACTAATTAATTTGGTTGTGGAAACAACAACTAATTTACAATTTATTCTTGGATTGCAATTGCTTCTCTAAGAAAAAGAAAGAGGAAAAAAAGCAATGAATGACATGAGCATTAATCTAAAGTAAATGATTAGACAAAGGAAATGACAAAAAAAAAAAAAAAAAAGCTAAAGAAGCAAATTAAAAATAAATCAGTCAAGGATAAATATAGAATTTCACAAATTCACTAAGTGCATGACAGAAATTAAGAGTAAAATAGAAAGACCTTTGTATGCCAAAAAAAATAAAAAAAAAACAATAGCAGGCAAAACCCAAATACCAGATTATAAGGAGAAAAAAATACGAACAGTTAAAAAATAAAAAAAGATGAACAGTAGATGAATAATGAATATTCTATGTCTTTTAATTTCTTTTGTAATTCTATATCTTTTAGTTGTTTTCTTAATATTTAGTCAAATAAGTCAGGTCCAGTCAAATCTAACGGAGATTTATGAAACCAACCAATCCTTGAACCTATTTCTTATTTTTTAATTATTTTTTTAAATACACAATAGCATATTTTGAATTTCAAAATTAACAACGAAATAATACCTTTAATGATGAAATGACTAATTGTGTAGACGAGCCAATAATACAAGAATCGGATTAAGAAATTAAAAAAAAAATGAACCTCAATAAATAAATAAATAATCAATAATTCAGGGATATCAATACTCATTAACATGTTAATAACATGGAAGGGCTCATCCGTCCATTAACTCGAGTTTTTAATTTGGCTTTGGATTGTCTAACAAGTTGAACCTAAGACTAAGGATGACAATGAGTCAAGTATAAAATGATTATTTGTTTCATCTAATTCAAAAATATATCTATTCAGAATGTTCAATGGATAAAGATAAAAAAATGCATATCCATTAATATAGTTTCAGTATATGGATATGCATTTTTCATCCTATTAATATCCGTTAATTTATTTAAAATTTTTATTTACATGCAAGGATCTAATTGCATAAAATTTAAAAATTAAAGACCAAAATATTTTTTTTCAAAACTTTGAGGATAAAAAAACTTATAAATAAATGACCAGAATGCTAAAAAAATAAATTTTAAGGATTAAAAAACTTTTCTTAAAAATTATAATGACTATAGTAAATATTTTTGATGAATTAAATTTAACGAGATAGTTAATAGGTATTAAATGAGTGGGTAAACTAGTATAGACCTAATTAGATAAAAATTTATATGGTGATTTTTTAATGGATAATGAGTAGAATATTCTTTCGATGAATAGGGTGAAAAATTAAATTAATAGATCGAATATCCACACATTTTCATCTCTACCATATCTTAAGAGTGAAGTGCTGAATGCTATCATTATTTAATGTGCTAAGGTTAAGTTTGTCTTGCGTTGCCTCAGATAATTCATATAATTTCTTTCCATTAGATCTTAAGCAGGCAACCCACACCGGGACAGCTACATAAAAAATTAATTTCTTTACAACCTCTTCTTAGGTGATAACTCATAATGCATATCTATTTTCTAATTATATAGAGGTGGAATTAGGATTTTAAATATTAGATGCCAATCTAAAATATATTCGAATAAAATAAATTAAGAAATAATAGTCATAAAATGATAAAATATTTATTTATTTATTTATTGGGGTCGAGGCAGCACAAAACTAACATTTTCTATGAAACAAACCTAATTAAATTCAAGAGTAAAATATCTAACCCGTTACATGATATTACTAGCGTCCTTGCAAGGCTTAATTAAGTTGAACATTACGGATTGATTAAGAGTAAAATAAAAATATATAAAAATATATAGAATATTATTCATTAAACTTGTAATAATTTGAATGATGAAAATACATTAATTCGTAGAGTGATTGTGTATAATATTCTAAAAAATCTAATCAATCAAAATGCACAACTATAGACCCAAAAAAAAAAACACGAAAAACAGAGGAATAATAAAAATTATAGCTTTTTACATATTAAGTAATTTCCATTTTAGTTTTAGCATTTATAGTAAATAAATAAATTAAAAATCCATAATTATGTCAGAACTTAATTTTTCGCTTTCATTTATTTTATTAAATCTTTATTGCTTGACCTAGGGATTTCCGCCCAATAATAGTTAATGCAATGGTCCGATAATTCAGTCTTTCGGTCAACATACTAGCCATTGTTCGTAACGAAAAGAAGTTGGTTAAAATAAAGGATCATGATACTCTAGCATGGTATTGGTCATGTCATTGTCTAAAACCCAAGGGTTCTAAAGCAACCCTTCCGCGTGAGAAAACTACAATGAACATAAATTTTATAATATATATACATACACACATAATTTGAAGTCAAATTGGGGTGTCTATTTTATTTTATTTCTTGGAATCTGAATTTAATATTAATTTTTTAAATATATTCCACTAGTATTTTGTTTTTACCCTGAAGAGGTTTGCTCCTTTAATTTTTTTTTTTTAATTAATGAAAGGTTCTCATTAATGAAAAAGGAACGAAAGTAGGAGCTTGTCTCTAGTTACAAAGTAATGAAAGCTGAAAATTCCAGTAACAACAAAAAATGAAACTGTACATAGAAAATTCCAGTTACTACAAATTAACATTGAGAAGGCTTGAATTAAGAAGGGCCTTCTGCAGAATGGATGTATTGAACAGCCTCCACTGAATACTATGTACAATCCATCTTGTCAGCTCCTCCACATCCATTCTCTCATTTGAATGTACCCTCCGGTTCCTTTCCATCCAAACTTCATAGATAATAGAGCACCAGGCAATTCTCAATACCACAGACAAATTAAATGCAGTTGATCATCTTCTGCTCCTTAATTTAATTTTTTAGTTAGAATCTTAGGGTAAGGAGAATTATTTCTCTAAATGCAGCTATACATCAGGAAAATTATTCCCCAGATGCAGCAAACTAATTTAAAAAGTACGTCATTAAAATTATTCAAAAGGATATTTTAATTTTAGCCGTTCGAGAATATCCGGTTGAAAAAAAAGAACAACTAGAACCGTGCAAGCTTTAAATTAACAAGGACGGCATTGCCAAATGTCTACGATATCTTCTATTCAAGGCCAAACGACGAGGGCCTGTTTCTGTCTCTATATGCAGCCTAAGAAATCTCCTGCATGTGGAAGTATCCCAAACTAACCAGCTACATCATTTGTTTCTAGCTAGGTTTTCTTTTCTAAAAAATTAATTTTCTAGCTAGGCAGTAATTTGTTGGGTCCTCACTATTGTCAATGTGAGGCATTTCTATATATATATATATATATTTAGAGTACTCAGTTTTTTCTTCTCTTCTTCTTTTTTTCTTTTTTATGTTATTAAGACTAAAATTTGTTGCCTGGTACTAATTAAGGTATTAATCACAATTAAGTATATTAAGAACAAGAGATCCGAATTAGAAGGTTGGGATTTTTCAATGATCATATATATATACACACACACTTCTTTTCTTCTATAGATTTTATGTTATGTTTTTTTTTCTTTACTGAATTCTATAGGTTTAATTGCTTGCTTCATTCATAAAACTACTCTCTCTCTTTATACATGCATGCGGTTTTGCAACTTTCAATCCTTAACGCAACGGCAGATGATCACTTATGAAGTAGAATCGATATGTGTTTAAAAAATAATAAATCGTGCTATGCCAATGTTACACACGTTACATATACATCTTCCGGTAATTAATCATCAAGACTTTGAAAATTATGTAATTGAGGGCCGCCCATGCATCTATTTCAAAGAAATTGATTGAAGTAAAGGCAACTACTACCAATTAAGCAAATTGAAAAAGAAACACACAGCTTGGTTGAAAAGAGAAGTTGAACAAAGTTCCAAAGCATAAAACATAGGTATATGATTATATCCCAATGTCTTGCTTGCACGTTACAGCCTTTGTCTTCTCTCTACTTTTATTTATTGCCCTTCTTTGCCTTTGCCTCAACATGTCATTATTCATATTTGTATTCCTTAAGCTGTCCTATAAACAGAATATATACGTCTAGTGTAGTCAAGGCTTTAATCTCCTTGTAAATGTGCTTTTCATATTTGTACTAAAGCTAGCTAGTATTAGCATGTAAGTATTCCTTTCCAAGCTCAATCTCTTTTTTTTCTCTCTTTGAACAACTCGACCGGCCGGCAATTATGGGGATCTGTTTTTCCTCCGCTGGTCAATCTGCAAAAAGTCCTAATGTTATATCCAAGAAGCGAAAAGCATTGCCAATTGATGCCTCCTTTAAGCTTCCTGCTCCCTTACCATCTTGGCCACCAGGTAGTTAATTACTTCTTCGTTCTGGTCTGTCTTGTAGTCCTATTTTGTTGTACCGTTAATGATGTTTTCCTTATATATATATATATATTTCAGGTGAAGGTTTTGGGAGTGGAATCGTTGAACTTGGAAATGGATTGCAAGTGTGCCAGATATCATCTTTCAACAAAGTTTGGGCAGCGCATGAAGGTGGGCCAGATAATCTCGGAGCTTCCTTCTTTGAACCCTCACAATTGCCACAAGGTTTCTCTATGCTTGGTTCCTACAGCCAACCCAACAATACGTTGCTCTATGGATGGGTTCTTGCAGGGAGAGACGAGACAGGCTCAGCATTGAAGCAACCAATTGATTATACTCTTGTTTGGAGCAGTGAGTCTCTGCGAATCAAACAAGACGGCGTTGGCTACATTTGGCTACCTACTCCGCCTGATGGTTACAAAGCTCTTGGCCACGTCGTCACCAACTCTCCTCAGAAGCCTTCCCTTGGAAAAATCCGCTGTGTCCGGTCCGACCTCACCGACCAATGTGAGCTCGACTCATGGATATGGGGACCAGGTAAGGAGAGCGATCCAAATGGTTTCAATGTTTTCAGTCTGTTGCCTAGCAATAGAGGGATACAAGCTATGGGTGTCTGTGTAGGAACATTTGTAGCCCAAATTACTATCACTGCTCCAGTTTCTCTAGCTTGTTTGAAGAATGTTATCTCTGATCTATCTTGTATGCCTAATCTAAACCAAATTCAAGCAATCTTTCGGACATATTCTCCTTGGATGTATTTTCATCCTGATGAAGAATACCTTCCTTCTTCGGTGAATTGGTATTTTATAAATGGGGCACTACTATACAAAAAGGGAGAGGAGTCCAAACCTGTCCCAATCGAATCCAATGGCTCGAACCTTCCCCAAGATGGTGCAAATGATGGTGCTTATTGGCTGGATCTTCCTGTGGAGGAAGGGGCCAGAGATATGGTGAAAAAAGGAGACTTGCAAGATTCCCAAGTCTATTTACACATAAAGCCAATGCTTGGTGCCACATTCACTGATATAGCTGTGTGGGTGTTCTACCCCTTCAATGGTCCTTCCAAGGCTAAAGTTGAATTCATAAATATTCCGTTGGGAAAGATAGGAGAACATGTTGGTGATTGGGAGCATGTGACCTTAAGGATCAGCAATTTTAATGGAGAGTTGTGGAGCATCTATTTTTCGGAACACAGTGGGGGAACATGGGTCCATGCTTCAGAACTTGAGTTTCAAAATGGCAACAAAGCTGTGACCTATTCATCCTTACACGGCCATGCCATGTATGCCAAGCCAGGCCTAGTTTTACAGGGGAGTGGGAGTATAGGAATTAGGAACGATACAGCTAAAAGCAAGAAATTCATGGATACCGGAACAAATTCCTTAGTGGTGGCAGCTGAGTATTTGGGCACGGCCGTCACTGAACCACCATGGCTCAACTATTTCAGGAAATGGGGTCCAAAAATCCCGTACGACGTTGCGGAAGAGATCAAGAAGATCGAGAAACTATTGCCTGGAAAACTGAAATCTGCTTTTGACAAGTTTGTTAGGAGTCTGCCAAATGAAGTGCTCGGGGAAGAAGGGCCAACAGGTCCCAAACTGAAAAGAAATTGGACTGGAGACGAAGTTTGAGTGTAGAGTAGCTAATTACGTGTCATAATTATTCTTCAATTGAAATTGTTTGTTTTTCTTTTCCCTTAAAGGAGCATTGATTTAGCCTTTATTGCCATCAATATTTGTAACAAATAGTTCATGCATATATTATTTATTAGTAATAGTAGTTTTATTTATTTATTTATGACAGACCACTAAAATAGTTCTTCATTTAAGGATAAAGCAATATTATTTATTTTGGATTGACTATCAACCGACGAAAGCCTGTCAAACAAATGACAAATAACCTAACTAACCTAACCGGCTCGGCCCATTGGAGAGAATGGATTTTTCTAATCTTGATCTCAGCACAATATTCTTATTTAGCTATGAGATAATTATTAAATGTGTGATCAATCCATAACTTAGATAGAAAAAATGGTGAGATTCTAAAAAGTGCAATTTTTATTATATTCCCTTAGAGTCTATCGTGCGATACAGCAGTACAGAACTACAGGGTGTTCTAACTCCATTCCTCCTCCACAAATTGGGCTTCTCTCTTGGTCTTCAGGCCTCTGGGCTGCCATTTAGGATTTTAGTGATTGCCCTTTTCTTTTCCGTTTTGAGCAACTCAACAAAAACGTAAAAATTATGCAATAAAGAAGAGTCGAATCACCACTTTTTCTGCTGTTATTAAGATGGGTGTTTGGTGATGCATCCATGATTTTATTAAAACTCAAACTATTTAATTTCGCAATATGATCTCCTTTTCTTTTTTAATATTAATTAGTTTTTTTATCCGTGCTGCATTATCGATCAAACAAAACATATAAAATTATTTTTAAAATATTATTTTAATTTAATATTTTATTTTATATTGTACATCTATCAAAATATATCAATTCAAAATTAAATAAAAATTCATTCAATTTTATTATTTTTAATCAAAATTTTGTATTTAACCTATTATTCTTTATATTTTTCATAAATTTTTAATTAAAAAACCTTATTTATTTATTTCTATCCACATTCTTAACCGAAAAATTTTATAATAATATAAAAAAATATCAAAATCAATAGATTCTTACCTAATAATTTATTTTGTGAATTGTTTTTTCTAATAATTTTTCCCTTGAAATTTTCAATAAGAATCAAAGAAAAAAATGAATCAAAATGATAAAAATGAAACAAAAAGAGAGACCAAACAAAAAAACAATATTATAAAAAAAGAGATACAAAAGTGTAATGCTATAAAAACTTTCATAATAAATGCTTTTAAGAAAGTTTAAAACTTATTAAAATTTCACTCGCATACATATGATCAGTATATGAAAACGGTGAAATGAGTCTAAATGAATTATATTTGAAACAAGTACTAATGAATAGTAAACTAATATTCTGGTTTAGTTATTTTTTTAATATTAATGTTTTGATCTATTTTTATATAATATGATCATTTTTTAATTTATTTTATATTTTTTATTGAATTAATTATGTTTTTGAATATACGTTAAGTTTTTAATCTATATTTTATATAAGAATTTTAGTTTAAATTACTAAAATTAATCACATTATTTGCATATGAGAATTTTTTATTTGTCTTGGTTGCAAGCATAGTTTAAAAATAAAAAAATAATCATGTGTAAATTACGTGATCAACTCCAATAATTTTATCTGAAAATCTTTTCAAAAAATATATTAAAAATTTAAAATATATTCAAAAATAAAATAGTCCAAATACAAATATAAATTAAAAAATTATTTTATTTTATAAAAAAAATGAGCCATTAACCCTTGATTTTTTCCATAGCTCAATCTCCCTGAATTAATAAAATGTTGTCAGTATCTATCTAATCATCTACAAATCCCGGCAACAAACTCATGTCTTCTCATAAATGTATTAGAAAGGTTATATTATATTTATCTATCGATAATTAAAATTTCATCTTTCTATTTTCTTTTTAAGGCACGAACTAAAACAAATAATAATATCATCTTTATCTTTCATTTTATTTTTTTTTACTTTATTGCCAAAAAAAAAAAAAAGAAACAAAAAACAAACCAAATCGGTTTGGCAAAATGATTCTTTCAATTTTTTTCTTCTTCTTTTTAAGCCTTCTAAGGTTTTTGAATAAAAAACCATATAACAAGTGTTCAATAACATTTCAAAAACTATTTTAAAAATGAAAAGTCAAAAGTTTCGAAATAAATCTTTTAGCCTTAAATACGTTGTCACATAAAGTACTTTTTTGACGACCATAACAGCTACAGCAACAAACAAAAGCCACAATTATACAAAACGAATTCATAGTAATTAATAAAACACTTATTTGAGGTTGGTATGCATCCTATACTAGAAAATCCAAAGGCTTTTTTTTTTTTTCTTTCTAAAGATCAAAATCCACTCCAAAGCTTTTCTAGTAATTTTTTTTCCTCATATGATTTGCAACCTTCAACAATTATTAATTTTTAAATAAATGCAAGTAGAGTTACAACTATATATCTATATATTCACCAAAACCACAGTCACAACCGCAGTCAGAATCCAACGATCTATTAACAAAAAAGAATTGAATGGCATTGGCGTACTTAGATTAACATGCTCATCAACAATCATAAATGCTTGTAAGGATAACGGATCGCTCGACCAAAAGTACTGAACCTGTCTGCCTGCAAATAATGGAGTAAGATCTTTAATTAAATGTCCAAATCATGACAGCAATAATTGTAATTGCCATATACACCAATCTATGTAATAGAGTTAATGTTTTAAAGGCTATAACCTAACACAACCAATATCCTTAAGTAACACATCATCTGAAAATAAAAGATGAGATGAGAAAATTAACATGGATTCATATGATCATCCACCCATATGCATCTGCATCACTAATTGCCACCAACTAACCTCATTTACCACTACTTATTACTGGTGTATAATCTCAGCTATCAAAAAATTAATGACAATATTGGGAGGTTTTTCGTCCAGTTCTGTAATCTTAAAAGGTATTGGTAAAATGGACATGTCATGCACATTGCAGCATTCATATCATGTGTATAAAATTTGGTGGTAATATATATATATATTAGACTAGCTTCAACTGAGACGGCACGCTAATTTGTATGGAAAAATATTATGAGATTTCACTGCCAAACAACGTTACCACACGCCCAAGTCACCTACCTAATTTATAATACCAGCTCTACCTAGCTTGCTATTTTATGGAATCCATCTCCTTCTTCCTCTTCAAAACAGCTCAAAACATATTATAGCTAATCATCTATCGAAATCTAGGTATGTATGTGTCTCTCTCTTTCTCACTGGAACACATATTTTGAGTGTTCAGGCCAGGTAATTGCTAGCTAAAGATTTTTTGCATTTGGCTGCAGTGATCTGTTTCTGCGTAAAAGGATCGTCTCTTGCGGAATCTTAATGACAACATTGAAGTGAAGGGATGGAGAAAAAGAGTAAGAATCAGCATGTATGTTAATCTTCATTTCTTTTATCAAAACAGAAATGATTAATACTTCTTCAACTTTCCTCTTAAATCTAGTTATTAAACCAGCTTGCATGCACATTCAGCGAAAAAGAAAAACAATCATTTTCGTTATTTTCAATGGAGGAATTCAAAATAAAACAAGTTTATATGTATTTTTGTCTAAAATTTATTTGGTAATGCATTGGTTTCCCCCTCTCGTGAAGTATGTACGTTGTGAAAGCTACCCTAATTAATATCATATTCAATTGACAATTTATAGTATATTCTAAGGGGATAAAAAACACCATATATATATATATATATGTATAATGAAGACAAAAAAAAAAAATCATGATAATTTATCTTCTAATTCACATATATTATCATCAAAATTAATATCTCTGGCATAATTAAGCAACTTGTAGGCCAATCCATTCCATTTTTTCTTCTATTTTTTTTTCCAAATATTACGCATGTTTTATTATGCAAGGGCATCCTTGCACTCTTTCCTAGAATCTTGGCAGTGCACATAATATTTGATTAGATTGCCCTTTATTACGACTCATACAAAGTATCATGCCGTGATCGCAACCACAAATATGAAAGCATTAAATTTTAAAACACCATAGTACTTTTATGAACTACTAGTACTACACGCTGTTAAATGTTTTATTATTATTTTTTTTTCCTTCCGGGAGCTAGTTTCCCTATTCATTAGTAAATTATAAATTAGTTCTTCAACTTTTTGATAAATGAATTAATTAATCTCTTTTGTTTTAAAAATTAATTATTTAATCTCTTAACTAATGATAATGAAACTTAATTTAATATTATTTTATTTCATAAAATGTTATCTTTTCTTTTCACTCATATTTTTTTATAATAAAATTTAAAAATATAGAGACTAAATAATTAGTTTTTAAAACATTAATAGAAATTAAGTAATTTTGTTTATCAAAACAAAGGGGACTAATTAACAACGTATATATATTTGAAAAAAAAAGATAGCTAATTTGGGGTTTTTTTTAATGAAAATAAATAGCAGGGATGTGATCCTATTGGTTCTTACAACAAACTGATAGTATGCTTTTAAGCCCTTCGTCTTGTATAATTAAAATAGAGTTACATAAAAAACAATTAATCCATCGTAGCAATTAATATGCAAATTAATTAATTGGATTATAAAACCAATTAAAATAAATAAATTCAAGACATATGCTTAACAAACGGCATCAAATCCTTTCCGTAAAAAAACCAAAAAAACAAAAAAATCCTTAATGGATTCCCTATCTATACCTACAGATCCAATTAATTAGTAATTGTCAGAATAATTCAACCAGCAATCTTGTTACAATGCACCAGCGCCGCTATGGGTTCACAAATTAGTACCTAAAGTTTCCTTTCTTTTTTCTTAGATCCAAAAGGGAACGTAATTTAGAACAGAAACCTATAGGCCCTTGCCATTTGGTCAAGGTTTTTCTTGAAAAATTAAAAGGACTAGGTTCATTTCAAAGGACTAGATCAATACACATGCATAAAGAAACAAAGGCACGCGCGCAGGCGCGCACATTACACATATATAAAAGATAGAGTTAGTTATAACTCAGTCCTTATAGTTTATCCAAAATAATTAACAAGTCCTTAGGGTACAAGAAGTAATTATTATATTTCCTTGATTAATGTTGATCATCCTCAATTTAGTAAGATCTTGTTAAAAAGATGCCTACTTTCATAGTTTAATTTCTCCATTTTATCTAATTCTCTTTTCTTTATTTTATCTTTCAAGAGATAAAAAAAAATATATTGGTCGAAAAGGAACATGAAATTTACAAAAGGACTAAATTATAACAACTCTAAAACAATATAAGGATTAAATATATAGTTTCTAGGACCATTAGGATTAATTAATTATTTTTATTAAGCTACAAGTACTAAGTTATAATTTATTCATGAAATATATATATATATATTGGGGAAAATAAGACTCCATGATTTTGGTCAAAAGCTGGCTAAGTATGGTAAGTTAGTTAATTAATCGCGGGAAATCTGATAAGAAGGTTGCATCTTCTCTCTCCAAATAAAAAAATATAGAGAGAGTAGCTCTTTGTCTGCACTCTGTCCTCATCATCTCCATCTCTCTCTTTCTCTGGCGCAGTAGTAGACAAGTGAAAAGATCGAAGGCAAAGCATTACAGTCCTCCACTAAGTAGTAATCTCGAATTTTTATATCTACTGCAGTAGGAGTAATATTTTTTAATTAATAGTCTTCTTTTTTGGTAGGCCTGCATTAATTTAATTATCTCTAACTCTATGCACATGGATTACAAACCAAGATGCATCAAACTTTTATAGAGGAAATGATACGTATGTTTTTGTTAAACTACAAGTTTTTTGGCTACTGGTGAAGCAGCACCTGCAGGCCGGCTGCCGAGAGACAAATACATCCATTTCTCTTTCTTTTTCTTGGATTCTCATGCTCTGAAGATCATCTATGTCTATATATATATATATATATATAATACTCTATTGCATTGCATCGTAATTAATTTTTATAATAATGATTTAAATAATATAAATTGACATGATAAATGCTTGAGAGAGGCCGAGGTAGTGCCTGAAAAGAAGTGGACTGTTGTTTCTTCTTGTTCTTGTTGTATACTATATTCTTTGTCTACACATATACGCTTTTTTAACTTTTGTTAAGTTCAAAATAATTAACGTACAGGAGAAGATCAAAAAGAATGGAAGCATCATCAGGAATACCCAAAAGTAGTAGTGGGGCTGGAGGAGAAGTAAGACGTATTCATATCATTTACTTTCTCAGCCATAATTTGGACCGTTTTGAGCATCCCCATCTCATTCGTGTTCATCATCTCAATCGAAATGGTGTTTATTTAAGAGGTAATTTCTTCACTGATATCTGTTTTAGAAATTAATTTGCATGTCCAGCAACAATGTATATTTATTGCGAGGCTTTTAAATTGTTATATATTTTTAAGATAGATGTCAAGAGGTGGCTTGCGGATTTGCGAGGAAAAAACATGCCAGAAGCCTTTGCTTGGTCGTATAAGAGGTTCGTTTTTGTTTTGTTTTAATTTGAAACAAAACTTATATCTGCTAATAATTAATGGTGATTATTTATTTTTATTTCAAATTAAACAGGAGATACAAGAACGGTTATGTTTGGCAAGATTTACTGGATGATGATCTGATTACCCCTATCTCTGACAATGAGTATGTCCTCAAAGGATCTGAAATTTTCGTCCCTACTGCCAATCCCTTTGGTACGCAAAATATTCCCTATAACTAGCTAATGTATATCTTCTTGATGCTATCTTTCTATATTTTTTTAAAGAAAAAAAGCAGCAATCTTCTTGATTTTCATTTGATTTAATTTCCAAATAATTTTAATTACGATTTCAGTATTAAATGTCATTTCTTTTTCCTTTTTTTCCTTTTTTGTGTGCATGTGCTTGAAAAAAATAAACAGTTGGCGGTGCATATGGCGAAAACGAAGCAGCTTCCTTGTTGATGAAAAGTGAAAATGATAGCCAAGTTAAGAATGCTGAAGTTGAATATTTAGCTGAAAACAAAGCACAAGATGATCATCAGCAACTTCCTTCACCAAACCAATTCTGTGAGGAGAATACCCCTAGAAAGACATCATCATCTGAAATTTCTCAAGAATCACCTACGTTCAGCTCAGAGATTTCAACAGTAACCGACGATTCCATCAAGGAAGAAGATGATGCATGCAAACGCAACAACTCTCCTGACCAAGAACATATAGACAATAAGGAGGAACAATATTCTTCTCTTTATACCAATTTGTTGGCCAGCAAGAGCAAGAAGAACCAAAAGAAAAAGAAAGACAACACCAGTAACATTGAAAAGATCGGCACCCCAACTTCATTCTCTTCCTTATCGTCATCAAAATCGCCATCACAATCTACATTTGCAAAGAGTAAGAGCTATTCAAGGGGAACATCCAAGATGCTACGTAATTTGATGACATGCGGTGCTGCTGATACAAACGATGCTGCATTGGTTCGCCAAAGCCAAAAAGTTAATAACAAATATAAGCCAATCGACAAGCCACCGGCTGATAAGATTTGTAAAGGAGAAGCATTTGGTGGTTCTGGCGGAGTTTTTGGGACTCCTTGGAATCAACAGCAACACCATATCGCTAATGCTAGGTATATATTTACATAAAATTGTTTAAAAATTAGTACTGGCGCTCTGTCAAAATTTGCCAGTGTCATGAATGTACAAATGGGTTATTAATACTTGGTGTTTGGATTGGCTGTACTGCATTGTATTAGCAGGAAAAGCTTTGATGGAGGGAGAGGTTCAAAGAAGCAGCATAATGGATTTGGCAGTCCAAAAGTGGTTTCTCCTGCATACAAGCCAGTGGCTGCGCCCATCTGCTCGTAAGCCCAATAACCCATTTCCTCATGCTAGCTAGCTAGATGGTACTTTTAAGTACATCACCAATTTCTTTTCTAATTTTAGATTGACCATTTTGAAACCCGTAATTAATATAGTATGTTAGCAACTAGTAAAACCTAATGATGGATGAAGCCTTGGACTGCCAAGTAGACTTACATGGAAAGGTCAAGATTGTTTAAAAGTTGACCTTCTTTACTCTTGTGAGTTACGATGATGTTGTAATGGAGAAATGAGATCAGAAGAGGCAACAAAGTCAAAGCAGAACCGACGAACCAGAGCCCCTGCCTGCATGCAATTATGACAATTGTCCATCTGAACGAACGAACATCAATCTCTCAGTCAAAGATTTAAGTCAAACATTATTATTTGCTAATTTTAGATTTTCTTTTAGAGATATAATAATAATAACTTCCTGCGAGTTATGCTAGCAGCTAGAGTGACAAGTTTTTGTAAACCACAATGTTCACACGTGAATTACAATCTGAATTAATATACGCATCCTTCCTTTTCTGGGCTTTTTTTTTAATGTCATCTCTGCATCGTTCATGTTGTTGAGACGACGTAAATGGATGCCGGCAACAGAGTGTTAAGAGTGTGTGATATAATCCAAAGCTCACTTGTTATGGTACTTGATATATCCTTCAATTTTGTTACTAGAAACTAAAATCTAAATTGCAAAAATGCAGGCAATGTGGGAAGTCATTCAGGCCAGAGAAATTGCACTCGCACATGAAGTCCTGCAAGGGATTGAAGGCACTGACAAAAGCTGCTTCAACTTATGCTGAGACAACACCATCACCTTCACATACTTCGGTTGATTCAGCATCCGAGGGTGGCTATTTATTGACTAACTGAATATTCAGTTGTAGATTTCCATAGTATATTCTGTCCAAAGAATCAACTTCCTTACAACTTCTACTGTTATTTGTGTAAAGGGAATATAGGAACATGTAGTATGGCATTTAAGAAATGGAGATTAATATATGGTTTATTTCCAAAGTTAATCACTCCAACAAGATTAAGTATTAAATGCAACAAGTATTAAATGCAGTTCATCGACAAACGTTGCCTGCAGTTTGCATCTATTAAAAGTGAACTTTGTAAAGTTTCAGCATAATTCATAAAAGTTGACTAACATTAGAAGCAAATAGTTCGAGCAATGCATATAAAAGGAATACAATTTACTATATTTCTGGCAGTCAGCTTCCTAAACCTAGGTCAACTATGGTTTTACTACTCATAACAACGCCAATCTGAAACTCGCGAGTTTCATAGTGTCATTTTGTTAGTTCTATAGATAAGTACCTACTTACCAGTGACAATGGCAGAATCAACATGTTCAAGCAGAAATCCATATAAGTTCTTCTTCAAGCCTTCTATCCTCGCATCAACCTGAACCCCACCACCAACTAGGTCATCCAGCCAATGGTTCACCCTCTTAAGCTGCCCTAGAAGACCTGCAATCTCAGAACTTTTCCCTCCGCATAACACAAAACCGATGTTCAATGAATCCTCCATATACCTCAAGAACCATTCACGAGAATCTAAGAGCAACTTTTCTGCTAAACTTGCTGTCTCCTTTAATCCGCTTCCCCTAGGACAATCTCTCCTTTCAGGATTCACTTTCTTTATAGAGGTGAGATGTTTTTTTGAAGGAGATGGCACCCGCTTCGAACCTGGATCAGGAATAAACCTGCTATGGTTTCTATGAATCAGTTTTCTTTTAGGCGATTGATTCTCAGAATTCAATTCCTCCAAGGAATTATCTAGGATGACATAATGATGTTTATCACTGTTCAAAACTTTACTCTTCTCTGGCTTCTTGAACAAACTGAATTTGGAAAGATTAGCGTGTATAGCAGCATGAACCCAAGATGCTGCATTAATATTTGTTGAACTTTTACACACATCAGGCACTACATGTCGCAGGCTGTCATAATTGCTTGATTTTGTTTCATGAAGGCTTGCATCGCTGAGTAAACAATGAACCATCATTGCTGATCTCTGCATGTTCTGGTACAGGTCCAAATATTGCTCCACTAATTGTCCTAAAGATGCTGATAGTGCAGACTCATGCAGTTCCACAAATGCTCTGGAGGGAAAAAAAAAAAAGGTATTAAGCTGGAAGATGGAGCAAAATGGATAAACAGAAAAGCTTGTCGTATAAACTGCATGATGGGAGATAAATCTGTTCTTGTGGTTTCTTTTTTTATTTAGTTTCTTTCCTACACAAGTCTTTGTATTAATCTCCAGTGGATATCATATCTACAGCATCCGGAGGCAAACCAGTGATGCATCTCACATATGAGTTTCAGTTGCTTAATCACATTGAACTATGGATGGAAAGGCAATAGAAAAATTGATTTCATTGGGAGGAGAACATAGGTCTGACATCCTAATTTATCTCTTAAAAAAGGCTTTTTCCAATGTTTACCGCCTACCTCCCTAGAAAACACAGTTCAAAGCTTTGCATCATTATCCAACCAATACCCTTCATCAACATTTGTCAAGTTGGCATCAAACTGATGACAGCCAGTGAACAAAGCTCATTGGTTAGCTGAAATTTTTCTGTAACGCATCTAGGACTTCTCTAAGCTAATCTTTCTTTGCAACGTACTGGAATTTTATAAATTCGCAAACTTGAAAATTGATATACATATCCACTAGCCAACTGTATGCAGAGTCCACAAATTAAGATTATCCTCACATAAAAAACTCGTCTAAATGATCCACACAGAAGGTGACATATGTTATGAGTTAAGCATACAAATTTCTCAACTCATCATCTATATATTCTCTTTATGCTAAATAACTCTTACTTTCAAGCTCCTCCTGTAATTTTCTAAGATTTAGTATAGTTCTTCTCCCAAAATCTTTCACCCCATTTTTATGCTCGAATTCATTTTAAGAGAATAGCTATGATCATCCAATAGTCAAAGCTTGGTAGCACTGAAGAAATAACACTATGATAAATGGCATATGGCAGCATTGGATGAGAAAATAGCAGAAGACAAACAGAGGAATAAAGGCAGACCATTTTTCTATTGCCTTCCTTTCTACTCCTATAATAATCCTATTGGCAGGATAGTAAGCAAAGTTATGGATTTCTCCAAGAAAACAATTCCATTTTAACAGGTGCACAAATGCAAAGAGCAAATTCAGAGATAACATGGTTGCACCATTGCTGCCTTCCAACCCTGGCTGTCGAAGCCTGCTGGTAGATTGCTGTGGTATGAGTCCTAAATTTTCCTATATCTGGTTGTTTCTCAGGCATAAAGTCTCACAACCTCTTTTGCTCCAATTTTAGCATCTATGACAGTCTCAAGAGTTGGTTAATTTCATCACCTAAACAAACGTTTCAAAGGCATGCAATTTAATATTTGGGATGAAATGGCATCAGTATGTACTATGTTCTCTTTCACTAGCTCGAACCATTTCCACAGGTCATGTGGAAATTGGCAAATTAGGTATAACAATATGGCCAGACACATCTTTAGGAGACACTCACTCTGTTAAATGAATCATTTTTATCAAAAGAAAATATGATAACGGGGGTTGGGTTGGGGGAGATGCGCTTTTCATCAGTCAGCAAAACAAGTTGACAATAGAAAGAAAGAAAAGGTCAAGAGATTCATACTGCATACAATGAATGACATTGTCAGCAGCCGATGCTTCTTCAAGTGCACGTGCAGCAGTCAAAACTGCAGCATTCTTACAACTAAGAGTTTCCTGAAAACACCAAGAACATAAAAAGTGAGTTCTTTTTTTCTGATGAAAAATAACCAAAAATTTATCAAAGCGACAATATGGAACGGAATCTCATAATCCGGGTATGACTTCAGACCTTTCCAAGGTTGTGAAAGGCAGGAGGAATTGCATCCCAGGAAATTCTACATTTGGACCAAGTTTTGGAACTCAGGGGAACCTGAGCAAGTAGACTAGGAATAGCCTGGTCAGTAGCTGACTTCAAATTTTTTGTCAAAGGCTTGACAGTTGCAGTGGGTGAAGAGGTCCCATTCTTGGCTTTCAATGGTGAGAGACTTAAAGATAGGCGCTTGTGTGATGAATCAATCTTGGAAGGAACGTTCTTATCAGAATGAACCTACAGCAACAGCTAGTGATCACTGACAGCATGAAAAAAATAAAAATAAATGGACAGTGAGGATGGTAACCCTGTTTTTATTTTGCTTAGTTTGTACATTGAGAAGCCCAGGAGAGGCATATGATTTCAATAAGGCAACGAAGATTAATATATGATGCGTATATCAAGTAGTAGCTCAATAAATTTATATCCATCAGAAGCAGAACATCAGTCTCTCTCTCTCTCTCTATATATATAAAAATAATAATAAAATTGATTGGTAAAAGAAATCTTAAGTGAAGAATGCAAGTGGCAGTATTAAATCAAAAACCTATAGTGCAGTAATACTAAGGAAATTGAAAAGGATAAAGGAAGGGGAAAGCAAAAACATACATTTTTGGATGATTTATAGAGAGGCACAGTTTTTGGGGTTGGAATTTGGTGGTCCCAGACCCTCCTAGCAGAGTCCAAACTCAATCTCCTCGTTTGGTCCAAACTTCCTTGCACCTTATTGTGGGCATTCCCTAAAGAATTCATTTTCCTGCGGTTGGAAGAATCCAGAAAAATATCTGATTTTTTGACAATATTGTTAATCTTGGATGGTCTTGGTCGACTTGATGACTTCTTCTCCTTGTCTTTGCTAAAATCAGCTGATATAATATTACCACTAGGCAAAGAATCACTGGACACCAAATCCTTAGGATTCCCAACACAAGGCCTCCTCTTATTGGGGACAGGCTTTAGCCCACGAAGAACAGGAACAGGAGAGCCAGAGGCAGAAACATCTAAGCGAGAAACATAAACGAACTGACCCAGTTGGATTTTGTCACTGTAAATCAAGTCCAAGTCCTCATCAGAGATGGAGGCGTAAGCGGAATGCAGAGAGTCTGAGACTTTCAAGAAGAAGCCTCTGCTGTGCCAGGGATCATTTGGAGCTCCAGAGAGAGAGGGAACGATTTCTATGACTTGAAGAAGGGCAGATCGGTGCTCACCAGTGATTCTAACCTCCTTGTTGCCAGCGCTCTGCAGTAGCTTGGAGAGCAACCCAGGCGTGAGGGATGCCATGTGAAACACCAATGCTGCTGCTGCTGCCTGCTTTGTTGTTTTCTTCTCTTTTTCCTGGGATTTTTTCTAGTACAGTCGTAATAATATTGCGACAGCATCACCATATCCCAATGCAGAGAGAGATGATCCTAGAAAGGTGAAGTCGCAATCAGAATCTCAATGCTGCGACTGAGTGCAGTGACATGGGAGAAGGTGCAAAGCTGTTCTTGGCAGAATAGATGGGACACGTGTCAAAAGGAGATCATGTGATTTCTGAGCTTGAGATTTCCGCTCAAGTGAAGGAAAGCGCGAGTTACTAGGTTTATGCCGCAGAAAAAAGAAAAAGGAGGGAAACGGACAAAGCTAGCCAGTACTAAGGACAAAAGATTTATTCCAGCTTTTCGTAGGAGTATTTTTTTTTTTTTTCCCCAAGTAAAAGACGAACGTGCTATGGAAAACGGGGGGATGTGAGCAAAATGAGAGTGGGAAGACAGGTTTCAAACTGAAATGTTATGGGAACGAAACGAGAGAAAGAGGAAATACCATCGCCGGAAAAGTTATGCAAAAGTGAGGAAGCTAAGTCACAGGGTAAATACTGGTTTGAGTAACAGAAGCTAGCTAAGCTAGGGTCCCCGTGCTATTGTGCATTTACTGACAGACACATCTTGACCATCTTTTATTTTCTTTTCTTTTTTTCTGAAGCCACCCCCAGAAAGAGAAAAGGAGAGATTCAAATTTCAGAGTGTAAATTGGGCCAAGAAACCACGAGCCCCATGGGCTTAAAAGAATAAAAGAAAAAAGTTATCCGGCCTTTTCTAATTTCTCTCCTAAGAACCAACACAACACTAAACAACTTAAATGCAATTTAATATAGACTTAATTGTTTTCTTTTCTAATTTTGGGGGTTTAGAAATGTTTGTGCTCTGATTAGTTCCGTTCCAATCGTTGAGTCCACGGAGCTTACTTGTCAATTAATGATTTTCATTTTTTCCCCCCCTTTTTTCCTTTTCATCTAGATAAAAATAAAAAGTCGACACATAGGCTATCAATATTCAACGCCTTTTGTTTGGTTCATCGCATCCTTAAAGGAAAAACATGTTCCATCTCCTATTAATGATTGCTCGACTTGCCACACATTAGGCTCCATAAATTGAGCAAGAAACGTTCTTAAACTGTTCCCTTCCTTTAACCAAACTCAAATAATGATTTTATTTTATTTTATTTTTTGGTTTGATACAAAAAAAAAAAAAAAAAAGAAAATGAAATTGAAGCTCTGTTCATTGTTCACTGAAAGCAAGCAAGTCACCTACCAAAAAAAGAGGTGACATGAGAAAATTACCAATCACACGGAGATGGTCGGTAACAAGTTACTCCCCAGCTGTATCTATAAAGAGTAATTAGCACAACGAAAGACTTCTAGTTGTTTGGTGCCACTTCATGTCTTCTGATGAACATTTAAGAGATAATTATAATTCTAGGAGGAGGGTTGCTCCTCATTCTGTTGCAAGAGATGGACAAATACCAATCCAAAACTGACATTTCACCTTTTTGATTGTTTACGAAGTAAACCTCTTTTAACCATACAATTTAGACTTAAACCCTCCAATTTTCTTTCTTTCGATCTTGGTTTTCCATCCTTTCCTCATGCATATATTCAATCATTTTCATACATCAAGCATTCTAAACTCTTCCCTTCTGCAAGTAGTAGTAGCGGTCACAGATTAAGAATAATGGGAAGTGATCAGCGCAATATTCCTAGTAAACCCCGTTATGATATTACCATGTCTAGGAGGACAAGAAAGCCATTGATGAATCTCAAAGAAGCCAGTCAAAATCCCACAACAGGCTCACCAGAAGAAGAGGGTGATGCTGAAGATGTACTTGTTGATCATGATCAAGGAGCAGAGAGCTTTCCTAAAAAAGCTGATTATGAAAAAGATCGTAAAAGAAGCTTGAAGCAACTTATAATCAAGAACGCAGGCAAGGAAAAAAGTGAAGTAACCAAGCTGGTGGAGGAGGAAACAAGGGGCGGTGGAGATGATGAAAATATGGAGAGCAAATTATTGTTTGGAAGCAGAAATTCTCTTGGCCAGCATTTCAAGGGAGAAGAAAAGCAGCAGCTTCAAGTAGTGACAAGAAAACAAAGTAACAACGGAATGGAAGGGATGAAGCTGAAAGGAATGGTGGGTCGCTATGTCAAAGTGTTAAGCCATTTGATCAGGGTCAAGCGTGACACCCACATTAATAATGGATCCCGGAAAAAGTCAGTTCTCCGGTTGCCCAAGTAACCCATATTTTCCAGGGATCACTCTTCCGATCACTACCTAAGCATATACGTTAAGTATTCTTGTTCCTCCAATGGAAAGTATCTACATGTATGATTCTGTGCATATGCAGGTATGCATATATATATATGGGTGATTTCCTTATTGTTTTCCTATAATTTTTTACGAAGATGCTAGTAGAAATTATTAGTCCTTTCCGCTGCTTAATTTGTGCAACTTCGTCTTTTTGTTGTTTCTTCAGATTAAAATATAAATTAGTCCCTCTACTTTTGAAAAATAAATTTAATAGTATTTTTTTCCAAAAACTAATTAATTAGTTTCGTGACCAATATTGACCATGGTTAAATAAATATTACTTTATTTTTTAATTTTTTTTAAAATCAATTCTTTCATATATTTTTTCTTTTCTATTTCTTAAAAAAAATAAATTAAATTAAAAAAGGACAAGAAGGATTAAGTTAAAAAAATAAAAATTAAGGATTAATTAATTATTTTTTCAAACTAAAAAGACTATTTAATTTGTTTTGAAAAACTAAAAGGATTAATTTATAATTTAGTCGTTGCTTCAAGATGAACCATTTTCCTGATCCAAGTGATTTTTCAATCATACTTTCGAAAAAAGAATTAGCATGCATATAATTTTTTTTAATAACTTTCGCTACAAAATCATTAGTAGTGCGATGTGATAAATTTAAATTTCATCATATAAAACTCATGGTTGAAATAACCAGAATGCAATTATGGTTCTTTTATTTTGGGTTTTTTGTCGTGTAATAACACATGTTTCAAATTAACGCCCCCATGACGGGGAAATTATGTAATTAGTAACTGGCATCGAACGAAGGATCACATTCTCGAGGACAACTTCAGATAAAAAGAAGTTGCTAAGGGCCATATTGAGAAAATGATGAAAGTAAAAGGGGATGAGATATTAGATTAACATTTCCCTGGCTTTTTGTTTATTGTTTGGGGAAGAAAACTGTAATTTTGGTACCTAATTTTTATTTTTTTCTCTGTTTCAGAATCCGGCTTTTATTTCAATGTTCAAACTTTGATTTTCATTTTATTATTATTTTTTTTAATGTTTGGGTATCGACAATCATTTACGAGTATGAAATGTTAATATATCCGCAAATAAACCATCGGGTGCAGTGAGATGTTTTTATGAAGATAAATATGAAAGGGTATGTTCATCTCTTAGAGTTTACAAACAAATGTATAAGCTTAATTAAACTTTTCTTGTATGTTTCAACCAGTGAGTGGTTTTAATTATAATCAATTAAGTATATTAATTCTACGTGCAACAAACATATACTGTTAATATGAAAAAGAAAAGGATAATCTAAATCTACGTATACTCGCAGACATTATAAAAATTGATGAATATAGTTACGAGAAAAAATAAGTTAGATTTCGAATATTTTTTATATGACTTATGAAAAGTAATTTGTTATTTTAAATTATAATTTAAAAGTTGTTTTACATAAATAACTTATGACAAAAACGAGTTAAATTAGAAATATGTTCGGTAAAAAATTACTCAAAGCAGTTTCTTTTAAGAAGAGAGGTAGTATAAGGTTATATTTGGCATGATATTTGCAAATTGATATACGTATTTTTAATTTTATTTTTAACTTTTGACTCAAAAAACAGTCATTAGTATGTTTCATTAGAAATATTTTTTAACTTGAATCAGAAGTTTGTTACAAAATTGAGTCAAATTTTGCTTTAATCATAAATTAAGATTTAACTTTTAACTCATAAAAAAAAATTGATATTGAGTAATTTGTACCATGAAATAAATGCACTATTAGTACACAACTTTTAACTTTTTCTCAAATGAGTGCAAGAAATTTAATTTTTTTTTTGTTTAAGTACATCAATTTTCTTTAAAACTCGTTAATAAAGTATTTTTATCAACTTTTTCATTAAATAATGACGTGTCCAATACCCTTGGAATACGAAATTATAATTTTTTTTCCTCAATCGAGTACATGGATTTTAATTTTTTTTTTAATACACTGATTTTTTCAAAATTATCAATCAATATTTTTGTCAATTTCTCTCTTAATTGATGAAGTGTTTTACTCTCGGAATATCAACTTACAATTTTTTGTTGTTAGAGGAAACCCACCCCCCCCCGCCCCCCGCCCACCAAAAAAAATATTCTATCATTTTAAAATTTTACAAAGAATTAAAAAAGAATACTTTTCTAGCTATAAAATCCCGAATTAAACTCGGTTATGATTAGGTGTAAAAATTAAAGAAATACACAAATGTGAGATTTTTAATAAAAAAGATTCATTACTTGTGAACATTTAGGGAGAAAGTTCTATCCAACAAAAACAAAATAAAATTATAATTTAGAATTTTAAAGATAACATACACCTTATTAGTTAATAGAAAAATTAATAAAAGTACTTGATTGATAATTTTAAAAAAATTAATGTACTCAAATGAAAAAAATTAAAGCTCGTGATATCGATTGAGAAAATAGATGATAAAATTACAATTTGATATATTAGGGATAAAAGACATGTCATCGGTAGTTGTTAGAGAAATTGATGAAAATACTTGATTAATAGTTTTGAAAAAATTAATGTATTCAAATAAAATAAAATAAAATAAAGTCCATATATTCATTTGAGAAAAAATTAAAAGTTAGTGTACTTATAATATAATTATTCCTTTTTACCAAAACTATTTTTAAACTCTAGCTTAAAATTATTTTAACTCATTTTTGTATGAAGTCATTTAAAAAAAAAAAAAAAACTTTTAAATTATGACTCAAAGTTTAAATTCATAATTCAAAAATCATGTTAAATGGACTCTAAATTATTATTTTGACTCTTTAGGAACTCTACTATTGTATAATTATTCGAGACTTATTTTTAGGAATATTAGTGTTTATTATTTTTTTATTTTTCCCCCTAGATAGTGTCTCTTCCTTACAAATGTTGAGAGCTCCTTACAAAACGCTCTAAAAGAAATGGAGTTTTAAGGGTGGTAATTTTTAGAAATTTATATTATATTTTATTTTGGTCTCTAGAACATTAAAATAAACTTTTTGGTCTCCTAAACTACTGCAAGCGTGCAACTTGCATTGGATTGCCCAGGCTTGCCTTTGGCCTGTAAAAGCCGAACAACCAGGCTTGCTTTTTTTATTTTTTTTTTTTAATCTTTGGTTTTTTCTTTTGTTTTGTTTCACCAATTTATGGTTTTTATTGAATTGAGTTTGAAAATTATAAAAAACCAATCATTATATTATTTTTTTTACATAATTTTTTTTTACACAAGTTGATGATTATATAATAAATACAATATATTTTTTACATTTTAAAATGAACATATATATATTAGATTATATTACTCTTATTGTTTAAAATTGATTTTTTCAATTTGTTGTTTCTTATAAAAATTATTATCAAGTTAATTTTTTATTCTTTCTTTATGTAATTATATTTATTAATAAATATGATTTATTTTCTCTAGGTATGGATTTTTGAATAATTTTTTTTGTAGTTGTTCTTAGTTGCTTAATTCTTATATAATTAAATTTTAAAAATAGAATTTACGTGTTTTATTTTCTTATTTTTTATGTAATTAAATTTTATCAAAATCATTTTTGTAGTTTTGTTATTATTGCATTATATTAACTTCAATATATTTTTTACAAGTTAAATTTTTTTAAAATATATTTTTTTGATTTATGCTACTCATCATGACCATAATCATTATGACCTAGTGAGTACGGTCATGATGTGTGAAAAATAATAACATTATAGTTGTTGATTTTATTGAAAATCAATTGTTTATCTACATATACAATACCAATTATTTGCTATTATTTTCTAATATTTTAAAATTAAAATTTTAAATAAAATAATATTTTAGAAGAATTGCCTAATAATTGAAATATAATTTTTATACTAATATTATTCATTATTTGGTAAGTAAATATATATAAATCAAATGTGTATATATATATATATATTCTCCTCATCAGTGAAAAAAGATTCATTTATTAATTTTTATACAATTTTTAATATTAATTGTAGCTTTATTTCTTCATGTAATGTAACAAAAAAAAATATTAAGACGTTTTTTTATTTAATTTATTACGGATTTTTATTTAAGAATAAATACGGAAAAAGAACAAATCGTGTTTTTTTTTAACTACAAAATTTATTCAAAACATAAAAAAAAAATTAGATACACAATTTTGATTAAAAATTATAAAATTAGATGAAATTTTATCTTTATATTTTATTTAATATATTTTAAGTAACCGACAATATGATATATGTTATCAAATTAAAATAAATATTTTTAGTTGACCAACAACACAGCACAAGAATCCAACTAGTAACTATTAAAACAGAACCAAAAACTTATTAGTAATAACAAATTAAAAATAAATTAGGTTTTTATTTTTATTACTTAATTAAGACTTCTTAAGTTTTTTTTATTATTATTTGGTTAGATTTTTCTATTATATTATCTGGTTTGATGTAAATAAATAAATGTTTAGACATTCAATTTTTTAAAATGTTGAACTATTCTTTAATTTTCTTCGCGAAGTATGTCTATTTTGTTTTGATTCTCTCATTGGTTCTCTACACTAGTTTATGTTGACAGAAAATCCATTTGCGGCATGCATTAGGACTTTAGATTTCCTAACATACCGGCCCGCACATGCGCGCGCACCAATTTGAAGATCGAAGGCCCGAACCTTGGGGAAAAAACGATTAAATTATAAATTAGTACCTCTAATTTTTTTACACAAATTAAATAGTTCTTCTAAATTCGGTAACTAAATAATTAGTTACTATAATTTTTAAACCTACGTACAACTTAACCCTTTTTATTTTTTTACCTTTTTTAATGAATAAAAATATGAAAAGATTATTAAAAAAAAAAACACATTTAACCAGGATCACCAGTGATAGAGAAGACAGAAAGACTAATTCATGGTTTACTAAAAAAAAATAAAATAAAATAACAAAATAAAAAACAAACTCACTGAACAATCAACAGAAGTCCTACAAACAGACCACAAAAGCAACTTCCACTCAGCCAACAAATTACCCTGTCGATTGCTTGCTTAATCAAGTTGTCAGCTCCAGCATGCAACGAATAAGAACGGAACAGAAATTTCAGGGTGAATAGATCCATCAAAATTAATTTCATAATGACAACTTTAATTTCATGAGATTTCCTACAATCGTTTCATAACATGGTGTAAAACAATATTACAACCAAAATATGAAGATTCTATTAAGAAAAAGAAAACCCCGTGAGCATAAATGAACTATCAACGATCACATCCCAAAAGGAAGTAAAAAAAACCAAAATAATAATACTAAAAATAATAATTCCCTAACCGGTACTATAATATCCATATTTCAACAATCTTCTAGCTGCATGGGATCGCTTGGCCTTCGAAGCTTCCATTCACATTGGTATTCGATCGAAGCAATGAGACGAACAGTCAGGGTTGGTTATATAGAATCAGAAGCTTTTGTAAATCATTCCAACAGCGGTTCCACCAAGGGATTTGAATAAGGTGTTTGGAGTTTCATAGTGTATGTGATAGCCACCCCAGCAAGTGAACAAACAGCTGGAAGCAGACCCAAGCCATATCTTGTGACTGAAATATACTCTGTAGAAAGGGTTTGCTCCGATCTTGGTGAGGTGCCTGCATTTAACGTGGGTGGCGTTAAATAGGTTTAAGCCACGAACCAACTAAAGGGCTCTGCAAGTAAAACGCGTGTACCAAATGCTTATGAAATGGGGACTATATCATCCTCACTCTAATTTGTGGTTTTATATGGTCCAAATTCATGGTAATAGTAAGGATCATCTAGTTATGATGGTCATTCATACTATATGTTAAGCAAGAAGCATTCCAGGGCATTGTAGACCATGCTCAAACATAAACCACCATTGAGGTTTCATATTAAGACGCAGCATGTCGAAACAAAAGGTCAGAAGGTATATCTGCAATCTCCCATCATCAATATAATGCTACTCTAAGAATAGAAATACAGAGTCTACTAACTACAGTTGCCATGCAAAAACCACCTTATTATTTTTTTCTCTACATTGTGCGAAGAAAAGATCAGAACAGGCCTTTCCATTGGAGAAGACTTACTTTGAAAAGACTGAAGCACAAAGACAGCAATTCCACATGAAAGCTTGTCTAGGAAACTCAAAGATCCATAAACAAATGCACAGCCATTTAGATCTGAACCAACTAGAACACTTTGCATGCTTACTCCAGCTACCTGTTATTCATATTTGGATAAAGGAACAAGAAAGAAGGAAAAATGAAAATAACCAACAATAACTACAAGTGCAACAAATTTAAGTCATTCACAAATTGGAGGGCACCAAAAAATTCATAACAATAACAAACAGAAACTAAAATACAAGATTTAAAAAATAGGATAGTGCAATGGCAAGAAAAAACAGCCTTGGAATCCCAACATGAAAATCTCAATGTCCCTATATTGCTTTCCCTTTGTACTGGTGTTTCATGTAATAGTACCTCTTTTTCTTTTTTACCAACAATCTATAGTTTTCATTTTTATGACTGTCTCTAAAAAGCTAAGACGTAATAAACTAAGATCAAGACTACAAACTGTCAAAGACAAATACGGCAAACTTTGTAATTGAATTTGGTCAATCAGGACTAAGACATTCCATCATGCCAACAAAGTGCGTATATAAATTTTCTTTCGAAAAAAAGAAACATATTTACACTCGCAGGGAAGCAGGAGAAAGCCACTAGGACTTGTGAAGCCAAAGAATAACAAAGAGTGGAGATTTAACCACACAATTCCACCACATAAAGTATAGTCTAAAGTGCAGAATCCTATACCGTACCGTCATTAGAGCGTTCGCTATGCCAATAACTACTGATATGACATACATGAAAGCACGCATGCTTCTAGGCAAAAAGAGGATGCTTGCACCACAGAATACCCAGAGAATGCCACCAGCAGAATAGCAGGCTTTCAGGCGTTGTCCAGTCCATGACATTTCCTAGAATGAGGATACATGAAGTCTAATTACCAATGAAAGGGAAAAACATACAAAAATCACGTAAAGATTTCAAATAAGGTATATGAGGTCCACCTGCATAGTGACAGATACAAAGAAGCTGCTGATATAGATGATTGCAGGGACCTACTTCCATCAAACAGATATGTTATCAGTTTATTCATTTTCCAAAGAAAATCCTCATAAGACTGATAAAATTGATGCTGATAATGTCTGGGCACCTACCAAAGCTTTAGCTGATTTGGCCATCCGCAGATCATCCATAACATAGAATGCAAGATATGCCTGAAGAAAACAAAGCCATCTCGGTTTGAGAACTGAATATAATGAATGCCAATTTCTTTCGAAATGACAGATAGCTTGTTTACACATAGTTATGCAGTGGAGTGCTCGTAAGATATTGAAAAGAAAAAAAAATGAAAGCTGATTTCTTGCAAAAAATTTCTTCCTCTAAAATGATAGACACGGAGCAATTTGTCCTCAAAAAATAATGAATCCATGGGGAACTTTGGCTCCCCACATATTTCTAGTGTATCTTATATACAAAATATTAACTTGAGATTGAATGAAATAAGTGGCATACAAGACGAAGGGAATGTGGTCTGACCTGTGAAACATTTTGTACAAGTCTGGTAAGCATATAGACAAGACCGACTTGATAGTATAAAACTTTCTTGAACCAGTAAGCCCATGATATCCTTGCATAACTAGTTCCATGTACACGTATCTTTAATCTGAATTAAAAGGGTAATTCTATTACTATAACCAACTAGCAGTTACAATAAAAGCATCACTTTATGCACGAGAACCATGAGTGCTGTGTACAAAATTCAAATAGCGAAGTGGCATCTCATCTGTTTTATGAGTTAAAAGAATTTTTTCTTCAGTACTGCACTTTGATAGGTAGAAGCAGAATTATCTACTAGTAATCAGTACTCATCATCGCAGTTATTCATTGCAATTCTGGTACACTAGGCAACATAAGCAATTACCAAAACGCCATCTAAGAACAGCAAAAAGGGCGAAGACATATAGCAGTACCTTGGCTCTTTAGTTCCAAGATGAAATATTCCCACAAAGCAGCATCCAATAAAAATTACCGTGTACGCAATCCAACGGTACTGCTCATTTGAGGCAAATGTCAAGACAAGTCCCAAAAGTAAGTTCTTAAAAGAAAATAGACACAGATCAAGCTCATACCTGATTTTCAATATCAGCATGTGTTTTTGCTTTACTGGTACTGAATACTATTAATGCAACAGCATAAAGACTGAGGTTTGCAACCTATAGAACATTTGGAGATTAAGTCGAAAATGAAAATGAGGATCAACTTCAATTCTACTGCATTGATAAGTACTGAAAGAAATAAAGCACTAATCCAAAAGTCAGAGAAGTTAACCATGGTAAAAGCATTTCGACAGCTTGTCATCGCCACCCTGCTTGTTGAATTCAGTGAGATGCAATTCACCATGGACCTTTAATGAAAACAAAAATGAAGTTGATAGCACAAATACTGCAGCTTTCTAACAGATGCAATTACAACATATCTGTAACTCATCCATGGAGTCTTAGAGAATATGAACAACGTAAAATGCGGTGTTGGTGATAACTGCTTTTCTATTTCATCTCTAAACAAAACAATTGGATACTGTTCCAGCTTTTCTATCAAGCAGTGGAAAGGTTAAGAAAATTGTAAAATTATTGAGGTATGTAGAAAATCAAATTGTCCATCAGATTTGAAGAATTAAGAATAGCGAATGCACATTTCAACTAGCAGAACTAAATTGTGGAGATCGTTACATGTGTGAAACTTGTGTGGCAGCCCAACCCATATTGAAGATTGCAGCAAACGTGCTGTATGAAATAGTTTCTACTATCGATGAACAGGAAGAAAATATTTGGCATGGAAAGCAACCGCCAAAAACTGAAGAAAATGAAATGGCAACCAAGATAGATCCCGCACCATGCCATATTTTGAAATGTCCAAACCTGTCTATCTATCAAGCAGACAGTTAAAAAACAAAAATTACTCCCAGAAAGGAAGACCTAGAATTATCCAAAAATGAAAAGCACATAAAATTATTCAACAATTCAGATCTCATCCTTTTATTTCAAATACAAGGCGTGAGCATCTATGTTTTAGACAATGCTTCATGACATTATCTGCATCTAGTTAAAATTGAATATGCAGAAGAACTAAAGGTGAAATTCAAAATAAGGTCAAAGTTGAACACTTGTCCATTTCTGTCACCATACAGTCAGTTTTTTCATGCTTGGCACAAATTTAATAGCAGATGTAGTTTGAACTTTTACAATCATACTCAAAATCGAGCCATAGACCATTGGCTAATTTCTGCTGAACTAACCTATATCAAATAAAGAGTTCAATCAATGCAGAAGAGTTACCATAGTCATCGATACAAACAACAATTCAAGAAGCTCTTTCTCTCTTTTGGTTTTTCTCCACTAATGCTTGGAAGCCAAAGCATGGTCGTAAATGTAGAAAACACCAAATTACAGCTGACAATTGCATAAGAGAATCACTAAAATAACAAGCCAACTGTAAAGTTCAACGGATATGCATATTAGGGCATGCTAAAAAGCGAAGTCAATGAAGCCTGCTCTAAATCCTTAATCATTTATATTTGCCTTCCTGGATCAAGGTATTTCTTAGGTAAACAGTTAAATATTAAAAAAAAAGTACACAAGATCTGCAGATAGACTCAACCTTTTACCCACTAAAAGTCTCATTAAATATACATTAGAGTTTCACCATATTCTTTCAAAAATGTGTTGCATAATTTAAACAATCCCATGCACAACATCTCACTGTTGCAAATCACTAGTGACATTAATACTTTCAATCAGATTGGACATGCTTTCAGTTTCTTCAGGCACAAAACATTCGAGAAACAACAACCAAGGTGGATCTATAATTTTCCAAGACAGTTTTTCTAAAACAATCATAGGCCACATATAAAATATCAATTCCTTTCGTCAAACAAATTGAGAAATTACAGGAAGGAAAAAAAAAGGCTCAAAATGAATGCTATAAACCTGTGTGTGTTTGTGTGTTCATTTACAATAAAAAGAAACGATGTGCTGCAATAAAATTAGTTTAAAGGTACCAGTTCTCCAGCAAATACAGTAGCAAATCCATCAGCTATCTGACCTGAAAGCATAACTATAGCAGCATCCCTGTAAAATAATCGGTGCAAATCATGAACTATGACAAGGATACACTAACAGCAACAGAAAAATGTCTGTTATTATTACATCTTTATTGCTAGGTTTTCATTACTTAAACCAATAAGAAACAGTCTTGATAACACGATCATCTGACCTTGGTCTTTTGCCTCTTTTTTTCCAGGAGATGCACCACAAATGTACCATGAAGCTTAGGTACTTTCTGATTTCTCATCTCATAAGGGGTTATCTTCTACTTTTTTCAAGAAAGATATAAAACGTAACTACTCAAATTTATCAAACATGTTAAATCATCGTTGCATCCTCTTTAACAACTGCTAAATCCAATCATGCATGGGATAACCCGCAAGTGATTCTTATGTATGTTTCTTATCAGGAAAACAAGGGGAAAAAAAGAAAAGAAAAGAAAAAGGCAAAAAGACATGGGCATACACAGGGATACACAAAATCACTGCTAGATCTCAAATATAAAATGTAGCACCAATGTAGTTTTACTACAAAAATTTATGACCAGTTACCTTGGCGACAGTCCAATTTCTGTCAGGAACAATAGAAGATAAGTAAACCAACAGGCAGAAGTGATGTCGTTTAGCATATGACCGACACCATAATAGAAAACAGACCTCCTTCCAACAGGTTTTGGGCATGAATCGTCATCTTCAACATCATTAACCATTATGCTTTACAAAAAGTTAGATTCTGAACCTTTTTAAAACTCTCTAAGAAGTGCAGTTCCTGATCTTTGGGAACCTGCAAAGAGGATATTAAAGTCGAAAGAGCAGAATACAGATATCAACTCCGCTAATTAAGTAGAAGAGAAACAATAACATTTTCACTAGGCAAACTGTTCTAACATAAGAAAAACCGAAGCATCCCCCTCCATAGCAAGTACAGAGGATTCAACCAAGCATATGTCACAAGGTCACGGATTATCATTTCCTATCGAAATCGAAAGGTGTTTAAACACTTCCATTCAATATGAACCATCATCCTAGTTGGCCTTTTCTTCCCCCCCCCCCCTTTTTTTTTGGGGGGGGGGGGGGGGGGGGGTTGAAATAACAAAAAGTAAAAACCCTAAATTAAATAAAGCTAAAAGAAACAAACAAGTGAAAAAAGAAGAAGCCAGTTGAATAGATTTCTCAACGTGCAAACCCTGTTGTCATAAACTTGCTATATATGCGGTCATAAGTTAAAATACAAGAGAGCAACCCAATTTTGACAAGAAGGGGCGAGTTGCCTTTTATAGATGTCCTCAATTTTTGTTTTCCTTCCTAAAGAAACCAGGTAAAGAAATTGAAGAGATCAAATCTACCAAAATGGAAAGAAATGAAGAAGTAGTTGATACTTGTTCATCATCATCTTGGCAATGAAATTGGCCATAACAAAATTCATTCAAAATGAACTGAGAGAGAAAGAGAGTAGTATGTTTGCATATATGCATGTAAAAAAAAAAAAAACAATTGTATGTACTGTACACATATCACCACACTACACTTAAACTTATGAAGCATAACAATAAGAAACAGAGAGGGGAAGAGGAGGAAAAAGAAAACAAAACTAATCAATTCAACAATACATGATAAGAAGGAAGAGCGAACCCAGTAAGAAGATAGAGTAGCACAGCAGCAGCAACGAAATCCTCCAAATCCTCTCTCTTTTTCCTTCTTCTATTTATATGGGATAGGATTGGATTGCATATAATTAATTAAATTAATAAATATGTAAATTGTATTCGTATCAGTGGATGAGTGGAGAGAGAAGGAATGGAAGGAAAGGACAGGAAAGGAAGGCGGTTCATTTTTGTACTTTCCTTCGCTGAAAAATTATTAGTGCATCAGCAAAGCTTCTTCTGTTCGTTTCTGCATTTAAAAGACTGATTTGACTTTTTGGAATTCGGAAATTCAACTGTCCTCCCCTCTCTCTCCGCCCTTTTCAAAGCTATGCTGACCGAGAAAGACAATATTACCCCTAGCCTAGCCTACCTGGTCGAGCGGTCGATATGGGATGTGTTGATTTGAGGAGGTCAGTGGTCATTCTACAGACCAAAACCCAGAAACAAAGAAAGATAAAGCGAGGAAGGGACGGAGGAACGGCTGCCTTGAATGAAAGAAGATAACTGAGGCCGCCGACGAAGAAGCCACGTCATCTATCGCTTTGCTATTGCGAACCAAGTTGTTGAAACTGAAAGGAGGAGAGAAGATATCACTATGTTACAACATGGGTCTCTTTCTTTTCAAGGTTTTGCTTTCGGTCAATCGGTCGGGCCTACTTTCCATCACTCTAACAACCAATTGGGTCCTGGATGTATCCATAACTTCTGAATTTGATCCTTCCTTTAACAAATATGCCTAACATTGTCCATTTGTAGGGGACTCAATTGGTTACAAATCCAAGTTTGGTAACTGATGGAGAAAATATTTATGAATTGGGGACTAATGTAAGATTACCCCAGATTTGCGTTTAATAATTTATTGATCAAAAAAGGATCGAAGAAAAACTAATGACGTGTTTTACGCAAAGTGCATTTGTTTGTTGCTTTACGGCAACCCCTTCCTTGTGGTTGTGTGCCCTCTCCCTTCACCGAACAGTGTTGAAATGACTTGTTGAGAGAAACATGTGACTAAAGTACAACACATCAAAGGTCAGGAGACAAAACCGAATGTTAAGTATCAAAATAGTCCCTATATATATAATAATTATCAATTTAGTCCCCAAACGAATAATTTTTTCAATTGGATTTACCAGATTTCAGTCCTTCCTCTTCTAGCACCACCATCAATGTTTAATATTTTTTTCCGTCTAAGATGAAATGATTCGATCCGGTTATTTGTTTCAAAAGTTGAATTTAATTATTTATACAGAATATACTCTATATTTGCAAGTACAACAATTTGCTCTATTTCTTGTTTTTAATGTGTATTAGCAATGAATTAAATTAGTTGTATATTTATTTCTCCCTGTTAACGTCATGAGGAGGGTATTTTGAATGGTTTATCATCATTTCATTTTTTATTACTATTTTTCAACAATTTCTATGATATTTTCACGTTATTAACCGTGGTAGCATAAATTGAAAGGCATGATTGATCCATATATGATGACTACAAGCTATGGTTTTTTCTATTTGCAGAGAAAAGTGAAAACTATAGTCGGTGGCTACATACAATTAATTAAGAAAATTATTCTGACAAAATATCACTTATCAATCATAACAAATCATAATCTAGCTAAAAAAAAGGGTGAAAAATCACAAATGATTGCTCACAAGAAACGATAAAAAAAAAAAAAAAAAAAAAAGAGGGAGGGAGAAACCCTAAAAATTTTCTTTGATATGAAACATTGAAAACTCAAATCCTACTGATGATAATCAAATATTAATTACAAAACAATGTTTCCAAAAAAAGGTATTATGAAAAGAGTAAATAGTCAATGGAATGCACTAATCTACTGATTCAATGCATAAACTAAAGGAGAAGTCTCAATGAATACCTAATTATCCATTAATTTTCAATTGAATCGTCAAATTAAAAATTCCTAATTCACATCTTAAAAATTTCAAACTTTTAAATTAATTGAGACTCCTATCTCTGTTCGTTGATACTTTATTCTAAAATGACACTTTATGTCGGGAAATGAATATCTTCTTGAAGTCAATATGACATTTTTCATTTGAAATTTGAGATGATTTTAGATGGAGAAATCAGTGGATTAAAAATTCAATGTATGGTGGATCTAATTGAAAACATTAGTTGTCATAATCCGTTTATTTTGACTTTAGACACGTATACGTAATCTAACGAATTCACTTGTATTTTTATCTTATTCTTTTTTTAACCGACCATGTGATCAAGTCATACAAGACAAAAGAAGATCCCATGTTTCCGGGACGAAAGAAACTTATGCAACTTTATGACATTATTGCTGACTTTAATTTTCAGCAAACCAAACAAATATCCTAAAGAAGAGGATGAGTTTGTGAACGGGAGAGAGAGAGAGTACACTGCCTTGGTGAACTGGCCTTAGTGAATGGTAGTTTCTTTCGGCAGCAAATAGAGTGAGAGGAGACAGGTGCGAACTGACGACCTTAGTGAATGGTAGTTTCTTTCGACAGCAAATAGAGAGAGAGTTGACACGTGCAGGTGCCATAAGACTGAAATTTTAATTGCTAGCGAGCCAACGATTTAAGAAGATAAAAAGACTAACCCCTTGTTTCTTGTTTGGATAATTCCTACTAGGAGGAGGAAGGGAGGAAAGAAAAAAGATGAAGAAAATTATTTTTCACTTGTTGTTTGGATAAGAGTGAAAAAAAAACATTTTTTTGTTTGGATAATTGTAAAACGAGGAAGGAAAGAAAATGCATTATTGTATATTTACTATAACACCCATGTGATTATATTTCTATATTTAAATACTTATAATAAATTTGTATGGATATTTTTTTCATGAAAATAGCAGAAATGATAATAAAATAAAAATCTAGCATGTAAGCATCTATCCGAAATGATAAGATAGATAATAAATCGTCTTCATAGAATAATCGATAACTCGTTTATTAATTAATTAATTCAATAGTCAATTTAAATTAATTATCAACATAAAATTAATTTAAATATGTATAATATGTATTATTATCTATGCATATAATAAGTTAATCGCTTTTACCCATCATTTTTTCAACTTAGGAATACCTCTATTATTACTCATAAAAAGCAAATTCTTCTTAACTCAAAGCCATCATTCTTGGCATTTCATCATTTGGGGGCTCTTCATGTTCTTTCATCATCTACCGCAACTAGAGCTTTTTCAAATGGGTTTTGCGATACTACCCAAGACAAAGAGATTTTGCCGTCCTCCGAACCAAAGCCTATCAAATTTCTCTTTTGGGTCGCATTTTAGGCGTCTTTTTCTCTTTTTTGGTTTGCGGCTTCCGGGAATGCTAATGCAGCTATTGATTCCATCAAAGCCTCCGGCTTTGGTCTAAAGATTGCTACCGCGCTTCGTAGATCGGGCCGGCTCGATGAAGTTGTGGTCTTTGCTCGTGCTACATTTCCCGTGCTTCGAGCTCCGTGGGGCTATTCCCGTTGGTTATTGGATGCAACTCAACCCTATGATGCTCACTTTCTTATCCGTTATTGGGTAAGTTTGGTTTTGGTTTTTTTTTCCCCTCATGATCATCATTATGGATGCTCGGTAGATAGAGATATTTTCATGAATTTAAAAGTTGTGGGTGCTTCATTCGTCGTGAAAAAAAATTGTGTTGCTTTGTCGTCTACACTCACCTTAAACCCATCCGAAAGGATAATTCCGTTGAACATATAATTAAAGCTAAATTAATTGAATTTCGTGGATAATTAATCTCTTTCGATGATTTGTGTTCCTTTCCATTAAGTTTGGTCGACGAAATTCGTAGTTTATGTATAGGTGATTAATTATGCGAATGGGTGTAAACTTGATTTTTGTAGATCCGTTATTAATGAGAGATGATGGCAGAGAAACGGCTTCGGCGAGAGAGAGAGAGAGAGATGGTGTTTGCGAGAGAAGGGAACGGCTAAGGCAAAGGCAAAGCCGTGAAAACAAAAAAAAATTTCATCCCTCCCGTTTTTCTCCCCGTTTCCTCCCAATTTTGGGAGGAAAATGGGTCCCACTATTTCTACATTCTTTATTATTATTTTTTTCTTTCCTCTAGTTTCCTCTACAATCCAAACGAAGGAAAAGTTTCATTTCCATCCCATTTTCTTTCCTCTCCCCCGCTTTCATCCCTATCCAAACATGGGGTAAAAGAAAGAAACTTCTTCTAAATTTCAATGTATATTGAAAATCACTTTATAAAATTATAATTTTTGTTTTGATCTACTTAAACTATATTTAAAAAAAAAATCATTTTTCACTTTTTTGTCATTTATATAAAAAACAATTCAATAAATAGCTTTATAATAGAAATCATTTAATGAAATTTATCCGGAGCTCTCCAAAAAAATTGAAATTATTGCAAATTATTTTTTTCTAGTTTTTAACATTTTTAATGTTCAAAAGATAAATATAATTTTCGATTTTCAAAAATTCTAAAAAATTTTTTAAGAAAATAAATTGAATTTTCTCCAACATGTGTGTAAAATCCATATCAAAATACCAAGAATTGAATTTTTTTAAAAGAAGCAAGTGATAGTTAAAAATCATAAAATGAACTAAATCTATTAAAAAAAAGTTTACATAGGTCAAAATATAAATTAAAAGTTCGGAGACTAATTTTAAAATTAACTAAAATTCACTAAAGGTTTAGCTTTTTTAGCCCAAACAAAATCATGTAACTTTTTATGAACAACACCTAAGAAAAAAAACCCATTGATAAATCCTAAAAGCCCGAATGCTTCTATTCGGAATAGTTTTTGATCATTTTCACATTAGTCACTATCAATTTTAAAACAAAAAGTATATGCATTAAATAAAACATGATTTTCGTGACGTACCAATCCTATCAATTATGATTATAAAGAAGTTTCCATTCATCTAAATAGTAACAAGTATTGATCAATGGTAGATATTCTCTAAAAAAATGCTAGAAAACATAAAATACCAAGAAAAACACAACAAAATTCTAATCTCCCCGAGTGGAGAAACTTGTCCAATATGAAAAGATTAACATCCTAAATGTTACAGGTTTAACTTCCTAAACTCTAAAACTAATATAACATAATGTATCTTTTCTTATTTTGATCAAAATACTATTAAGCCTACTTAAGTCAAATACATCTATTCGTATGCTAATTTAATCATCAAAATGTTTTTCCAACACCGTAAATATGACTCGTTTTATTAGTACTTGATTCAATAATTCATAAATTATATCAATCACTTGATCGATCCGGATCAAAAACCATAACTATTAATGATTATCCGTAAATCACGACTTTATAACCAAACATATGTTTTGGATCATAAATTGGGCTATGCAAACACAAAATAAAAAGTAAGCTTAATTTCCCTCATAAATTATTAATGCTAATTGGGATATTTATTTAAAAGATTTGTTTAGACTCATCATCGCTAATTGCGTAACTCTAATCCATGAAACGTAACAATTTTGGATAAATATTAACATACGAAAAAAGATATATAAAGAGAGTTTTTCAATATGAGCTAATAATATAAAGCATAAAAAAGCGAGGGTAAATGAAGTTAAGAATATTTAATTGTTGCGGATGTTAACGAAAACCCGCATAATTTATATTTGTATCGTACCTTATACGGATGTATAATTTGGAACTATTTCTTATTCCTACTTATTTTTTAGATTTCCTCATCTCATAAAATCCCATTTATTGTAAATGAGAGAAAAAAATATAACATATGTCATTTATTTTATTTCATCAAAAGGTCCATGAGCTTTGGATTATACAATGGAAGATAGTCCTTTATCATTGAAAGTTATTAAATAACTGGATCGGTAAGACTCGAACTTAGTTTACTAAAAAAAAATTCTTCGAATACCCAACCATAAGAATATACTTGCTTGTATGCATAACATTACAAGAAAAAACAAAAACACGCAAGTTATTTACTATTCCTTTGCCATCCCACACACCCATTTCCATTTCACTCAAGTTTGTCATAATTTTTTTCTTTAGTCCCTCATGCTTTAAACAACTTTTGTTTCGATCTTGAATTTCATTTACGTTGCATTTTGGTTCTTAATAGCTCAAAGGAGAGAGAAACGAAGATAGAAAGGAACGACATGACCTATTCCAACCATATTGGTTATCAAGCTTTCCATCATTTTAGGAATAGAATTCATTTGTGGTGGTCACAAATCGTGAAATGGTAAAAGGAAGAATATCGGAAGGTCGAAATATTTTGAGTTTTTTTACTTTGATTTGATTTTTTTTGAGTTTTCCGTGTATTAAAATGGATTGAGTTTTCAGTGCATTAAAATGAATTTTGAGGTTCAAAACAAGTTTGTTGATGTTATTTCGTGATTTTGAGGTATTTTTGGACAAAAGCCGAGATTGGATTTGGGTTTGGAGAGGCTGAAAAATCTACACTCGACTTTTCGACATCATTTTCAACGAACTAGTTCGTCGAAAATTACGGACCCATTTTTTTCTTTTTTTCTTTGCGAGGGCTTGGACCAAGCCCGTGCGCCAGCTTTCCTCTCCGACCTTTTTTTTTTCAATAATTGATTTTTTAATGGATTTTTTAGAAAAAATCATGAAAGATTGATTTTTTTTTCATGCGATCCGACGAGGATAAAATATATGTGATACATTTTAGATAATTTATTTGAGGTTTTATATATATATCCGTCGCTTTATACCGCACACTCACAACTCATTTAGTATAATTACAATGTATAAAAAAATATTAAATTGTCAATTTAATTGAAAATTAACTATATATGCATCTACACACATAACACCAACCATTCATTATTATTATTTTAATATTATATTAAAAAAAAACTCATTGAAACAACATGATTGAAATAATTTTTTAAAAGAATCATCAAACAATTCAAATGCATATGTTTATGCTAATATTATTGATTATTTTGTGTATATAATATATATATTAAATACATATACTTTCAAAAACTAACCTCCTTATCAACAATAGATAAAAATAAAAATTTATGTTTTATTTGGTAATTTTTATCCAAGTCTATACATTAATTGTAGCTTTATTATTATTATTATTATTTTAATACAATCTTATTAAAAATATATTTTTAAAGATTTTTTAATTCTTGATTAATATTTCAGTTTGTATTATTATAAATTTGATTTAGAAATTAATGCATAAAGAAGAATAAATTATTTTTTTTAAGAAAAAAATTTATGAAAAACACGAGAAAAACTTAATTAAATACAAAACGTTAAATAAAATTTTTTAAAATTTTAAAATAATTTTATTTTGTTTGACCTACAGTTGAACGCTGGCAACCGATTAGTATTTTCTAAAATCCAAAAAATCAAATTATTACGTGTGCTAGTGTTAAACCCATACCTTATTTCTAAAGCATTTATACGAATACTGCACACTGAGTAAACATCATTCTATTATCAGTAGATATTTTGAGTAAGTTCTAAATTATTTTCTTTAATTTTTAAAAAATAAATTAATTAGTTTTTTTTATTTTAAAACTTATTTAATTATTTTTTAATCAGTATTGATCATGATTAATTTAATATTATTTTATTTAAAAAAATTTTTTCCCTCGTCTATCTTTTTATATACTTCTGCTAGTTTTTAAAAAATAAAAAAATAAATTGAAAAATAACAAAAAATTTAAGTTACAATTAAATTTAAAAATATAAGGATTACTTAACTAGTTTTTAAAAGAAATGGAATTATTTAATTTGTTTTGAAAAAAATAAAGTACTAATTTATAATTTACTCTTGATATTTTGATATTGTTATAAGTGTGTGTGAGAGAGAGAGAGAGAGTTTGTCTCGACTTCCTCGGTGACGTGTGGATGTGGTTTTCTTTTGAATGCAAATGGGGAGAGAGAGAGAGAGATAGTGGACTGTGGACCGGTGTTGTACGAATGAACGGGTAATTGCCAAGCTGTACTATTAACTGGGCCTCGCAAATTGAACAAAGTAAATGGGCTCTGAGTAAGCTTATTTTCTAAGGTCCAAATGCAAAGTTTCTTGGGCTTACTAAGTCCAAAATCAAAATCAAAGAGCTTTACCTTGACAATTACTTAATAAAATTGTAGGTTACCATCAAAATTCAACACTGGTGCTGGGAATTAGTATTACAGCATTTCATTTTCTCAAAAGATTGAATTGAAGATATATATATAATATATATATGGTCGGGGCTGGGATTCCTACATGAACAAGTGTGCATGAATATTGAAACAACATATTAAAACCCCTAAAGATACAATCTCCAACCCAAAGTTTGTGTTCCCATTGTAGCATCCATTGCTCTTCTGTTGAGCACTTGTTCCCTTGGAGTTGCCACCTGCTGCCACCAGACCATCCATAAAATCAGTATTGCAATTTGATTACACATTTAATTCATATCCAAAAAACAATAGTATTTTCTAGTTCAGCGAAAGGAATTAATAAGCACAATTTTACCAATAGGGCTGGGACTGAGAGCAGGGCTATTGGCAGCATGATTAGAGCTGTTGGCAAATTGATAGAAAACTTGAGCATCTGGTGAATTAGGAGGCAGGTTGAGAAGAGCTGCAATCAACGTTAATGAAGTTATATATTACTTAACAAAGAAACTAAAACTTTTGATCATGTCTTTGACAAGGCTGAGAGTCAAATATTTTGTAATATATACTTACTGGGGCATTGGGAAACGTTGGCAGGGGCATGGCAAACAGTAGGGAGGCCCAAAGCGAGAGTAGCATTGATCTTGAGACCTAATTCAGGATCATTCCTGTCTTTAATAATGACACACAAACACTTCTTGTTGTTCTTGAGAACTTGCTTTACGCCACTGCAACAATCTGGGGTAGGAGCTTTGGCATCACCTCCTACATAAGGCAGACATGTAGCCAGTCCTACAAGCTGTTCTGCACATTCTTCTTTGTCTTTATTCGTATCTGCCATTGCAAAGCTCACCATAGCTGACATTAACACTATAGTGAACATTGTCAGTCGAACTGTAGTGTAATGGGAAGTCATTGCAAGAGATCAGAATCAACAACAACTCAATAGAAGACGCCCCAAGAAGCAAGCATGCATAGAAGGGACAAAAAAAGTTACAATTTATAGCACTACATGTGTGTGGTTAATTTATTTGATTAATTTTGGACTCACTAAGAACATAGCCAGCGCATGCTACTTTTTTGGTTGGAACTTTCTTTCAATGGATAACATTTTGAATCTAAGGGTTTTCAGCTTTTGCAAAATCAAATAAAACATGGAAAGCAAGATAGTGGAACTTGGATGGAGGACCCTCGTGAGATGACAAATAAAAGCATTATTCATATATAGAAGTGTACCAGAAAAAATGAATAAAATAAAGTCATAGCCATAGCCATAGTCATAGTCATAGTCGTTATCGAGTGGGGTTTGGTGAAATTCGAGGGAGTGGTAATGTGAACAAGAGAATGTAAAGAAGGAATTCTGGGGACGAGCTGCTGTAGTGGTCTGCCGCGGTCCCAGATGAATTGAAACAAGAAGTGGATTGCAAAAGTGGGTCACTTCACCAACCCACCATTGACAAGAACAATGATGCTATGTGCCCTGTAGTTCTTATGTCATGATTGGCAGAACATCCAAGTGCTCTGGGCTTTCAATAATGTTGTGGCTTCTTGTGACATCATCCACCGTTTTGATGACACCATACATACCTTAACATGGATTTTGATGGGAAAATTAGGGTTTTGAATTTGGACAACTCATGATCAGCCCATTGGATTTTAGAAAGGAATTTGTACTCTCAGCCCATTGGATTAGCAACTCTGATCTTTTTAGCCCATAAGGTACATCTTCTGTTTTGTTGGCCCAGTAATATAGCCACCCAGTCTCCTAAGTCACTGGTTAGTTACTGATGTGCTTTGGACTTGGGAGGGCTTGATGGCAATTTTTTACCCGCTCAAGTCTCAACTGTTGGGGTTGTTGCATATTGTCTTGTACTGCTAATTTGATTTATTTTATTATTAAATTATCATGTTTTAAGTAACTATTGTTCATCTGTTTGATTTGACTGTTATTGTTCACTATTTTTTTTTTTGAAAAACATATAATTCAAGTTTTGGTATTTTGAGTTAAAAAATTTCACACATGCTAATAAGAATTTAATCTATTTTAAAAAATAATTTCAAAATTTTTAGAAGTCAATATTTTTTTTTAATTTTTATTAAACCTTAAATATTACTAAATTGCAAAAAAAAAAAAAAATGAATGATAACAAATTTTGTTGGAGGCTCTAAAAAAATATAAATTTATCTTCTTAGTCTTAATATTATTCTCAAAACATTTGCACAATTGAATGTGTAACACCTAACTAAGATTAAAATAGGTTAATTTTGGAAACTATGTGCAAAAATTTTAAGAATCACACTAAAATTACAGATGTAAATATGACCTCCTTAGGGTTTCAAACAATAATTCTAGCTTATTTTCTAGTTTTCATAATTTATTGTTCAAAAAATAAAAAAATATTGAAATTATTTGTGAAAGTGGATAGTGTTTTCATTAGAATTTACTAACAAATTTAGTTGAAAGTAACAAAATTTGATTTTTTTTTTTAAAAAAAGTTTTGGTCAATACTAATGGTCAAATCAAACTGAATAATAATATTTATTCAAAACATGATATTTCAGCAATAAAATTAACCATTTTAATAGTACATATTTTAATGTGGCATAAATACAATAGTTTGGGAGCAAAAATATCATTAAATCGATTTTGAAAAGGAAAAATTCAAGTTCACAATTTTATTTTCCTTGACCACTACAAATATATGATTAATGGAATAGCATACTACTATTTTACGCTAAAAATAGAGGAATGACCAAACTCTTAGAAAATTACAAAATTTCAAATTCACAAGTCACAAGTGGTTACAAATAGACCTACTAATTTGAAGATTCTATATATTTAATCTATACATATGGCAATTATTAATAAATATGATTATTTACTCTGATAAATTTTATAAAGAAGTCTGGTTCATTTAATCAAATTTTCGCAAGTAATTCTTTGATTAGCTAACACAAATAATTAAATTATGAAGTGATTATATATTTGAACGAGTTATTTCAATGGCGGATCAATTTGTTGTGAATATTTTAAAAGATCATCAAAACTTTTCATCCCACATTTCTAAAAAAGAACTATAAGATAACACTTTATTAAGAAAAGTGTGTTATGAGCTTCTAAAAGACAAGCAAGATGAATTGAGCTTGCACACAAGCGAGTCGACTCAAGTTAAGGCAAAATATCATGTTTGCCCTTGCACACAATAACAAGGCTCAATCCAAGTCTTTTTTTTAGCTCACCAATTTAAGTTTTTTGACCTAAGCTAAACTTGTTCAAAATAACTCTTATTTTTGCTACCATGAAACATGTCAATTATGACCGTTTAACAAGCTCATTTAAGTTTTTTGGCCCAAGCAAGATAAATTGGGCTCACACATAAAAGAGTTATGTCAATCTAAGGCAAAACAATATGTTTGCCACCTTTGCACGCAATAACAAAACCTAATCCAAGTTCTTTTTTTTTTTTTTTTTTTTAACTTACCCATTTAAGTATTTTTGGCCTAATTTGGAATTGTTCAAAATAACTCTTATTTTTACTGCCATGGAATAGGTCCCTTATGATTGCTTAACAATCCAGACTTTTGGTTCTACTATGTGATTTTGCTCCACCATTATCCCCACCTTTCCCTCACCAAACCAGCCTACATTAACCTATAAATACAACCTCTACTACTAGTATCGAAGACACACAAAAAATCCTTTCTTTCTTTTCTTCGAAGTTCTTTGCTGGATTCTTATTATTTCTGTTCCTAATTTTAATTTTAAAAGAGTTGATTTAATCTTTAAGGATACGAAATAATATCTATAAAGATAGTGATTACACGAATCTAATCATTACTGTTATTTGTTTGCTCTCTTTGTTTTATACTTTCTAAAACACAACTTACATATACAGTCACATATATAATTTTTTGATCTCTATATATATAGCTGTAAACAAAAAAAAAGTTGTTTACAAGCAAAGATAACTTAAGGTCTAAGAAAACAAAAATATATACGTTTGCCTTTTTCTTTATGTGAGTGCCAGTGTCATCCGCACGGTAGATTGGATCTAGCTAAGTTTGATTCCCTATTAAGAAATCTTTGTGGCCACTGCCACATGCAGCGTTCTACTTAAAAATATAGAAGAAAGCAGCAGCATCCTAGACTATCTATAGATTTTTTGTACGAAAAAAAAAATCAATGTATATATAATTAAAGAACGATGGGTGGGCTTCAGCTTCAAAAGATGACAGAAAACTCTCCATCCTAAGCTGATTGGGCTGTGGATCTTACAGAAATCGCACTGGTAACCAACTTTCTTTAGAACAACTTTAAATTATGTCTTTTACGAAAAAGAGGTATACTAATTATTATCAGGATCTATAAATTAATTAGTTTTCTTTCACATAGAATTCTCACAAAAAAAAAAAAAAAACACTATCTCATATCTTTGCTTTTAAACTATAAATTGAATCATGAAATAAATTATGTACCTCCTCGAGCAATGATAAAAAAGAATTGGTTATGATCATTTGGCATTGGACCAGTTGCTTATGTAATCAATGTAACAAAGGAAAGTGAAAATAGTTCAAGGTCTTGATAGAGTTAAAAATTTTAATGCTCTTTAGTTCAAAAACAACATTGCCATATAATTAACAAAGGTTACTTTATGACTGTAATGTTTAATAAATTACTCAAAATTATTAGTCCTAATCACATTAAGTTAATTAAAAGTGCATTTCATAAAGATAAGTAAGTCAATTATATTTGAGCTTCAAAGCATACTCTTTTCTTTTTTTCTTTTTTTATTTTTGAAAATAATAGTTAAAATGTTCTAATTGTAACACATATTTAATAGTATTATTTAACTAGAGACAATAATAACTATTATTAGATTTCATATGATATTTATAACATCTTTTATATATATTCTCCAGGAGTGGTAAAATGATAATAAATAATAAAATAAACAGAGTTCAACGAGAGATTGAAAAACGGATACTTATAGGCAGTGGCCGACCATTGCCAAATTCATGGAGCAAGTAAATTTGCTAAATCTAGTCAATAGCTGAATATCTGTTCCATGGTCGGTGATACGTGGCAGTTGCTTATTAGTGCCCTTTTATAAAATGAATCTCAGCCATATAAAATTCCCACCGTCCGTTGGAAGCATGCAGTTGGACATTATCAAAAGCAAGGATCTAATAATTTCAAGTGAAGTTTGTCACTTTTCTTCGTTATGCAACAAAAATATACGACCAAATTAAGTTAACTTGACATCCTTTACCTCTCTATATAAACCTTCTTTCTATCTTCCTCCCTTCACGACACATTAAGCTTAATTTTTTTCATTATTAATATTTTGGGTAGCAATTAGAAATAATATTCAAGAAAAAAGAAAAGAAAATGGGTAATAGCAACTCATATTCATCTTCATCTCATAACTCTCAGCCTCCATTGCCAATACACCTTTGCTTCTTCCTGTTTATATTGCTAATGTTCATTGGTCTGTCATGGTACATCAACTATGAGCCAGTGTTTGAGAGCATGTTTGACCAGGTGAAGCTGCTTCTCATGGCGTCTCCCTTGCTGCTTTTGCTACTTGTTCAGTGGTTTTCCAATGATGATCATCAATACGGCAGGAGGCTTTCCTACTACCTTCCATTGCCAGAGAAGGACTCTCTCCATAGGGCTGGTGGAACTCCTTGGGGAGTTGGATTTTTGCTTGTTTTCCTCTTTTTCTTGATCTCTTACCACTCCTACTTCCAAGAACGTTGGTTTCCTCTTTTAAGCAGATAATCATAATACAGCAAGCAATGCATATCCATTTGGAATATCAACATTTTTAGTGTAAGCGCGTAACATGGTCTTTTTCTTTGTTTTCATTTTTGCAATCTGTGTAATCTTTTCTAACTTGTAATTATATTAAGAATGGTTATTATTTTTATGGTTATTTTTATTTTTGCAATCTGTGTAATCTTTTATAAGTTGTAATTATATTAAGAGTGGTTATTAATTGCGTTTTTATTTTTATTAACATTTTCCTCAAATTAAATATGTGATGTACGTCTTTGTGTGCATGTGTAGATTGTCCTAACACAGGCAAATCTTGATATTGATAAGTCTTGAACCCACACAAAAATATATGCCCATAAACTCCAAATATTAGCAAACTCTTTTCTGGGTTCCAATTTGACCTCATATACACATGTTTATCCCTCTGCGTATTTCAACTTCAAGATTTGAGAACTTCTTTAGTTTGACTTAGACTTTCTATATAATTCCAATCTTTCATTGGATGGTGCATTTAATTACCACACAGACGCCCCATATATACTCTATTTCCACCTCCCCGCAGACAGCTTCAAGAGTTAATTGTGCTATATGATTTGTGTTTAGCTAATCAAATTATCACATATAACTAATCACAAGGTAATTAAGATTCCTACTGAACTGTGCAGTTTTGCTGTGCTCATAGCTATGTGCATGAGTAGGACAGTGTGAGTAATAGCGTAATGATGGTGCGGCATTGGGTACCACTTTTCACTTTTGTTGTTGCTATCACGACAGATACAAAGAAGATTTCTATAATCCAGCGATAGTACTATTATATATATGCCTTTTGCCTAAAGCATTTTGCTTTAATATGCTCGGGATCCTAGACTGTCTTGTCACTTGTGAGCCTTTCTTTCTTTTCGGAAAATCACAAATGAGTACCTCAGCTATGAACTGGTTCTCGATATAATTCCTATAGTATCGATTTTTCAATTGGGTTCCTAATGTATCATATCTTCCTACATCGGTCTTCCGTTTCAAATCTTTCCATTTTTAATGGAAAACATCAAAATTCTTCTTCTTTTTTTTTTTTGCATGATAAATTCTTTCAATGTACAAGGGAGACTAGGTCAAGGAACATCTACTACTACTTTAGGATCCAAATTGAAAGAATTGATAGTTTGGAGATCCAGTTGAGAATTGATAAATATAATTTGGGCACCAATATGAAGTACTTTTTTTGTTGTTGTTTTTTACCTAAATAATTATAGCTAGTTATGAGCTACGACTGCATCAAGTAATCATATTTAAAAATTTAGTTTTTGAAAATTAAGAAGCATTAGGTAGGAATTTGTCACAATTATTAGGTAAGTTAAGGGAAAGATAAAGAATTCAAGGTAGATGCATGCAAAACTTTAGTTTGGCTTTGCCTAAAATAAGTGTGATTTTTATTTTTGGTCTACTTTTCCTTATATATATACATACATAAAAACCGGCTAGTCACTTGTAATCAGTTTGTTTGTTGAGATGGAAAGAGGATGAAGGAATTCCAAGAAAGGAAGAGTGACATGGACATTAAAAGATGATTTGTCTTGTAACCATGATTGGTTGAAATTTGAATTGATATAATTTGCTTTGTTTACACTAAAATATGTTTTGATTTGCTTACACAATTTGGAAGCAGTTACTCATGCCATAAAACTATTCAGTAAATGGAAATTTAACGGTCTTCTTGAATTTTTTTTTTTAAAAATACTGATTAATTAAGTATAAAAATAAGAGAAGAAAAGGGAAGAGAAAAAAAAAAAATGATCCAACTAATTAGGAGAACACTTGATTTCAAGTTACTCATGTCTTTATACATGGGCCTAGACCTTTTAGAGAAAAGCCCGTGGATCCTTAAAAGGATGCAGTGGAAAACATATACAGCTTGGGCCCGGCCCTCCACTATTCGTCTGCTACAAATAAACAATTTATGGATAAAAATGTATACCGTATGGATATATTTTAAGAAGACATTGAATTTTTAAAATTGATTTTTTTTTCTCTCTTAGAACACCAACTATTCATGAAAAATCGCTCTGTAAATCGACCAATTATCTTACACTTCAATTCAGAATTTTCATTACAATTCCTTTCCGCCTTTTGTTTTTTCGAATGCAATCAATAATTCTTTATTTATTTTTTTGGTTAATAGTTTTTGAATTACTTACTGAAATAATTCTTGTAATCACATCTAATAACACGTTTCAATGGCAAGAAAAAGAAGGGTTTTTTCGAATGCAATCAATAATAATAATTTTTTTTTTGGTTAATAGTTTTTGAATTACTTACTGAAATAATTCTTGTAAATCACATCTAATAACACGTTTCAATGGCAAGCAAAAGAAGGGAATATATATATATATATATGCAAATGAAGATATGGCTTTCCTTTTTTTTTTTTTTTTTTCTTTCCCGAGTTTTTTAGTCTTTGTAGAATATTTATCTTATCTTCTTTAAGTTAGAGCTTATTTCTTTAATTTCACACTTGAGACAGAAAATGGCTCCTAGTTAGTAAATCTTAGATGATTACATGAGTGAAATGTTGTTACACTTATTCAAGGAGGGTGTTGGGTTAAAAGCATTAAATTTTATAGGAGCAAAGTTTAAATTGTTTAGTATTTTTTTTTACCTCCAGGCATGGAGGGTAACTGTCACCCTTCAAGCAATGTTATTTCTTTTTTGCTTTTTTTTTTTTTTTTATCTTAAAATACAAATCAAATTAATTTTTAATTTTATAGGGTCACTATCACCACTAAGAGGTTAATGATTGTTACCGTCTCTATGTTACTAGCAATTAGTTAATCAAGCTGCATGCTCCTTTATTAATTTAAATGTTGATTGAGGTTTTTCTTTTTAATCGAATCAATTTATTTAATATATTCTTTCTGCTTACGTCACTAGCAAAGTTAAATAAAATGGCTAGTCATGAGACATGTGTATTTTGACCATGTTGACTCCATAATGTATGTTTTGTTTTTTGTTTCTTTATAATCTAAAATATTTAATAATATTAAAAAAAGGTAAATTACAATAATCATCCTGAAATATCGTGCAATTACAATGACCCAAAAGTTTGTAGATATTACAAAACCCCTTTCTATACCCAAAATGTCCTCGATGTTAAAAGGGGAATGTGAAAAAATATTAAGACTATTTTGAATACAAAAGGAGATTATTGTAATATTCACTTAAACTTGAGAGGATTTTTTTATAATAATTTCACATTTTTGAATATTCATTGTAATTTTATAATAATTCAATGTTTTTAGCTTTTATAATTTACCAAAAAAAATAAAAATAAAATCATTCAAGTAATTACTTCCACATGTTGAGAAACGAATTAAAATGTAAACAAATCGTCTCTCTTATGTCACTATCTTTTTATGGCATTCTATTAGCATGAGCCAATATGTTATTTTTGTTAAGTTATGGAGATTGATGTAAATGGAGATTCGTAGTATAATCCGAGCACGGTGAATCTTTTGAAAATTTTATAGAATATTGGACTATATATATAAGTTTGTTAGGTTTTTTTCTTATAACTTTAGTTGTCCACACTATAAATAGAGACAATTCCACTTGTATTTATAATTGCCATTAAATAAATCCTAATAAGAACTCTTAGTGCAGCCGTGAAGTAGGTATTATTACGGAATCATATAAAATCTTTGTATTGTGTAATTATGCTTATTTTTTTATTTTTATTTTTTGCTTGGTTCGTTTCTTAACAGTTTAATCCGTCTAAGATCTATAAGTTGATGAATACTTTTAGTGTTCGAACACTGATTACCAAGATCATCTTATAGATGATGTTATTAGATGATTAATGTCATGTAAAAACCCAACATACCCTTAATTTTCAGTTTATGTCATCTACTTGGGAAGTCAATATATATCTTATGAAATTATTGATGTTAGATGAAAAAAAGTTACATATATAAAAAAACTTTACGTGAACTAATGCGGCATTTGATGCTAGAGGTGATCACTTGCCAAAAAAAAAAAATTATGAAATTATTGATTAAATGCTATTCATTTTGGTAAAAAAAATTTCAGAGTTCAATTTTTTCTTTGTACAGACCTACTTATTTTTATGGATATTATCACAACGTACTTGTCGGGATATCAAGATGAAAACTCAATCTAGTTTCTGTGTACTTCTTCTTCTTCCTCTTCTACATCACATTTGTGAGTGCAATATGATGTGGATAAGTTGCCATTCCAAAGCTTCTTTATCTCTTCTCTTCTTTTGTTAATAAAGCACTGCTTTTGTCCACACTTTGTCTCCACTTGCTGCTAAAGTACTATCCTAGTCTTGGAGAACAAGACTCCCAACTGTCAACTGCCTCTTGACTGGTCGCTGATTGTTCGTTGGAAGCAGGTTAATTATCTTTCATTCTTACTAGTTTTTTCTACCATAAACAATCTGCCATTAATAGACTTATCTTAACTTAGCAAACCGTCATAGAGAAGCAAAGTATATGAGAAAATAACCCTGAAAAAAACATGGGATTTTGAGAAGGAATTACGTAATAAGAAATTGCAGATGTTGAAAACAAATTAGAGTGGCCAACACTATTGTTTGGTCATCTTAACCATGACTTAGTACATTGATCTTGTGCAAATTTTAGATTTAAATGATTTTATTTTTTTTTTTTTTTTTTTTTTTTTTTTTTACGATCAATTTTCCTAGCTAGCCATTTGATGTTTTGACAATGAATCAAGGTGGAGCCTTTTTAATTCTTGGCTTTATTCTTGATTCTCCTAGCTAGCTAGAAACACATCTTTCCCAGTTTTGTTTTTTTATCGAAACCCTCTATGCTTGCTGGTTGTGGCTTTTCATGTTAACAAAAACCTCTTTTCTTTTTTCTCTTTTGCTTTGTTTTCCCCTTTAACAAATTTCAACCATTTTTCATAGCTAAAAAACTAAAAGTGTAACCAAAACACATGTAGGACAGCGATATATCACCACTAGATTGCAATCTGAAGGGTGAGCAATCACTCACTTTGTTAAAAGTATTTTTGGACCAAATTTTGGCAAAAGAACCGTAAATGAAACTTTGTTTAAAAGCAAATTAAAGTCTTACAAAGTTTTGAGAAATTTACGAGTGGCACAGAATAGAATATGTTCTACGGGTTGCCATTATCCACCGCTATTCTTCTTTCCACTATAAAAAAGAAATACTGTGTAAATGATAACAGGGTGTAAACTAATTTGTGCTGCAACATTTTTTTCTCTTAGCTTGTATTTTTTTTTTTTTTATATATATAACTCAAACATCCAATACACACATCTAAAACTTTTAATAGAACTAATACGTTAAAATTTGAACTCGTGATTTTTTTATAAGAAACTATTACCATTGGACTATAAGTTATTTGGTTTCTAGCTTATAATTAGATCATACATTTACCAGCATAAATTTGGTTAAATCATTCATTGAATTTGATATCTAAACGAAACCATAAAGAAAATGAGAACTCAAAACTATCAGGGCATGGTCAAGATGATTAGTTATGGAAGATCTGATAGAGTACTCTTTTTATCTAAGTGGACCATCCAAATTGATCTTTATCATTTTGAACGTATTAACAGAAAATTTCTACAACTTTTGCAAACTCCCTTTCATGTAAATTGTATTTCTGGGATTTTTAAAGAATCTTTATTCAACATCTTTAAAGCTATTTCTTGAATACAAAGGATATAAAAGTTGCAGCATCCATTTTTGCAATATGGTCTTAATTCCCATTCTATTGTTCTTACCCAGCTAGACCTCTCTCTTGCTAGCTTCACATGCATCATTTCATGATTGGACCTGTCAGTATGCAACCAAGCTAGGTAGTCACCTTCCACCAAACAAAGAAAAACAAAATGGCAATCATCCAAAATTAAACGGCTAGCTGCTGTAAACCTTAGCTAAACCTCTCTCTATGTTATAATGTCGTTAAGTTATTATTATTATTTTTTTAATAATGCTGTTTTAAGTTAGTTTATATATCAATGGAGATTGAATATTTTCAACAAACTTCCTTAATTACCAACTAATTCCTTAGGATTTTAGTTATTCAACCTATGTGACACATTTCTCAATATTCCATTCATGCATGTACAAAGAAATAAAAGAAATATTCAAATTAAGAAAAGAAGTACTGGATTGATTGATGAAATGAAAGGGTTATATATATATATATATATATAAGACATTAAATTAATGTGAAATGTCATGAACAGAATAATAGTGCTACTTACCATACTTGATATATGCTATCTTCCATTGCATAATAATCACACACACGCATATATATATATATATATATATATATATATATATATATTCTCTGATCATGCTGAGCATAATTATTCCAAAGAACATTCTCTGACCTATGCGAACCCCATACATATTAAGAGAAGGCAAAAGCAAAAGATGATTGGTAAAGCAGGAAGCAAAAGCAAAAGCAATCTATCTTCTCGTGTGCTTGGCATGCACGCCCTATGGCTTATGAGCCTCTTCTCTTCTTTATTTTCTTTCTACTCTAGCGCGTTTGTTGATGCTATTGCAGCTTACATGGCAAAAGAAAAGCAAAAGAAGACTAGTCGGCTTCACCTTTAGCTTTATCGTTGCTGCTGCCTTTTCCAGACCTCGACACCGTCTTTACCTCCATATAGCATCTCTTGTGTTTGTTTGCCATAAGGTTGCATTTGCATATATCTTACCCTATGTTAGTGTCGACCAAAACCATATACATTCACAATCCAACATAATCAATCAGCATTCCCCACCTTCTCTTCCCATTTGTCATCTTCTATGCTTGATATAAATATCGAGCCTCCTCAAACATTGCATATAGCTAGGCAGAGACAAAATCACAATTCACCAACCCAAAAACACACAGCAAACAAATATGGAGATATTGTCACAACTTTGGTCACTCTTAGGCCTTCTCACTGTTCTTCAAAACATCTTACCTACACAACTCCTCTCCCTTCTTCACTCCCTCTATGAGTCCCTCCAAGACCTCATTTCCCCATATTCATACTTTGACATCCCTGAATTTAATGGCTACTGTGGTGTTGACGTCAATGACCTCTACCGCCATGTCAACCTCTATCTTAACTCTGTCAACTCCTCTGCCACTGCCTCCACCTGCCGACGCTTCTCCCTCTCCCGGTCCAAGTCATCCAACTGCATTTCCTTCACTATAGCTCCCAATCATACCATCCACGACTCCTTCAATGGCCATTCTCTTTCTTGGACACACCATGTTGACACTGTCCAGGACTCATTAGAAGAGAAACGTAGTTTCAGTCTCAAGCTTCCAAAGCGACACCAGCACATGCTGCTGTCGCCTTATCTCCACCACGTGACATCACGTGCTGAAGAGTTCGAGCGAGTGTCAAGAGAGAGGAGGCTGTTTACTAACAATGGCAATGCTTCATATGAGTCAGGCTGGGTCTCGGTTCCTTTTCGTCATCCATCCACCTTCGAAACGCTGGCTCTGGAGCCTCAATTGAAGAAGCAGATGATGGAGGATTTGAAAGCATTTGCTAGTGGCAGAGAGTTTTATCACAGAGTTGGACGGGCATGGAAGAGGGGTTACTTGCTTTATGGTCCTCCAGGGTCAGGCAAGTCAAGTCTAATAGCTGCAATGGCAAATTATTTGTGCTATGATGTTTATGATCTTGAACTCACCAAAGTCACAGATAACTCAGAGCTCAGAGCTCTACTTATCCAAACTAGCAATCGATCTATCATTGTGATTGAGGACATAGATTGTTCCCTTGATCTGACTGCTGATAGAATGCTAAAGGGCACTACTGCTACAGCTACAAGAAGGAAAAGATCATCATCATCAGGTTATAATAAGGACCTGGGTGCAGGCAATGATCAGTTATTAGAGGAGAATGGGCGTGTTACCTTATCAGGTCTCCTCAACTTCACGGATGGATTATGGTCATGTTGTGGGGAGGAGAGAATAATAGTGTTCACAACCAATCATAGAGAAAATGTGGATCCTGCATTGGTTAGATGTGGCCGGATGGACGTTCATGTTAGCTTAGGCACTTGTGGGATGCATGCGTTCAAGTCATTGGCCATGAACTATCTTGGGATAGAGTGGCATTCTTTGTTTGATGTGGTAGAGAGCTGTATACGGTCAGGTGGTGCACTCACTCCTGCTCAGATAGGAGAGATATTGCTGCGGAATAGAGGGAACAACGCTGATTTAGCAATGAAAGATGTGGTGTCTGCAATGCAAGCCAGAATTTTGAGTAGTGGCGGCACTGAACATCTAAATACTAGTATAGAGTATGAAGATACGGTGGCCTTGACAAGGTCACCACAGAGTGTGTTAACGGTGGGGTCACCGGAGAATTGGGACTCATCTCCGGGGAAGATTAACGGGAAGAAGAGGAAGGCAAAGTTTCTCGTTAGATTAAGATCTTTAACCAAGTCTGACTCTGGTAGAAGGGGTGTGTGAGAGTTTTGATGTACTCTTTGTCTTGTGAAAGTTTTGAAAATTGAAAAACCAGTCTCTTTCCTTTATGGACACTAACTAGCTCCAGCAAATGGAAAAAATTCGGTTATTATAAGAGCATATTTTCATTAACTTTAGTTAAGAAGTAAATTTTCGTTTGTTTTATCTTTAGCACATAATTAATAACATTTCGTTTTGTATTTGGATTGACAGGTTAGTAGATAATTTCAAATAAGCTAATAATCAAGTAAATTAATACTTTGCCTGTATATTTCCGTATAAGGTAATATGCAACCTTCAGAATACTGCTATTCTGTGATCAGTTTATTTTAAATGTCCTGCACAATCAATGTCAGGAATTTGTCTTGGTTAACAAATATTAGTAATTTAGGCTTACCAATCCCATGGATTACACCATTTTAATGTGAAGAAATGGAAAAATGGTGAAGAAATGGAAACATATATGCAAGAAGAGATGAAAGAAAGTGGATGCCATTGCCATTAAGGTCTGATAGCATCCTGCACAGTTTAGAATACTGAACTTTAGACAGAGCAATAAAAATGCCACTGCTCATTGAAGGCCAGTCCCTTTAGGAACGTAATCCACCACTTTATTCGATATCCCATGCAAGATATCTACCTGTAGAAAAATTGTGCCTGGATTAGTAAGAGCCTTAGAGGTACATTAATCAGAATGGCTGCACATGCGTATGAGTCTGAAACCTTCTGCCGATCAGAACAGAGAAGTTGCTGCCTATTGAATGCTTTAAATCCTTCAACACAGTGACATCAAAATCAAAGTTCCTATGCAAGATGAATTAAATTTTCTTTGAATCAGTTTTCCAAGCAATGGCAGAAGATTTGCAGCATCTTAGCTAGAGTTTTGGCATAACATTTGTAAGATTAAAAACATCTGATAGAAAGTTACTTCAAGAAAAACAGGTAGCCAAGAAATGCGACAAGTGATTGAAACTTAATTTCAATATGCACAAAGTTCTATTATCATCCTCTAGGGAATCCCATACATTACTATTTTTAAGAGAACCACTTTCTTTCTCCAAACTAGACCCCAAGTCCCACCTAAAACTCATGCTACTAATGGCACACACCTCCAAATTTCTGTGCAATCTCCATACCAAAACCCTCCAATTCCAAAGATGTCAAAGCTCCTCCAACCCCGCTCACTATTTTATAATGGACCAACACTGATCATTTGATAATGTCTCTAGTTAATGCCTACCTCCAGTAGAAGTTTCCCTTATAGCAGCTACTTGCGCACCACGAGTTGTAACAACAGCGGCATTCCTACTATTCCCATTATAAACTTTAGTAAACTATGCCGCCATGCAACTTCTTCATTCCATACATCATCAAGTACAAGAAGAAATGCCTTCTTTTCCAACTCTTCTTTAAGGTTTTGAAGAATTGCATTTAGATGCTTCATCCCACCTGTTAATTTATCTAGAGTTTCTAACATCTCTTCTACAATCCTACAATCATCAAAACTCTCAGAAACACCAACCCATATTGTTACACCAGAAAGCTTTTTCCCCTTGACCACTCTACACACCATTTTCACTAAAGTTTTCTTTCCCAGACCGGGAATACCTAACAGAGGCACAACAGAGAGAAATGATTTCCTGACTATTCAGCAGGTTAGTAAATTTAGAGACATTGCTATCCCCTCCAATAACAACTTCTGAGCTGTCAAGGAAGGAGTCTGTCTTTTGGTCGAGGCTAAGTTGAGGAGTTTAATCAATAGATTAAACTCAAGTCCAGAGCCGGCTGCGGAGCTGCCTCTTCTTTAATCTCGTTGAGAGATTCATTGATCTTCTTAACATTTAGATCCATATTTAGATGGGATGGCAATGGGTTTTGTAAGCGAAAAGAAGTTGCAAACCTTTATGCTCAGATGGTTTCCAATCTTTACCTTCTGCTGAAGAATGTGATAAGCCAACTCATCTAGTACATCTTCAGCATTGAATGCTATCACTTGAAGCTTCCCCAACCACAGCCTCACTGACTCCTTCCTCACTTGTCTCCACTCAGCGTCACCATCATGCTGCACCTTCAGAATCATGGTTAAGGAGTCTTTGAGGCTTTCAAGCTCTCATTTGAATCCCAAAATAAGAGTGATTCTTTCCATGGAAAGACAATGCACCACGTCCTACCGATTCTCCACTGCAAAGCTAGCAACAACCTCGACCATAATTTTTGTTTCTTTGTTTTCGTTCGTCAATACCTGGACAAGAAAACAAAAGTATTACCTCCGAAAGCTTTAGAATTGGAGGTGGAAAGCAATTGAGGAAATGTGATGTCATCCTTATTGTGCTAATTAATAAAAATATTGAGGTTGAAGGTAATCCATAGATGATTTAGAAGTTTTGATAAACTGAATACAATTAATAATTAATTAATGTTGCTTTAGATTAAGAATCCAGCCATATAAATTAAAAAGCAGAGCTTCTCTGCAGCACATTGTCAAACTGAACTCGTGCACCTAAGCATAAGCTAATCATATCCAATAAGAATCTTAAAATAGTATACACTAACTACCAGAAAAATCTTAAACCTGATTTTTCCTTCGGTAAAAACAAGTATTTAGCTACCCTACACTATTTGAAATAAAAAAGAAAAGCTCAACGAAAAAAAAAACATAAAAATAGTTGAAATTCAAATCTGGGGCATTTCAACTGACAAAAGATGCTGGTTTGGTGGTGAAATATGGAGATTTACTGATAAGAACAGTCGAAAATAATAGCAATGCTGATCTCAATTTCTACACCCCAGTTGACAAGCAGAAAGTTAGAGGCAGAAAGATAGATTCATAATCAAATGAATTAGGCAAAGAAAACGGAATACTTGAACACAAACGGATGAATGATAAATCAAGGGCATAATTAAGCTAACACAACAGACAGAGAAGCTTTGAAATTCGAAGAGTTCAGACTTACCCATTGACTATTCAGAAATGCCTTACTAGGATATGGTAACTGTGACTACTCAGGACCAGTTCCTTCGTGCAGTTTTGCTCAAGAATCTTGGATGTTCACTGATCCCGGCTTTCCAAATTGTGAGAGGTGTTGCATGGCTGTTGAAGCAGGTAGATGTTTAAGATTCTTGCATATCCCATTTTCAGGTTGTTGGAGTGGAGACATTGAAAGGTTGCCCAACCAATGTAGCGAAGCCTCCATCTCATTAAGTCATCTACCCGCTTGAGAAGATATCGCTTTAACATGACCGATAAGAAAGGAATAGGGATCTATTACTTGAGAATTTGTTGACCAAATGCAGTCAGAGCAAAAACAAGAGTTATGTGAATTCTGGTGAAGTATTATATAGCAAAACAGGATCTTATTGATCTACTGAGTTCGGTATCTTTCACTTGGGAGAAATTGAAATCCCTACTTTTGCTTGATGAGCCAAAAACTGCAAAAACACTTCCATCTTCCACGATTGGTTTATTGTAAATGTCCTGCATAATCAATGTCAGCACATGGTTAGTTAGTTCATTAATTTAAGCTTACCAAGCAAGTGGTGAAATTCAAATTTCTTCGGTAAACAAATGGTAGTTCATTTCCATTGTAGGAAAATAGAAATCCAAAAATATCATTAAACTGTCAGGCTATGCATCCGAAATCGTCTTACCTCCTGCATTCTTCTTTAGAACAGAACCAATTTTACATGCAAGAAGCTTCAAATTTCCCCGTTAGCAGCTCTCATTATCTTTAATGAACTGCCATTTTTACCTTATTTTCTATTTTCTGATATGGCTGAGTCTTCAGGTTTATCAGGGTGGATTCAAAAGGTCTTCAGTACATAGCTTTCTAGTCATTACGTGACCTCATACCATATTACAGTAGTGGAATTTCTTCCATCCATTGCTTAACCTGGGGCTTCTTCATGCATGAGACCCACCAAGAATTCAAGATTCTTAATCCATTCTGGAGGTTGGTGCATTTCCTTAAACATCAAGGCCATTCCACTTGATGCAATTTTGCTCATGAAAGGGATATTCGCGAATCTCCAGGTGTTGGTAACTTTACGAGGCCATGCATATTAACAAACACAGAGATATCAGCACTCAGAGCGAATTAGCAACCACTCAAATGGTGAAAATCAAGAACAAAAGGCTATTAAATTCAATTATTAGAGAAAGTAATTGAGAGAATAAATAGGAGACATTATTTATGAGTGGAGATTTGAGAATTTCAAACTTACCTTCTTTTTTTTTCTTTTTTTAATTTTTAAGTACATACTGCCCATTTATTTCGATTGTTCGAATTTTCACAAGCTTGGGTCGCTCAGGACCGCTGCCCTCCACGCACTTTTCCTCTGTGAAGGAGACCCCTCCAAATGTTCAGGTTTTGTAATTTGGAGAGGCGCTGTATGACTGCTGAACTTGGTAGATACTTTACGTTCTACCGGTAAGAAAATCTCAAGATATTCAAGAGAAGAAAGGTTGCCCAACCAATCTGGCTGGCAAAAATTCCTCTCCAGCGAAACCATTTATCTCCAATCTCTAAAGGGCGGCAAGATGTTGAAGTTTATATGGTGTACTCTTTAGTTTCACCCATCCCATTATGAGTAGGTATTCAAGGGAGCCACTCAAGTTTGGGATTGAATTCATACCAGGAAATTCCTCCAACTCCTCTGAGAAAGGGCCAATTAGCAATTTCTTCAACTGGGCGAGGCAGCAAAAGAAATCCGCCGGGATATAACTCAAACTCTGACAACAGCACATTTCTAATCGAACGAGAGAAGGCAATCTTCTATGTAAACCATCAGGAATAGATACGAGCGTAGGAAAAACTCGAATAGTTGAAGATTGAAGAAGAAAAGAAGGTAACAAGTGCTCTCTTCGTCCACATAAATCGTCATCGTCAAAGGAGATCAGCTCCTCGCGCTGTGCTATGTCCAATTCCTCTACAAATGCACAGGATAATAGCCCTCTAAACACAAGGCTTGTTAATTTTGAACGCTACAAAATGCTTACTCTTCTAAGAATGCAATTCTTGGAAATCACCTTAGTTTTGAATGAAATATGCAATTCCTCTAGATCTCCCCAGTGTTGTAAACCACATGGAATGGATGCTAGATTTTCACAGCTCTGTATGCTTGGAGGCATGAATTCGCCAGATAGATGACTCAATGCATCACATTGGTTGATATCCAATTTTACAAGTTTTGATGAAAGATGACTCGGGATTGGAATGCTTTTCAACTTGGAACACCTCTCAATGTACAACTCGTTAAGGCAAGGAAATACTACTGGTACTCTACCAGCTGCATCACCTGCAACAGCAGGTATCATCCATTCCACAAGACTCACTATATAGACTAGAGGGAAGCTTTTAATGATGGAAACAGTTATTTATCCTCTCTACTGCAAATCCAATACTACTGCCACTATAAAACTCATCCCTTTACAACTTAGGCTGTCCATTCCACGTATCTCAAGAATTTCAAGACGGGGAAGTTGTCCAAGTGTTGGGATTCGTTTACATTTGTTGCAGGAATTCAATTTCAGCATCATCAAATTATTGAGAACCGGCGTCAACAGCCATGAAGGGAAATTTTCACCCAAATAATTCTCAACCTTTTAAGTTTCTTATGGCTGGGTCCTTCCAACACATCCTCAGCATTCTTAATCTCTAAGCTAGTTACGTCTGGCTGAGCCTGCACGCCTTCCAAAACATCCTCATCATTCGTGTTCCCGCCTGCTCCTTTCTCTTCCTGAACTCCATTACATTTCCAATTTGAAAATCCTTGCTTTTCCATGAAGGTCTGCTCTCTCAGCTTCTTCTTTGTCTCTCACACGCTCTAAATTGACTTTTCTCAATTTCCCTCTTTCTCTGGCCATTATTAATGGAATTGGATCTTTCAGATATTTTCACTTTTTTTTATATATATAAAATTTTTCTCTTTCTTTTTCGTCACCATCACGACTCTTATCATTTGGGCTGGGTTTTAGGTCACTTATCCCTATTGGGCTGGGAATTCTGTGATGTCACCAAAATATGTTTTGTCAGGAATATGCGTCAAAGGTCTCGGCCCAAGTCTGTTATGGCTCGCTAGCTTGTCCTGGTCAACATCATTTTTTTTTTTTTTGGTATAAAAACAAATAAATTGCAAGTAGTCCTAAAACAATTCCTTGCAAAAGAGTTAAAAATTATAGCAAATGGAATGAACCGGCTCGCACCATTAAAAGCGAGGTAGATGCTTCAATAAAAAAAAAAAAAGGTGAGGTAGATGCTCCACTTGACCCCATCCGTCAAATCCTAAACATTTGTAACCTCACCTTTTTGCCACCTAGCATTTGATCCTTACCAACTACCATTGCATCCTTGAAAGTTGAAACCAAAAACGAAAGGCACCGACCATGAAAAAGAAAAAGGAAAAGTATATCAACGGGAAATGAAAACAAAAGGGAAATTTCAATGTTCTCTCCCCCATTCTATTATCCTATACTCAATTTCGATATCTTATCAATTATGTATGTAATGTTTAACATATTTCTCGAATGAGTCCTTCTGATGTCCCGATGGACAGATAAAGGCATAAGAACGTAATTGAAAAATATCTCAAATATTTAGGATCTAATTAACAATTTAGTTTTTCCTTTTCTTTTTTTTTCTTTTTTTTAATATTTTTGGATGAAATTGAGAACGGTTAATAAGGCAGGATAAATTTTGGTTTTCTAAGAAAAAAGAAAAGAAAATGGGAAAACCTAAATTTAGTCCTAAACCAACACCCTATTCCATATTGCATCGCAAATCAATAAATTTTATTAATAGGTCTCATATATTTTTTACATTTTTTTGATTGCATCCTTATGTCAATTTCTTTTAATTAAGGTACATATATTTTATGCACTAAAATTGTATTGATTTGAAGAAAAATTGAGAAAAAGTTAATGGAAATTAGCATTATTGATCAAATGTGTACATTTTATCCACCAAAACGGTTTCAATTTGAAGAAATTTGACAAAATTATTCATGAAAATTTTTAAAAAATGACTTGATTAATATTTTTTAAAAACATTTAGGATCAAATTAATAAAATTTATAGATTGGGAACTCAATTGCGAATGAGTATATATAGCTTTGAAAACAGTGTGCACTAAATTAAGGTTTCTCGAAAAAAAATCTACCTGTGCCGTGTTAACTGCCACCAGAACCACATCTCTATCGTATCTTCGTTCTTTCAAGGAAGGGGAGAGGAGAAAACTTCAACGAAATGGGGGTGGTGATTGTAGATGGATCAACAGTACGTGACTTTGCTAACGACGAGGCTCAATTCAAGAAGAGTGTGGACGAGACATTTACAAAGCTTGACCTCAACAACGATGGAGTCTTGTCCCGCTCTGAGCTCCGAAGCGCCTTCGAAACCTTGCGTTTGATCGAAACCCACTTTGGAGTCGACATAGCCACTGCACCTGAGGAGCTTACAAAGCTGTATGACTCAATCTTTGACAAGTTTGATTGTGATCAGAGTGGAAGTGTTGATCTTGAAGAGTTTAGGTCAGAGATGAAGAAGATCTTGCTTGCTGTTGCTGATGGGTTGGGTTCTAGTCCTATTCAGATGGTTCTTGAAGATGATGGCCAGAGTTTTATCAAGCAAGCTGCTGATTTTGAGGCCTCGAAGCTCCCTCAAGGGCCTTCTTCAGCTTGAGTATATTATCTCCCTCTACTGACGTCTGCTTGTTATTCTCGAATCCCATGTTAATGATCCTTTAATTTGTGTGTTATATGTTTTACTTCTCTGTTCTCTTTTATTTTAATAAAATTTTGTTCCTAATTAAGAAATGTTTGATCTTGTCCGAGTTTCACTTTTCGATTATTACATGGATTTGATTAGATATCATCCAAAGTTTAGAAATTGGGATAAGGTATCAAATTCCAGGCCATCAATTAATCTATGACTGATATCTATGCTTTGATTTTGCACCTTAATTTGCCAACTTAAACCAGTTTGAAGGCAGGGACGTCTATTTGTTTCTCAAGGATTTTGCATACAATTTATCCAGTTAGAAGCTTTGGAAGGATTCCTATTTGTTTCTCAAGGATTTTGCATACAATTTATCCAGGTAGAAGCTTTGGAAGGATTCCTTGCACCGAACAGAGCATATCATTTCCTTTTGTTGAATGTCTCCTGCTCGTTTACACATCCTGGCATACACTTTAGTCCCCAAGAATATGTTATCTCCTCCCAAGTAACTAAAGAGACATGAGAACAGTATATGATTCCATTTATATGCCCAACTCAAAAGTTTAACATAGTAAATATGCCAACTGCATCAGCATATCAAGTGCTCCTTATCTAACCCCACTAGATTCTGCAATAAGGTAAAGAAGACTCATCCAACATTTTCAACCATATTGCAGAATCTGCAGATTTTCAAATTACCCTTGTCACGCAGTAGCAATTACCAAACAAATATATCCATTTTTATGCTAATCGCTTTTCAGCATCAGCTTACTTTCCAAATTGCCTGGTTACCTAGACAAATTTTAGACGACCAGAATGTATAGGATTAGTTGGAACACAAAGTTTACAACGACACGAGTAAACTTGGATGGCTTCTCACGTGCCCGCAGGGCGCAGGCAATCCTGAAGGCAAATCAAGGCTTGTATTGTCTCTGATTTTAGCAAACCTTGTTACGGGCTTGACACTGGATGATCCGTAACAGCGTTCCTGAAAGTCCTAAATAAGTTACTGAACATGAATGTCAATTTTCTCAGACTTCAATTCAATGTATAGATCATTTGTAGGTTCTTCTAAATAAAAATTTAGCTCTGGCTTCTTCACTTGTGTTCAAATCCATGACTCTCCTCCATCACAGAGATTAGCAGCAGCAGCGGCAACAACAACAGATAATGGAGCGGAGGCAGAATAGGAGGATCATTCTTCCTGAACATCACAAGCATACGGTTAGTAGAGCAATACTGAATAAACCTAATATTGTAATGCAGATCCAAGATTGGAGCACACAACCTTATCTATATTGGCTGAATTTCAATTGCATTTGCTTGACCATGCTAGTAATAAATTTTTCTGGGCCACTCACTATGTCTGTCAAGTTTTTGTGAATCTGCAGCACCACATTAAAATACAAAATAGAAGCGGAATCTATATTTCTCAGAAAGTAAGTTGCTTCATTAAAAATCTTAAAAAACTTGCACTAGGTATGATATAACTTTTTCCCACTGATCATCGAGAAGATGCATATGAATTTTCTATCCTGTCTCCCTGAGTCAAGAGATGCTCTTTTATAGCAAACAGCAATTTCGAACACGTGATATACAGAATTCCCTGAGCTCTCCTAACCTGCTAACTATTAACCTCTAGCCACTAATGCTAACGCCTGGCTAACTACTGATATGGAAGTTGAGGGTCTATCTATGGTAAAAAGAAAATATGTATACACAGAATCCACCTTTCAAGACTATCAAGACACCCCTTTCTCTCTCATATCCAAATTCAGTTTCTTGGCAAAGATATAAAAATTATTCTTCCTTGTAGCAATTGCTTGGTATACTCCACAAACATTATAAGAAATAAGATCGCACATAATTGTGAAAGACACTTTATCAAATTATGCAAATGAAACCCCCAAGATATTGCAAAAAGAAACACAGAAAAGATGGTTCATCCAACAGTTTCAAACACAGCAGCAGATTCTGCAGATCATCAAATTATGGAATTGACAAATTCAAAGTACCGTAATCACTCACTACCAACCATCACCTGAACAGTAGTTTCTAGCCAAAAATCATCCGCCTTACATTCCAAAACTGCCAGTTTTTCCTGTACTAAAAGTTAAGAAATCAGGTTTCGTATAGGATATTATAGTATGCAGTTAGAAGTTCACATTAACACAAGTAAACTTACCTTTGGCTATCAAATGCCAGCAGGCAGCAGCCAGTGTTGAAGAAATGAAGGCTTGTATTGTCTTTGGTTTTACTTTTACTGAAATCGCAAACTGTTAAGCCAAGAAAGCATCACACCATTCAAGTACCAAAAATATGATGTTGTTATCTGGATCGGAACTACCAGTATACTTCATAAGTCAAATTCTGAATTTGCTAACAGTTCAAAGTCCACTATTTAATCTCCTTAGAGTTAAATCTTTTGGAATTTCATAGACATTCCAATCAATTTGACGAAAATTAAAACACAGCTGCACCTTAGAAAGGAAGTAAGTAATGCTGCAATTGGCAATATTAAAGGAATGACATAAACTAATCTCCGAGCTTTATATCCTTTAAACATTAACAATATTCAAGTAATGGATAAAGTAAAAGTAAACATAATGGGCACCAAGAAGTAGTGAGAGTTAGAGATTTTGCATATGATGCTAACATGGAGCCATTTCTTTCTCTCTCTCTCTCTCTTTTTTTTTTTTTTTGGCCTTTTTTTTTTTACCAAAAAAAAAAAAAAAAGAGGAAGAAAAGGTATACGTCGCCTGAGAGATTCGAACTCTCGCGGGGAAACCCCATGTACTTAGCAGGCACACGCCTTAACCACTCGGCCAAAGCGACGTGTTTGTTTCCTGATCTGGATATTTAAACCAATAAATAAATAACATAATTTCGAGGGAGAAACCCAGCTAGAGAATATGGTAGTAGATAGATCTGTAAATAAATCGAATCTTCATCCCAATCTGATGTAATCAAATAGATTTTAATCAATATAATATTTTAAAAATTTTAATATGAAAAGAATATATAAATATGAGAATAAATTGAAATTTAGAGTTTATTTATTATAAAATTTAAATAATACGTATTTTTTCGAGTACCGATGTATTTTTAAAAAATCACATATAAGTTTTTTGTCATTTTCTTAATTTAACTTCGTGAAAAACTTATGGTATTTTATTTACTTAAATTCATTACGTTTTTACTTTTTATGTATCAACTAATTATTAATGTTATTGTTTCTTTTTATGAATTGGAGTTTATTTTAGCATTTAAAAGTTAGATATAAAAATATAGCTCGTTCAAATTAATTAAGATGATAGGGGTAGATAATAGAACGTTTTACATAAACTCTTTTATAACACTTAAATCTCTAAACTATATTCTTCTTTGTTATTTCACTTATTGAGAGAAAGGGTAGAAACAAAAGTTAGAAATTAGAATTTGAGATACTAAAAAATTTATATTATTAAGAAAATACAATATTAGTACTTATTATATAGCGTTTTGAATTTTTCATAAAATTGATAAATAAAATATCATATTTTATTATATTTATTGATTGAAATATATTTTATATTAAATAATATATTAAATATAATAAATATAAAAATTTTATAAAAATCTAACGATAAATTGGGTAGAACTTCGGATCCAAATTCCTATTTTCAAAATGATATTTGAATTTGTTATAATCCGATTTGAGCCCGAGTTGTAGACAGTGCTGGCAGCAGAAATGGAGTGGGAAAGGGCAGCCACAACAAGACATCGCATTCACGTAGATAGACCCCACCTAACCTCCTCATCCCCTTTCCCTTCTCTAAACTCCAGACTACAAGCAAACAAACAATAGGTTGACATTAACATTCACATCTCACCACCACCCAACCCCACTTCCTTCCTCTTTTTTTTTTTTTTTTAATTACCCCATTGTTCAGGGGATCAGGTTAAACAACAGCAAAAGCTAAGTCACTTTTCAAAGAAGGAAAGAGCAACAAAGCACAAACAACAATGTCATCCACCCCAACAAATGAATGGCAAACCTACTGGTGTCATGAATGTGACCACAGCATCCACCTCCTCACCGCCACTAACGCTACCACCACTCCTCTTTGCCCTCACTGCCGCCATGACTTTCTTGAACTCATGGACCCCACTCCCGCCTCCACCACTACTGACACGGACACCGCCACTTTCCTCCTTGACAGCCCCTCCTTCCTCCGCTTTCTTCAACATTTCAACACCACCACCAACACCAATAGCCAATGTGATTGTGAAGATGATAATCCAAGCACGACTATTGACTCTATCCTCCCCACCATAAAGATCACTTCTTGCATGCTAGAAATGGACCCACTACTTGTGTGTGCAGTGTGTAAAGACCAGTTCGTGATTGATGTTGAGGCCAAGCAGCTGCCTTGCAGTCACTTGTACCATCCAGACTGCATTCTTCCCTGGCTTTCTAACCACAACTCTTGTCCTCTCTGCCGCTTCCAGTTACAAACACCAGTTGTCAGAGAGGAAGATTGGGAAACTTGGTCTCCTAATAATCATCATGATGATGCTAATCATACTCATGTCAGGGTTTTGTCCACCTCTCTTCCTACACACTTTTGGTAATACTTTGATTTCTTAATTTTAAAGTTGGTTTTTTTTTTTTTTTTGATGAGTTATATTTTTCATGTCAAAAGTATGTGGATCGGTTATATTTTAGGGGTGGGTGCTCGAATTTTTATTGCCTGTTGCATATTTCTCTTGACATTGGTTTTGTTCTACTGTGAAAGTGAAGTTGCTTCTGAATTTTGTTGATTTGCTGATTTAAGTAGCAGTACTTAGGATTTTGTGAAGTTTTTTTAATTAGGTTATTGATATGTAAGCATCATTTCCACACTGCATTGATCTTGGATTGACTGTCTTACTGCTAATCTCACACAGTTTCTGGTATCTCTGACTACTCAGTAGGAGGATGCTGTTTTATGTGAATTCAGTGTCCCTCTGGTCTTAGATGCTTCTAGTCCAATTTACATGTGTCAAACTGATGATCTTACCCTCTAGTTACTGAATTTCAGTATTGATTGCTTCCTAAACTTTGCCTTACTACTTGTTCTTGGCAAATACATGTTCATGTGTGACACAGAACAGATTTTGTGTCTGTTTTGAACCTTATGAAAGTAAATTGTTTCTTCACATTAATGTTCTTGCTAAGTTCTAATGAACTTTAGTCCTGCAGATAAAATCTACAAATTCACGTTGTGGATGGGATTTGAGTGAAGCTTCTTCTCTCGTTATGCTTGAGCATACTAGATTACATACAGGGCAGTAATTTTGGAATTGGAAAGATAGAGTATGACGGAATTAAAATGATATTAAATTAAAAGGTAACCCCTGAGGGATAGAGATATATACTGGTTCTAAGTTGGAAAAGGAAAAAAATGTGGTTGGGATGGTTAATCTAGAATATATGGACTTAGGATGTTTAGTTCATTTTCTAGTATAAAACTTGATTGCAGATCATAACATTCTAGCTGAGTCTGACTGAAGAATGACCAGAAAACTAATTCATCCAGTTGTATCCTCAGATGAAACATGTGTGTGTGTGTGTGTGTGTGTGTATTTGCTGCAAAACTATATATTCTAGAGGGAGAGAAATTTTCAGGACTTGTACCAATAAAATCCACACCATGAGAAGTAAAATTTTGATTGAGATTGAAGACTTGCCTTTGATGACTGGTACTTGAAAGAATAAGTCTTGACTAATAAAGGCAGCTTTGAGAGAGTCACTTATTGTCAAGACTCAACAGGGTAATGAATACCTTCCTTTAAACTCCGAAGAGTCAATAAATCACGAGATACTTTATATACTTTAAATCTAATGGCACTTAAAATTCTCATCATTAAATGTGTAGATTTTACTACAGTTAAGGGACAAATGCTCTTTGTAGGTTTTACACAAATGTGCAGGAAAATCCCCAGCTTAGCCTGTCATAGGATTGTGCCTCAGAAAGTTGGCAATCAATGAATCAGAGAATTGTCTATTAATCTTAAAAAGAGTCCAGGCTGCTATGATTAGATTTCGACCATGGTCATGTTGATTGGTAAAAGACCAACAAACCATTTGGGCAGAGCATATCTGAGATCAGGAGATCTCTGCTTGGATGTCTAGCCATGGAATTTTGTCTGCTTAAAAAATTAGGATAACCAGGTCCTGTTAGCAAGTTCCTTTTGTTTTTTGTCTTCCTTTTCTTTTTCTAGAGCTAGCTAGCTAGTTAGTTCAAATATAATATATCATGTTGTTATATCAGACTGAGACTTTGTTCTGGTCACTAACTAACATGTCCCTGTCAGATTTTGAGTGCAGGTATGCATCGTAAAATGCTTACGAGGACTTTGCGGTTTTTTTTTTTCATCGGAATTGATGGAATGAAGTGTAAATCAACAGCAAAAGATTGCGCTGCTCAAAGAATCTGTGATGGTTGTTCATTTCTCTTTCTGTTTAACTCTGGATTTTTGTAAACTAATACCTATTTTGGGATTGGATTTTGGCCGCAAATACAGCTTGGTTGAATTGATTTTTCATCTTCCATCATTTTTTCTTCACTTGGGAATGCTTGAAGTGAAGAGAAACAGGTAGGAAATAATATCCAATGATTTGATTTTACGAGCTTTAGTCCTTTGACAGTGTTCCATGAGGCAGCTTGCCAGCTCTTCATCATTTTATCTTAACGAGGAACAAATAAAAAAGTTGGAGAGTAACTTTAAACTTGGGAAATCCTACCTAAGATTTGTTTTGGCCGTTAAAGGTCTAATAATTATTTGAACCTTTTCGGTAAAAGATCATGATCATCAGGATACAGGAAAAGGAGAATTTAATATACAAATACTATCAAATTTAGCTTGTATTTGAGCACAGGATTAAGATCCTCGTGGGGGCAAATTCCATTAGTTAGGGCTTTAGCTTTAGGCAAAGTGTTGAAAATAATGTCACGTGCAGCAAACGGACAACAGAAAGTGATGTGGAGGTGGAGCCACGTAATGCCTTAGAAGCAAACACCATATGCTTTGAAAACTCATCCTTTTTTTTTTTTTTTTTTTTACTTTTTTGGACATATTAGCAGAAAGCTCACTCGTGTAGGATAAGTAATCTAATCATCATTCTTCATGACCCCATTAATAGCAAGTTTGATCAGTTTTTCTTTTATTGTAAGAAATCAAATTGAGCTTTCACTAATTTGAACCAATAAACGCACGTGAAAACTAGCCTTATTAATAAGGTTCACCAAACTTCGGATAATTAAGTAGTACATCAACATGTTTACTTTTCCATTAAACGGCAGGAATTATCCTTAATACACGAAATATAACGAAGAATTGGTAATCGCTGAAGTGTAGTACATCAACATGTTTACTTTTCCATTAAACGGCGGGAATCATCCCTAATACACGAAATATAACGAAGAATTAGTAATCGCTTATGTTTTTGCGTAGCTGACGGTGGTGGTTGGTGAATGTTTAAAGAATGTAATCGTAGACCAGATATATAGTTCTAGAAATCAAAATTGACCAATTCCAGTGGGAAAGTAATCTTTCTAGCAACTTCCACGAAATACCTTAGGGCAAGCAGCTTTGGCATGTTTCGGCCAATGAGTTGCTATCAAGCACCGGATCGAGAGGGTATTCTTGGGCCCTGCGGCATGAATCTTTAATACAAATGTGCGACCATCAAGTTCTCGTCAACCTACACGTCTTTATACGTGGCAAGGATTAAAGATAAACTCAAAAAAACACAATAAGCCAACGTGCATACCAAATTATTCAAAGTTTGAAAAGTAAGCCGCCTAAGTCAAACATTAAAGGATTACGTTCAACAGGATATCTCTCCCTATATATATGTGTGTGTTTGTGGTTTTGGAGCTAAAATTGAAGCAAAAGGATTCAACCTGTTATTGGTGTATACTTAGAGCAGAAGAAATTAAGAGAAATATGATGATGGAAAGCAGCTTAGGAGACATGTTGTTGAAGGTGGGGATGTTTGTTCTAGTACAAGCATTGGTTTATCTCATCCTTTCAAAATCATCCAATATATTCTCCAAGACACATGAGAAGAGATCGTTAAGCTTCAAGACAGCTCGCTCTGTTAGCATTCGAAGGATTCTTGCTGCCCTGCAAGACTTACCTGCTGGTGGTGAATTGTCTCCAGCTTCTTCAAAGAGCACGCAAACGCAATCCCCTACTGTTGAGAAGTCTAAAGATCGAATGACATGTAAGGCTGATTAATTAGGCTAACTAGCTTCATATTCATATACAGTGGGTTTTGATCAAAAAATACGTGTTGTGATTATAGCTACAAGTGATTTAATTATTTGTACAAATTTTTGTTTGATAGATAGAAAGCATGAGAGCATTTGAATTAGTTGTACGAATTTGTGTTTAATAGATAGAAAGTATGAGAGGATTTGAGTGATTCTTTAATTTGTTGGTTCCTTTTTCAGTATTGTAATATTAATCTTCGTATTTAAGATTCTTTAATAAAGTTTGAAGTTGAAATTAATTAGTTCCATATATATACTTTTATTAAGTTATTCTTTTGTGATCTACCTACCTCTTGATGCTTTGGTAGAGTGAAAGGAAGAAAGTAGATGGAATCAATTAAAAGGGAGAGATGATAAGACAGTGGATTGAACTAATGTCTTTCTAGCTTAGCTAGCTATGTTTCATCAATTTTTTATTATTATTATTATTTTTCAATATCGAGAAGAAATAAAATAAAATAAAAAACTCACTGAGAAGAACATTAAGAAGTCCCTTAGCGAATATATCATTTCCTCTAATTTCATCTCGCTTTCCTCCTACGTACGTACAAGAGACAGAAAATGTGCGGATCTCAATGGTCTTTTTATTTATTTAATTATTATCATTATTATTATATTTATTTTTTGAGAATCTCAATAGTGTTAATTAATTAGATTTGATGCTGCTGAATAATTAATTAAGCTGTACAAATGCAAGAAAAGGATGGGCTAACGTCCACTGTGTAACCTTAGGCTTAAAAAATGGAATTATGACAAACTGTTTATGATGTCATGGGCCAGCCAATTAGCCCAATCTAAAAGTTCTCCTACTAAGTAATGGTTTTGAAATACTTTTCTTTCCGGAATTCCAGGCCTAAAGCCCTAAAAACTCGGATTAGATAACCCAATTACGAGGAACACGAAGTACAGCCCTCCTAATTATGGTCATCCTCGTATATGACCCTTTTGCCCTTTACTTTCTCTCTTTCTGTCTTCTTTTTAAGAATGATAAAACCTTTTTCTGTTTTGCTATTTTAGAACTGGCATGTCTATTACTAATTCTCAATCAAAGAAGGAACATTTAAGGGATTTTTTTTTAATTCTATTATAAAAAATATTTTCAAATCATTTATATATTGATTAAAACTAATATACGATTTGCTGTATTAAAAAGGAACAAATTTCGTTCACCACCAAACAAACTCTTTAAATTAATCCTAAAAACTCCATAAATAAAAATTATATATATATAAGAAATTACTTCAACATCAATATTTTTAACTACCAAGTCTTTCTAATATTCAAGCTTCAATAAAGCTCGGTAGGCATTTAAAGTAAAATAAAAAATTATCACATCATATCCTAAATCAATTCATGGATAATAATTATAATAACAACTCAGGTCCTTGTTTTGTGGTACTATGTATGTATATGTGATGGACTTTTCTTTTATAATTTTTTCTTTTATTTTATTTTGATCAAGACTCAAGAGATTCCATATAGTTTACACTAGGCAGAGGTGTGTTCTGTTCTGTTATATATGGTGATAGTACTGGACCGTACGGATAAATTGCTATAAAGATTGAATACAGATCCTATGCTGTTAAAAAATACAACAAAATTAAGAAGCCAAAGAAATCTTGCCAGCCTTTTAGCAGTCATTTACTGGTTATATATAACGTAATGTAATCAAATAAGGAAAAATGTAATGTAATGGGATGGAATAGTCTATTACTTTTCTTTTGTTTGATTGTAAAACTTTTAGTAATGTAATACAGGCATTCATAAAGATTCATTTTATTTCATGTAATTTTTTTATAAAAAAAATACTTTAGTTGCTATAGTTAATTTTTATTTACAATTTGGTCCTTATTTGAAAATTTTTGGGTCCCTATACTTTAGTTTCTATAGTCAAAATATATGAAATCAAAGGTTAAAAAAAAAATCATCTATTTTTTTAATCAAAATTGTATTTAAATAATTCTTCCTCGTGTTTTTTTATGGATTCTTTATTAAAAATTTGTAATAATCTAAAAAGAAAATTTAATACAAAAAAAAAATTCCTTAACATTTTTTTTATAAGATGGTGTCTAGAAAACAAACTAACTATTGATGTTAAACTAGCATAAAAATAAACAAGTGCAAAAATTATTTTTTATTCTTATTTAATATTAATGAGAAGATTAGTTTTTGAAAGTTTGTACATTTTATTTTTATATATTTATTCATAAAATAATCAACAATATTAGAATATAAAAAAAAACCATGTTTGAATAATTGAGTGGTTACGCCAAAACATAATTTAAATTATTTTATTTGAAAGAAATTGATTCTAGAATAGTAATAAATAAATAACATAATTAATTTCTCATAAAACCAACAATTCAATTTTTTTTATATGTCATAACTATAACGAATGGGTTTAGAGTTTGCAACATAAAATAAAAAATATTAAAAAATCATTTAACATTTAGGTAATATATTGAATAAATTTGAAAGTTCATAGGCTAAAATAAAAATTATTATAAAATTAATATCGATAATTTTTTATCGTGTAAAGAAGTAGCAAATAAAACACATGATTTTTCTTCTTCTTAAATATTTTTTTCTAGGCGATACATTGCCCATCCTCGTGCACATATCTCACATTTAGAGCAATCTCTCTCTCTCTCTCTCTCTCTCTCTCTCTCTCTCTCTACATTTGATGTTTAATTATTAATTAACTATTTTAAAAATTAATTTAAAAAAACTAAGACAAATTATCTAAAACACACTTATAACCCATATATATATATATATATATATATATATATGCTACTATAATTTAAAAATTCTAAGAATCCATCATATAAATTATATCATTTATTTTTTAAAAAAAGAGAAAATAATCATATTTTAAAATTTTATTTCAAAATCCATACATAAAGAAAAAAGAAGTCGTATTTTTCATTAAAAAATGATAAATTCAATGAATGAATTTTAAATAATAAGAGTAATATAATTTAGAGTAAACATACACATGTGTCTTTATATAAATACCTAATCTCCCATTTGTTTCTAGATTTTCAATTACATCACATTTGTCTTTGAAAGTTTTTAAAATGTTCAATCTATTCTTCCTCGATCAAAATGTTCACCCATAATTTTTTTTTATCGAAATGCATTTTACTAAAATGTGAATTTTAAAAATAAAAAAATACTTAAAGTCACACGACCTAGATGTTCTATTTTTAAAGTCTTTAGAATTTTATTTATTTATTTATTTATTTTTGCATTTCAATCAAGGGTATTTCAGTTAAAAAAATTATTTGATAGAAAAATTAGGCTTGAAGGACAGATTAAATATTTTAAACATATTCAAAGGCAGATGAGATGTAATTAAAAATATAGAGACAAATAAGATATAATAGGTATTATATAAGGACAAATGGATATATTTACCCTATAATCTAAAATATATGCTCATTCTAAAATATGGAAACATATAATATATATTTCTTCTCGCCAAGGTCTATGAGAAACCTAAAAAATAAGGGTCAATCTTTCATAATTTTCATCCAAGAATATTTTAAAAAAATTAATGAAAAAAATTAAGTGAAAAAAAAAAACATAACAAAAATTACCTAGTCAGGGCGCAAGCCTATGTGCTTGGGCTTGGAGAATCAAGCCTACCCACTTGGGCTTATAGAACTAAGCCCAAAAAAGAATTGAAATAAAAAACGAACAATAAGCAGACGACGTATCATCAGTCTGCAATTTTCAGCCTCCCAAACCGTTTGCAAGAAAATTGGGTTTTCAATTTTCGAACTCTACAATCCAAAGCGTCATTTTTGTCCAATAACTCTCAAAATCATAAAGATAAGTTTAAGAAACTCGTTTAGAACTTTAAAACTTATTTTAATATATATAAAACATGAAAAAAAAATCTAAATTAATGTAAAAAAATCTCTAAAAATTTTAGAATTTCAATTTACCTCTTTCAGTCATTTCATAGTTTTTGACAATTCTAAACAAACTCTCTTCTCTAAGACAAACAAATTGAATCCAAAATCGACAACCAAATGAGAAATTTTAAAATACTCAAATAACTATTATATGTTTACAATAGTTATTATATGAGTTCATTTTTAAAAAGAAATATAGATATAGATATAAAAAATTACGTCGAAGTCCACTAAAAATGACAAAAATATTTCTATTTAAGTTCAAATTTTATCTTTTAAAAAAAAATTTTAAAATACTCGAGTAACTATTCTTTGTGTTTATCTTTCTTTTATGAAGTATTAATAGTCACCTTTAGAGTAATATAAAATTTCGACACCAAAACGGTTAGAACGAGCATTAGCATGATTTTTTTCTCTTGCCTTCTATGCCGCCATTTCTCTCTCCTCCCTCCAACTAGGGATCAAATCTTAATACAAATGAGGTTTGGAATGAAAGCAAAAGTGGTTGAAAAAAATTAGAAATCAAAGTATAGTCGCAAAAATTTGCATATAAGATGCCTAAAAAAAAGTTTAAAAATCACAAAAATGCTACTATTATAAATTATAAAAATACCACTTAGTCCACAATAGTTTATGAGATAATGAATAATAAGTAAATAGTAATTTAATGTTCCTTTTTTCCACTTCTTTTAGTTTTATTATTAATTATTAATGACCTCGAAATTTCGTTGGTAAATTAAGTGTTATGGGAAGAAAATGTGAAAACTAGCATTTTGCCACTTGTGCTAGTTGCCATGCTTCAACAGATGCTAAAATATTTTTCAAAGCCTTTGGTATAAATTTAGTATTAGCAGCTTGCAATACATAATTACTCAAAGTCAAATAGATTCAAATCAAAATTTTAGAACTAAGGGAGGGAGAAGAATGTAGAAAAAGCGGAACCAATGTATGGTTCCAACTTGTTTCCAAAACCTTCCCTAATTAAAATATCGTTTTAATTAATACCATTTGTTTCTAAACTGGCAGAAACATGTTGCTGACTAGTCAAGTATATATATTAATTAACTAAATCTACCAATAACCACTCAATTAACTATATATATATATATAAAAAAAAAGACATGCCGTTCACACAATAAATCTAATTAAATATTATTCTCAAATGAAATCTATTAACAAAAGCTGAGAAAGTCTAGCAATTTATCTTGATTTTCCAAGACTTGTTAGTTGTATATATAATTAAAAACTCCAACTTGTAAAGTCAAACTCGTTTTGGGAAAATTGTAAAGCCAAGCTCTTCGAAGTGAATTATTTAGAACCTCACTTTTTTTTCCCTGCTCTTCTCTTTATCAAAAAGCTAGATCTAAACAATTTTTAATTAATTGTCATCTCATAAGTTTATGTTGGTTCTGATTATATATATATATATATATATATATATATTTTTTTTTTTTTTTTTTCCTAGCAGTCGTAGAACCCGTGACAAAGCATGGTAGGAGACCTTCTACTAACTCTAAAGTACAGTTGTTAAATTAAAGGCTAATTGGTAAAATGATTCTTTGAATTTTTGGTAAAATTTAACTTCAATCTTTACTTCTTTTTTTTTTTTCTGATTTTGATATTTTAAGATAAAAATTAATAAATTTGATTCCATAGTTAGATTTTGTTAGGCTTCCCACCCCAATAGAAAAACGAAAAAATTTACTTAATTTTAGTTATTTGTTTTGACATGATTGAAAAAAATAATATTAAGAATTAAATTGTATTTTACCGAAAATCAGACCAGTACATAAAAATGTGATCTTTGTGCTTCTAGGCTTTGATAAAATTGACTCAATTAGACATATAAAAATAAATTAAAAAAATATAATATTATATCATCACATATTAAGCCATTAACTTATACAAAATAAAAACTAGTTATGGCCTTCATTATCTTAGAGATTCAACCCTTGTTGGCTCGGATGGTTCAGATGGTATTTCTGATCTTTTGTGGTATATGCGGCTACAACATACAACTAAGTGGGATCATGACAAAGTTAAGCAAATAAATTTTTTGTGTGGAAAAAAAAAACCCAAGTAATTAAGCTGAATTTACATGAGCATTGTGTTAGGAACGAAGAACGAATTGGAGAAATAGTCCAATAAAATAAAGAAGAACAGATCAATCCATAAGCCCTTTTATTATAAAACTAGAGCAGAATGATTTATTAGAAAATATATATATTGCTTGTAATGATTTATCAACGGATTTATAAAAACTCAACTATCAATTAAAAAATTCCTCTGTTAAATAAAGATAAATTCAAATGATTTGTCTATAATCATATTCATTTTCAGTTTTGCAAAGCATAATACACGCATGCAGAGTAGCATTTTGTTATGAAATGTACAATACAGAAATTTTAATATGCACTAACTTATATTTAAAAAATTTCCAATCATTGCTTAGCATATTATTACTATTTTTTATGGACAATTGATGACCAATGGAAAAATTAGTCAAAGCTGATTAATGTTTTTTTTTATCATTTACTCTTATAAATAAATGTTTCTCTTTTGTAGTTAATAGACACTATGATCATCAAAAAGTTTTGCATAAAAAACTTATAAAAATTCTGCAAAAATAAACTCTCTTTCTTTCTTTGTTTTTGTTTATTATACTCTTAATATATTCACATTTCTTTATATCATACTATTGGAATAAAGGAAGTAGTGTTTTGTAGAGTTTTTTTTTTTTTCTTAAAATTTAAACAAACTTGTGAGGATATAGAGTAAAATGATTTGAGTTATTGTAGTCTTAAAATAACGTATATAATTTATTATTGATTTATAGGCTCCAATATATTACAGAAATTATCTCTAGAGGTCGACCTATTCAGCACCTCTCTAACACTTTTTAATTACGATGAAAATATATTTGCGACAAATTCATATTTTTAGGTAATATTTATCCATTACTTACCCACACCATTTTTTTGTCGGAATAAATCCCAACTTCTTTCTTGGCCCAAGAGGAATTATCCCATAGCAATAAGTGCATATATATATTCATAAGGGGATGAATGTCCAAACCCAATCCATAGAAGTGATAGAAGAGACAATGAGGAAAAAGGGTCAACGAACATGGGTTTTCTGTGACAAAATCTTTGTGTCAGCCATGATCTCCTCTCATGACAAGCTATGAGCATGTGGGCTTAGCAATGCACGAGTCTTGTGTGTGTCTCTGTTTATGATTTTATTTTCAGTACAAACCACAAACTTTTGCAATTGTAAGGTCTCTCACCTGCCACCTTCACGTGCACATCCACGTCCAGCATGCATCAAACGGTTACTCCATCCATAACTTTGTACTCCATAGTATCTCACCTCACTACCTAGCTAGTAGCTTTTCCCTAATTAATCTGACAAGTTTTACATTTTCTTTTCTTTAATTATAGTGCTATTTTTTTAATTATGTTTTTTATAATTACTAATTGTGATTTATACTAGAAAACGAATGTCATTAAGAAAGTGTTTTTGAAAATTACAAATATTAGCTAGCTCTAAGATGGGAATTGAGATAATGTATTATATGGTATACACTAATACTATATACGTATTTTCCAGGTTTTAGGCAGGCAAAGGCAAATTAGATCCAATATTGCTATAATTCCTTTGTTTCATTGACCATATATATATATATATATATATATATATATATATATATCCAAAGCTAGCTTCCAAACGACAGCCTTAGTGACCATTAATTAATTATCAAACATCCCTTTTTTAATCAAGTCAATTGGCCATCTTCCCTTCTATTTAAGCCTCTAGTTATTCCTTGCTCCAAAACACAGACAAGATTTCTATCTTCTCAGCCTGGGTAGCTAAATACTACAAGCCCTCTCCTCTCGTCTCATAGCCTTCTTTCTTGCTTTATTGATTGCAGCTTCATAATATATATATAGTATGTATATAGCAATGGAAGGCATAGTTAGGCCACACTCATGTAACCCTAGTTCATCACCTCCTTCTAAGCTAGGCATGCACAGAGATTCACATGCAATATCGAAGTTGATCAAGCCCAAAGTTAGAATAATTCACATAGTAGCACCAGAAATTATAAAGACTGATGTTGCAAATTTTAGAGAGCTTGTTCAAAGACTTACTGGCCAACCTTGTGAAAGTAAAGGCTTGATCAAGAAGAAAGCAAGATCAACCAGTACTACTCCAGGCAAGAAAAGGAAGACTACCGGTTACTCGTGTGAATCAAACAAGAAAGCCATGCAGCAGATCCCAGAGTTCGGATTGGCTAGTTTGATTAGAGGAGAGAAACAGGTGGGAGCAAATAAAGTGTGGGAAGGTGAGAATTCTTTAAGTAATTGTAATTTCCTTGATGGGTTTGGAGATTTGAATGGTTTTATGCATGATTTGAGTGACAGCTTAACTCTGACAACATCTAATTCGCAATCGTCTTGTGAAATGGATGGTTATGAAGACATATATACACCTTTCTTGGCTGAAGGTGGATTAATTTAATTTGAAGGGTGGATGACTCTCTGTTAAGAGAAATTGAGATAAAGGATAAGGTTACTTTGATGGGTTTGCAGATTTGGATGGCTGCAGTTGATTGATAATTTTGTCACATAAGGCATGCATGAGCTAGATGAGCTTCCTCAATCTTCTTGCATGGACATGGTTAATTTATGGTTTCTTCATGGTTGTCTCATGGCTTTCCTTAATGAAACAGGTCTCTTATCTCTCTGTCTATGGAGGTTTGGCTGCTAGAACTGGCTGGTTCCTTATTTGCGCTGTTCTTTTCTTTTTCTTTTTTCCTCTTCTTCTTTGGCTTTCGTTTGTTTTGTTGACTTCTGATCTGATCTCGACTATGTAAATATTTCAATGTGCACATATTTTGCGGACTGTTTCTATTTCACGATTGCACTGAGCAACTGGTCCTGGAAATTACGTACATGCTTGCCTTTTCATTTTTGCTGTAGACTATTCTCCATTTTCTCTCTTTATTTTTTCTTTTCATTTCTTTGAGTTTGAAGAACTGGAAGGCTTTTAAGGGTGGCTCGCTAAAACCCTATCTTTTCTTTTCTTCTTTTCCTATATACTATCATCCAAATTAAAATATACGCAGTTGGATAGTTGAGAGGTCTTTTTTATAACGTTGGATAATTCATCAAGGTTGACTTGCTGAAAAGACAACAAAATTCATAGCATTTAAAACCAAACAAGCTTCATCTTGCGAAGCATTGCTTAGTGCTTAAGCTCTTGCTTGTCACAGAATTCTATTCATTATATATTGTTGCTCCTAATATGAATCCTTTATCCCTTGAGCTTTACACTGAGGCCCCACAGTACATAAAATCAAAGTCATCTGGAAGAACATTAACCCTTTCGAGTTTTACAAAGTAACCAGTGAGGAGAAAATCCAATTTCAGACAAAACACAAAGTCAAGGCCCATCACTGTCAACTTCCTTGACAATAAACTGCATGACTTTGAAAGCAGCTTCTAAATTTCTCTAATATAATATCTAACCGCCACAAATTGCAAGAATAAATCGATATACTTTACCGGTGATCTGTGATAAGTGCCATAATAATTTTTTTGAACTTGTATTTATTTATTGTGAAATCTTGTACTATACTCAATTTAATTTACTCTAGTTTTTTCTCTTTCTTGTTTATTAAGAAATGGCGTTACGCTATTTTTTATTGACTTTCATTAATCCGAAAGGGACTAAAATAACCAACGAAAACAATGTGAAGGAGAAGAGTAGAAGGGAACTTTAAACCATGTTGAGAAGAATGATCTCACACCGTCCATTGGCTTGAAATTTTGACGAGAATATGGGAAATTGGAAATCCCTAAAATACTGCCCAACATTAATGAATTATCTTTCAGGATGCAAGATTCTCTCATCCTTAACTCATATATTATTCACATTACGAAAGGAGGAGGATCAATTGTTTATTCATATAAATGCAAAGTGCTTGAAAATGACATGAAGCAAGAGTTTGGTTAGCCACGTGCGCACAGAAACAGTGCAAACAATTTCAATATGCAATTCCTGAAATTTTTTAAAGGAAGTAGTAGGTAGAGTACATAGAAAAATTCAAAATAACAGTAACGCCTTACCGAACAATTCTCTAAAATCAATGGCTTATATCATGTTCGATTAAATAAAAAAGTCTTCCTGTTTTTGCTACATTAATTGTGGTCCAATGTGATATTACATCCATAGAGTTCTCTGTATGCGATTAGATGATCAATGTAAAATAATCCATAGCTTGCTCACTGAATCAGAGCCTGTACTTCGTTTAAAGTAAAACTAATCATACAGGTAAGGCACAAAACCGGTAAAGAACTTTTAAGATATATTTGTCACTGTAATCATAAAGGGAGAACCATTACAAGCTTCCGATATAAACTCCAAAAATTCTTCTGAGGTCTATGATGAATTTTGATCACGCCTTGCCGTTGACTTTGGGTTTTGGGGCTCGTGATGGCTCATAAAAAGTAATTAGCAAGGAGTTTGTCACCTCAATGCAGTGAGATCAACTAAATGAGAGAATGAAAAGAGTTGTCTCTGCTCTGCATCGCCTCATCAAACCTGAAAGGAATTCTAAATGTGTTTTAAAATTGAAATTCTATTTTAGTTTCAAATTGAGTGTTCATAGTGGACTTTAAGAAGGGCAATCAGTTGCAATACTTATTGCCGCATCTTCATAAGCTAAAATATTCCTAAGTCATAAAGACAGGATAAATGGAAACATAAATGATAAATGTTCACTCTCATTTATACACCTATGTTCCACTGCCTTCAGTAACTAAACTAACCAGAGAAAGTGCTTCCACCTTGGGTTTGAACAGAGAGAAAATAGGGGTGGTAAGCAATGTCTTGATGGTTGAGTGCAAATAAGTTGGGGCATGTAAGATTCAAACGCTGTATAAGTGTGCGAGTACACTGTCAACTCTAAAGGTTGTAAAAGCTCAAGGGAAGCTAGAGAGTCCTAAAAGTTCGAGTGAGCTGGCTATGATTTTGTAAAAGTTCTCCAACCAGTTGAAAGGGCACTGTCATGGTGAAATCCCAAGAGAAGCTTCAAGAGTGGATTAGGTACTTAGTTTTTTTCAAAACCACTAAATCTTGTTCCATATTAAGAATGGACTGCACTCTCATGCTTAGGATCTTACCCGTAAGTAGTTTTTGAATTCAAAGTACTGCAAATGTGACAGCCCCTATTCAGCACCATTCACCTCCCTCATAAGGTGCTAACCAAGCCTAATATTCTTCTAAGCAATTTAACCCCATAGCATATGTCAGCTTTTGAGGTGGAATGCAGCTTTAAAAAAGAGATATTTGGCAAAGCAAAGATTTTAAAACAAAACTAAATTTGCCAACAATGGAGTTAGACAGATCTCACTAAATAATGCAGGAAACATTTCCGTCTTGAAGAACACTAAACAGGAACAAAATAAAGAAAATTTGACATTAGCACTCAGAAGAGGAGTCTGTGGACATAACAGGCCTTAGCCGCCTATATGTATCATTGGCCTATTTGCCGTTTTTGCAATGTCAAACATTCCAGCATGTGAAGCCTTTTTCCTCTTGACCTGAAGCAAAGAAGAAAAAATGAGACAAGCAATAAAAGCTTGAGAACAAAGTATGTTTATTTTTAAACAAAATATTGCTAGAATCTCTTAGTTTATACACGAGTTAGGTTAAATTGGTATTTGCATATTTTTCATTAGAATTAAGGCACGCATTGATTTAAAGTATTTGCATAGTGAAATCTTTAAAATTTGTACATAGAAGACAAGTTGCTAAAATTGATAAAAATTCATGTGCATGAGGCCCGAATGTATCGCCCAACATGGTGTGACACCAAACCAGGGAAGCAACTGCGACCACAACTTAGAACAATGCAAGGAATTTTTTTTTCCTAGTGACAATCTACCCTATCTATTTATTTTATGAGTTAACGATCATAATCGTCCATATTCTACAAGCAATTGCTTAATTAGGTCCCTGAACCAACGTATGTGTTAATTAGGTTCCTATACTGAATCAATTTGTTTAACATGAACCCTCCATCAGTGATTTGGCTAACGGTGTTGAGTTAATCTTATACATAGACTACACATGTACTCTGACAGTTAACCCTGTTAGTTGTTTTATCTCCTTCCCATTTTTATTACTTAATGCACACACACACACATATATAGCTAACAGAATAAATTTTTGAAAAATTTTTTAAAATAATTTCTTAAATGATTTTAATTGATAAAAAATGAAAAAGAAAAAGAAAACTAACAAGGTCAATGGTCAAAGGACATGTGTCATCTGATTATGCTATTAACTTAACGTTGTTGGCTAAATCAGTAACAGATGGCTAACATTAAACAAATTGATTCACTACAAAGACCCAATTAACACTTAATTTGGTACAAGGACCTAATTTAGTAATTGCTTGTAGTATAGGGGCGGTACGGATCGTTAACCCTGTATTTTATCATAACGTTAATGAGAAAACGAAGTTTTGAAAATTGTGCCTTTTGTGACCGCTATGGAAAGGTTTCACGACTAAAAATTGCATACCGCTGCCCCAATTATTTCCCTAAGCTCATGTTCTTCAGCACCTTGACGAAGGGGATCTCTTAAGCTAACCTGCAACGGCAAAGCACTATAAGGAATCTTAACAAAATATTGTAATATCTACTAGACATGACAAGGCTAAAGCATTTGGAACCAAAAAGTGCCATCAAACAATATATGGGGCATTCCCACGTACTTTCAGCAAGTAATACAGACCCACATATAGGACAAAAAATACCTGATAGAGAAAGAGTGAAGCACTGCAAGATATCAATCCAAAGATTCCCTTCTGATTTACTCTCAAAAATTTAATTTGGTCATGAATAGGGTATACATGTCAAATCTTGTTTGAAAGGGTTCCATCTTGCCTTGGGTAATTACTCATGTGTTTTAGATTTAGCTAAGTTTTCTAACCCACAGCCACAAGCTTTGCATGAGCTTCAGCGAATATTTCCTTTCAAAGTTTGTATGAACCTCAAGGATGCAAGAGTTCATAGATGGAGTTTAAATCTTCCGGGTTTTACTTTTTTGTTTTCTTTTTCTTTTTTCCAACTTTTTACTATTATAGCACAGTTCCCATCCCATACAAAATACTCTCTTTGTTAAACTGTTTCGCCTGCTTTTCATTTCAGTCATGGGGAGCTTCAAGGTGGACAGAGTCAATTAATTTTACGTTGAGCCACATGAAATACAATATGCAACACAGAGGAAGCTTAAGGATGTGGGATTTTAATTTTTTCTCTATGAAATGACAGTAGTTAAGAATTAAAATCAAAAGCAAGTTCATTTGAAGACAAGACAGGTTTAAGGATGAAAGAACTGTTAAATAGGTTCTGACAAGACATGGCACACAGCAATTTAGTTGAAACAAAGATAACATCTGTAGCAAAACCCAAAAGCTGAATTATACTCTTAACTAATTGGCTAAACTTGTATCCAAAAATCCCACATACTCAGCTACATATGCAAACCACAAGAAAAGGAAGCTTATAGTCTTTCTATCTGATAATAGAAAGTCAAACTACAGATAGTCTGACTACAAATTTGTGTCATGTATTCCAAATTCAACGAGCACGTGAATCAGTTTTTTGGGTTGGGCAATGCATAAGAAAAATAAAAAAGACAAGCATGACAATACTGAAAAGTTAAATCAGGTTAGGCAAACATAATAAACGCGCACACAGAGGAAGATAAAGAAATAGCAATTATTTGATCAACAGAAACTGAAGAGAAATTGAGCAATAAATTGCTATAGCAAGGAAGAAGATGGTTCACCTCTGAAGGACCAAAGAGGCAAACTTTAAAGTTTCCATCAGCTAAAAGTCGCAATCTATTGCAACCAGCACAGAAATGCTCAGTCATTGAGGTGATAAAAGAAACTGTACCAAGATGCCCATCCATCCTGAAGTTCTTAGCCGTATCAGCAGGGTGACCCTGCAGTCTCTTTAGGCCAGGAAACTGTTTTCCCTGTTCAGTTAAAAGGAGTTACCAAAAGAATCGACAAGGAGACACTCAAATATTTCCACACAGACCTGTCAGAGTTCTACCTTACCACTCTATCCAGCATTTCTGAGTAAGGAACAAGTTTCTTGACATTCCAAACATTTCCATCAAAAGGCATGAACTCAATGAACCGAACATTAATTGGTTTGTAGCGTGTCAACTCCACAAAATCACAAATCTCATCATCATTAAACCCGCGCATCACCACACAATTCACCTAAATGACACCAACAAAGGGGGGCAACTAATTTAGTTTAGAGTCAGTAAAAGTCCTGAAAATAGTAAATAAATAAATACGATAGTAATAGCGACTCTATCATTGCAACGGTCAATAAAATTATTACTCTGGTTAGAAGATCGAATATGAAAAGAGCATAACTGGGAGAGAGAGCAAAGACAGATAGAATTGCAGAGAGGATACATACCTTTACTGGGTTGTACCCACAGTCAACAGCAGCATTAATTGAATTCAGAACTTTTTCATGCCCTTTCCGCCTGGTTAAAAATTCAAATTTTGCAGGGACCAAAGTGTCTAAGCTGATATTTACAGAAGTAAGCCCGCATTCTTTCAGCTTTGGAAGCTTTCTCGCCAGAGTGATTCCATTGGTTGTCATGGCCAAGGTCTTTAGTCCTTTCAAGTTAGATAGCTGTAAGCATATGTCTTCAATATCTTTTCTGATGGTTGGCTCGCCACCAGTCAAACGAATTTTATCTACTCCAGAGGTCACAAAGAGATTTGCCAAATGAACAATCTCATTCTGCAAGAGCAATTGAGGACTAGGCGTAAGCTCCGTGCCCTCAGCTGGCATACAGTACTGACAACGTAGATTGCAACGTTCTGTCAAGGAGATCCTCAAATAAGTGTGCATCCTCCCAAATGAGTCAATTAACATGTCAGAAGCGAGATTAGTGCTCTGTAGATCTTCTGGCAACTTAGCACAAGAAGTAGCGTATGCCTTTGGCAAGGAACCATTAACATAGCCACTAAAGAAACCTTGACATCTGCTCTTTCTAGATGCACAATAGGATCCCACCTCACAATCAACCTACAAGCAAATTCTGAACATCGTCACCATTTCAAACTTGCACGTTAACTGGAGTAGCAGTCAAATTATTAAAAAGCATGAAGCATGCTCAAGGTCTAAGAAAAACCAAGTGCAACACAAGAACATAATTGATCAACTTAAACTCTTGATATGATAGAGATTAAGGCTGAAGAGAAAACCCAGCTATGCGAGACTAGTGAAAACACTTTAGAGTTGTATTTGTGCATTTTTCAATAATTCAACATCAAAAGGCTTGTGTAATAACCTAAGAAGTGTGGAAAAAAAGATCATGTAGCAGCACCACTACTCTAATGTCTAACCTGGCATGAAAAATGACCATCCTAAAGCCAAATTTCCTAAAGGTTTACAATACAAAGATGAAAAAGTTGTAGCAGAAGAACATTTTGTTACTTTTTGATCCCCTTAGTAGCTACAGAGCAATGAATTTTTGGCGTGCATTATGAATGAAAAAATTTGGAGATTGGTATTAATGCGTGGCATATCTAAATCATGATGACAGACAAATTGAATATGTTTTGCTAGAACAAGCAAAAGGAAAGATCAAAACATTGAAAATCAAAATAGCGGGCTTCACAAGTGGCATGAAATCAAATTATGAAGAATCTTAATGAAAAATTTAAACTAGAGAAAAAAAAAACATACCATGGAGAGACTGAAATTCTTCAAACCCAAGTGCCAATTAATGAATTTTGAAGCATACCGCCTCATCATAGCTTAGCTGATAATTAAAAAGACAAAAATGAAGTTAAGCAAGATTTTCAAACGTAAGCAGTGCTGGGAAAGAAAGAGCAGCAACAAATTAAAGCACACTCCAGTTAAAACATACAGAGACAAGAAAAAAAAATTAAAAAAATAAAGAGCACTGGTTGATTGATACCTCGTACAAATGGATCTTTTGTGTTTTCCAAAGGTGGAGTGAGAGACAGATGAAGATGAAAATAAAGATGATGACAACGAAGACTGGCCTTTCATTTAGTCTAAACTCCAAACTCTAGTGTTTTTTTTTCTTTTCTTTTCTTTTATAAAAACAAGCATCAGCCAGCGCGATACGTTTTTATCATGTTTTTATCATTGTTTATTATTCATGGGTTCGGCAAACGCAACCTTTGCTGAAATTACAACATGTGTCTTGTTCCCCCAACTCTAGTACGTGTCATTTTATATCTAGTTCTTTGCTTGAGACGTTTCTCTTCGTCATTGGGCTGCCCAAGCAAAATTCTTGGGCCTCATCAAACCAATATGACTGATTAGTGTTTTAAGTTTTGATTTTACCTCCATGTTTCACCCTTCTTCCTTCGTAAGACCACTATAGTCTATACATTATACATATACAGGGAAGATATTAGTGTGTACTTTCTAACTCGGATAACTTTATTTTTTTTATTTTCGAAATTTATACTGTCAATTTAAGATTAATTTTTTTTCAAATTATTTTAACAACACGTCCCTCACATCATCAATTTAAAATATTCAGAAACAAATAATAAATTTCTTTGAATGTTAACTTTAAAATTTAAACATAAAAAGTCAAAAAAAAAAAAAAAACATCTTAATCATTATAGCAGAAACGGATCCATATTAAATGGTGGTGTCAACTGACACAACTCACTTAAAAAAAAAAAAAATACTAATATTTAGATTTAGATGTAATTGAACTATAATGGGAGGAGTTGAAAAGCCCATGACCCAGCCATGGAGAAATTTGGGTGAGTAAAAACAACTACTTTTTTTTTTTTTTAGCTGCAATGTTTAGAGTTCACTCGAACTCCTGTCTTCATAAAGAATTTCCTTTTTTGAAAGATTTGATTGTAAGCCAAGAGAGGTTGTGGAGTTAATAGCGAAAGGAGTGATGATTGAAATAATTTATACATAATATATAAAAATAATATATCATTGTTTTGAAGAAAAATTTTCATTTTTATTTTTCATTTTATTCCCACCCACTTTTATGAAAATGAAACTGTTTTTTTAATTTTCATTTTATTTTTTTAATCAGACACTTACAAAGTGAAAACTAACTATATTTAATTAGTATAACCATTTTCACTTCATTTTTTTTAGGGTAAATTACAAAACATGCCACGTAGTTGGGTGGTAGGAAAACTCTACACCTTTATTTTTCAAAATTTATATTTTAAACCGTATGGTTTTATTTAAGAAAACATCATATATTATAGTTTCATTTTCAATACCAAAAAAACATCCAAATTGTTAAAAATTTGTCATTACTTTTTGATAATGGCCAAAATATCCTTTAAAAGCATTTTTGTTTTAAAAAATGAGGGTAGCTGTTAAGATGGAAAATTTTATGTTTGAGAAGATCCATAAAATTGCATAACATTTCATACCAACCCGAATTCAATTCAACATAAAACACGCAAAATCCAATTCAACATCTAAACTTCAACACAAAACACCCATAATCCAATCCAAAACAGAACACCCTCATGTGCCACATCATGTGTTGATTTGACACGAATTTTATCATACGTAATCTGACATGAACAGAAGTAGCTACATCACTTCAAATTTATAAGAATAACTGATATAATGAAACTCACACAGCAGATAGAACTTACATTGTTAACGAGCTTTTCCACTGTTGTCTGCAAGTAATTTTTGTATTTTGTTCTTAATAGAACAACAATTTCATTCATCTGCTCCCTACAAATCGATTTTTTATCTCCATGAGAGACGAAAGTCTAGGACTTCAAAATGTCCTTCCCTCTACAGCGTAAGACATTAAGAATTCTTTTGATGGTATTCAAAAAAAAATTCCAACTGTCAAAATATACAATGAGTAAGATATATGGACACGCATGTGTGTTTGCGTGCAGGTGTGCACACTTGATTGGGTACAAAATAAAGTGATTTTGACTATCTTTTTGTCAGCTTTTGTACATGCACATTAAGCCTCTTTGGGATGCTATCTTTTAAAGGAGTCAAGATGTCATTGTGTTGCTTCTCCAAGCTTTAAATTATTGCTCTTTCAACATCAACAACAGCCTTCGAGAAGATTTAGAAAATCATAATTAACAATGACAAAAAAAATTAGCATAAAAATGAAAAAATACAACAAAATATTGACTTGCGGATATGCCTAAGTGAGGAAAAGCAAGTTCTAAAAGCTTCATTCTAACAACTTACTAATTTTTGCAAAAGAAAGTGAGCACTTATATTTTTCCAAAATTGGTGCAGCACCAATGCAATCAATTGATAACCACATCATACGCAATAAGGAAGTCTTTTATTCTCTTATACGTTTCCAAATAAATTTAACTTGCACAGAAAAATATTACTGTTGCTTACCTAGCAACATAAATCCCTTTCCAGAATGAGAATTGTAGTGGCAATTGAATGGAGGGTAATTCCATCATCCAATTTTTTATCTGAAGCTACACCTGAGATGTATTTTATTTGTTAAAAACTGCAAGCAGTAATGAAACAAGCTCATACAAATGCATCAATAACAGAAACTATCCAACAATACAGATGAATACAAAGGACTAGGCTTTGAAGAAACTCAACGAACACTAATGTCACATATAAAATTATGTTGCCCCACGTTCATCTATTCAACTATCTAAGAATGACAGGCGAATCCCCATACTTACAACATCAATAGTCAACAGATCTTTCAGGTACTTCCTAACAGGCTTTCTTATCCAACTTGGCATTGTAGTAGAGAAGCACATGTCATGCCGCTTGTAAGGCAACCTTGACAATATTGTCTCAGTATCATCAACAAATCCCATACGAAACATCTGAAAAATTAATCTTAAAGGCAAAAATCAAAATTTAACAATTAGAGTTTCAAATTAACATATTAAAAAAGATTAAAAATACAAATATTTTTAAGGATTTTGCTCCAAATAATGAATTAAAGATTAAAAAATCAATTTGAATCAAAATACAAACATTAAGCAATTTGGGTTCTTTTGGGAATTTCAAAACACAATTTATAAATCCTTAAAAATAAAATAATGTTTTTGGGTTTTGCTCGGGATTCTAAACATGCAGACTTAATCCAAATATTTTATGATTTAAATATCTTTTTGTTTCAAATTTTTAAAAATCAGAATTAGGATTTTACCTATCTTTTTTTATTTGTTCAATTCGTCTTTGTTTTTTATTCAAACAGCCAAAAAAAAAAACCTTTAAAAATTGAGTGTTCCTACAACCTAACTAGATTGTAGTTTTTATAATTTACCTTTCATTTTAACCAAACACTTATAAAATATAAATCAAATTTTCATTTTTATTTTCACCGTTTTAATTCTTATTGTCAGATAACACTTTAGGGTTTAAAAAGAAAGTTTAAATTGAAATGTTTGCACCTAATATTAGTCCGTCAATTCAACACTATGTAGTTAGTAGCACATCGTCGTTCTCACACATGATCATAACTATATTTGAAAAGATCCTAGACTTTGACCATAACATAGGTGTGGTCGGTTTTTTTTTTTTTCAAATAAAAAAGTAGTGTTATGTAAATGCAATATTTTCTGCTAAAAAGTGTAAGATAACCTACCTATCTTTTTTCCCCCTTTCTTTCTTTAACTAAAATTAAATGATATTTGATCAATAGTTTCTCACATAGTTGTCAAATCATGTTCATCTCAACCAGTTGACTCAAAAATCCGGTGACCCATGGGTTAGCTTGGACCAGGTTTAAAATTGAACCAAATTAGGAATTAACATGTTCAAAAACCTGATCTAATAAAAAATAAAAATAAAAATTGACTCAAACCTTGCTGGCCAAGAACAAAAAATGACTCTTAACAACTTATTATAAGTGAATTTGTGATATCATATGTATATACTATTGGATTATTTTTAATAAAATATTAAAAAAAAAGTTTCAAAGTACGATTTGAAAATAATACCTTAACTATTTTGAAACAGTTATGCAAATTATGCATAACTGTTTCAAAATAGTATTTTAAATATACAACAAAAGCAAGCGTTTCAAACATTTTCTACCGTTGATCATTATTATTATTTTTAATTCATAGATTTATTGCATCAAACGGCTTGTTCTTATTTCCTATATATATCTGACTTTGTTTTTGACAAGTTAGATAGTTTGCATATTTGTTTTTCTTAATTAAAATAATTACCATGCATATCATTTTTTTTAGCTAAAGTTAAAAGATTAGATGATGCATAGAAGGGGACAAGACTATTATAAGCCTATAAAAGAATAAAACCATCTATGTGGATAGTCTATCTAGGGACCGTAGATCCTAAGAACTATGTTTAAGGAGAAAAATGAGCATAGAATGGTTTGATTACATGTATAATTATTTAATTTATAATATTAATATGTCCATCTTTACGGTGTAGTGCTTGAATCTTATAACGAAAGAGAGATTAAGTTTCTTTAAATCAAACTTTTAATGTGGTTTGTAGTTCTTTTTAAATAGAATGTTAGGGTTATGAGAGCATTTTTGATATACACAACTATATGAGTGAGGAAGTGAGTCTACTTCTTATGAGAACGGAATTAATTATTGAGAATACTCATAGAAGTCGGGATCAAGCATAAGGCCGTAATGTGATGGCTCGAAACACATCGCAGAATACTTGAATATAATATGTGTGATATAATATTTGTTTTTTTTTTTTAAATATTGGTTCAAGACAATGTTTATTATTGGCTTTCGGAGCAATATTGTTGAAACTCTAAGTAAGAGTTTAAGCCATTA